CGCATCGGAATACACCAAATACCTGTAACGGTTCTGGAAGGCCCAGAAGTGAGCGCAAAGAAGTCAATAAGTTTACACTAGCTAGTAAAAAGATACTGGATGTTGGACTAAATGAAGTGTAATTTTTAAAGGTAGCGCTACAGATCTGTGCTCGTTACCAATTGCTAACCTGTAAGTGTGGAAAAGCAGTTGTTTTGTATTCTCACCACCAAAGTTTGTCATTGCAGCTTAAATTCATGTTAAATTGATTTGTTTCACTTACTTCGAGGATATTAGGCATTTCTCATACAGAAATGTTCCAGTGGTGACTTGTTACGTCAGAAAATCAACTGCATAATGCTTTAGATTTTAAGTGACATTTCATTTTCAAACCTTCGTTCTTATTATGTTGTCTGAAGTAAGGTGATCCTTGCTTAATTATGAAGATACTGCAGCATTAGCGCTCGATGCTGAAGATAAGATGGCGAGAAAGAATAAGCAAGAAGGAACTCTGGCAATGAACGATGCAACAATCTGTTTACCAACGTATGTGCAGAGGAAAGTGGAGATGGGTTTGGCTTACACCGATAACACGGTTTCGGTACATCACGCGCTAAGCTATCGAGTGTAATCCGAAGGGAAATGAATTATGCGTCTGAGGCGAGGCTGGCGTGGAGGAGATTGTGTAAGGAAGAAATGAAAGCTTGTAGGCGGTCGTGGAACCAGGTTTAAAAGACTACAGAAAACAAAGTTTAATGGAGGCGTGCTATTGAAGCCCTATGTTCCACTGGGAACCCAAAGGAAAAAATAATCATGTTAATTAACGTTGACAGATCATGTTGGAGACGAATGAAAAACTTCTCGAGAAAAGTGGTGTAAGGGTAATTAAGAAGTGAGAGGATTAGTCGGTCTTATTCGCAGTGTATGATTCCCCAAAACTTCCATAGTGCCCGCGTGATTACACGTATTTCTACAACCTTCCTCAACATATCGCCGTTTCTCCCCAAAGTGATGTGACTAAGAGATTAGGTATGCCTAATTTTTAGGGTGTGAATTTCTCTCTACCGTATGACATAGCTGTGCTTAATGGGTGCTCGTTAGCATATCAAATAGTTCCACTCATGAAAACATCCAAATGGATTTGATACATCTCACTTTTCATTTTGATAATTGAAGCTAGAAGATGATAGGAGTGGATTTCTCGACGTAGATCATTTGACGAGGGTTCTGGACGTCTAAGGGATATCCTTTCAGGTGATCAGTTCCAGAGGGAAGGAGTGAACGAGACGGATTAGCATCCAGATAACTACTTTAGGCTAGTGTTAGATCTCCGCTCGGTCCACCATAAGATTAAAAATAAATAGAAAAGAAATGTGCACTCGGGAACTTTGTGTGTATCTGTGCAGTGGGCAATAAGTCACGCTAATTGTGCGGGATCTCATGATACTACCTGGCTGTCGTAACGTTGCTCGGTTAAGCTGTGTCCGAACCCCCGACCCATTTGTTCAAAGTCGTCTCCGTAATCCAATGGGCGAAAAAGTTTAACGTCGTACTGACTTGACTTACCCCTTTCCTAACCATGGTGGTGGGTGCTCAGCGACATGCTTTTGTTATAAATCTCTCCCTCCACCTCAATAGGTTTTCAATACTGTCGTTTTGTCCCATCTTGTTGTATTATTGTGTGTAATTTCATGTATACTTATAGCTCAACTCTCTTCCAGACTACCTATATTACTAGAGTCTATTGATCTTAATTTAAGCCATTTTTGTGCTCGGACCACCTTATTAACCATAGTCGACTACTTCAGCACGCCTATTCTACCTCACAATCACTTTTGGAAGTCATTTTCTGCCTCTTTACTAAATCACCATGAGTGTGTAATTTTGGGGCAACAACGCTTCTCTGAGTTTTTCTTTCAATGTAAAAGAAACTTTTCTTAGGACAGAATCCTGAACAAGCTTCTTTCCTTACGATTTCCTAAATTTTGTCATTAGAGCTGTACAAGAATTACTAGTCGCAATATTTGATTCCCAGCTGCTTCTTGTCTCTGTAGATATGAACAGGTTCCACAACTTTTTCTTACGTCTGAGTTTCTTGACCTGTCTACCAGTCCCTGGAGGATAGTTTGTTGGTCTACGGGCTATTGTCTAGGAGACTAAACTGGATGTAACTGCTTCAAGCATCTTTTTAGAAATTGAACCACTGACCATCAATATAAGATTCACTATTAATTAATCATTATACAGGTGTAGTTTATGTCCTAATGGCTATAATAATCACACACCAGACTTTTGGAAGAGGCTGAACCTGAAAAAGTATAATATCATAGACTTTGAATTTGCAGGATAGCACCGCGTTATCACTACTGTCTAAGAAAAAGAGAATAACACAACTACGTGTCATCAGAGTCATATATGAACACCAAGTCCAAAAGCAAAAAGTTTTAGGTATAAAAGAGATACGTATCCCTAGAATCATGCTGTAACAAAGCGTTGTCCAGTTAGAAATAACGTGCTGTCAAACATTTTACTTAATCCTAGTAAAAATAGTTCACTTCAGCCTAAATGAAGTTCTGTGGGATGACAGTAGTTGCATTTACTCCATTTCTCAAGGGGTAGCAACACGATATCACTACACTGGCAAGCCGACCGCGATAAATCCCATCAGTATCAGTACCAGACCTACATCGCTGAGACTGGTTCCGCAACTGGCCCCTTCCCTATCGTGTACTACGGTATGCCAGGAACGTATCGAGGGACAATTTTTAACATACAGTGAAATCGCTCGACCTCTACGAATTTGGACCCTATATGTACGTAGACAGTTAAATTCCCACTGTTCAAGTGTTGCATCTAGGTCGCGAATAATCCATGTTCTTATAATAACCACCGTGATGAAGCATATTTCATCTTAAAATGGCCCTAATTCCCGAGACTTATTTCAAGTGCTGCATATATGAGTAAAGATTACCTTTGGGCCTCTTTACATTGAGTAACCTATACACACAGATCTTTTTAGCATCCAGTTCTAAGACGTGACTGCTCGAAAACTCACAAACTGGATTTCCTCACCATTCTTGACATCCACTTTCTAATTCCATCAGCCCCTCTCCTTTACACTCTATCTTAGTGAGACCAATCAGGCCTAACTAATGTACCAAGCAACTAATACTACATCACTATGTGCTATTTCGAATAAACAAAACCAACAAGGAAAAAGCTAAATTTGGTAAAAGCGTGGAAAAGTTCATTCTCTTTTCTAAAGCGTATACTGTATTATTATAATTTACTTGGTTGTGACTATCAGAGGAACCAAGAGCGCACGTTTCATCTGTACTTTATCATTTGGATATAATTCTGTATGGTACTAACCACGCAAAGCTACCGATTCAAGGTTATTAGTTAGGGTAATCTCAAGTCTAATCATACTTTACATCTATGCCTTGGTGATAAACATATGTGGTATTGCATGTTTGCAATTAAACAGGCTTAGATTTAATGAACGAATCACATCAGCTTTCATAAAAACACTGGCTAAACGAAAACAAGTGTGTTATTCAGCAAACATAATCTTTTATATGAAATACAAAATTCGCACCAGGTGTATAGTCCTTTGCACCAAAATACTGGCATTGCTACCATTTATTCAAACCAAGGACTTGTAGTTTTTCACATCTTGTTGTGTGAAAATTTACCATACCTTGTTTTACGTGCATTCGCTAATTATATTTATGTCTGCTCACTAAATATTCATCACTCTGAATAGTTTTACTAGCGCAAGCTCTGGTTAACTACTTTCACGTTGTTTCAAACCAAATGAATTTTTAGTGAATGCCGATCTAATTACATTCAGAAAGCTATGTCAATTATTATCGTTTCCCGTGTACTGACCTAGGATCTGACATATTTCTTGACCTAAAGGTGGCATTTGACTCGGTCGACCGTGAGTTGTTGTGATAGTGTCTGACTATCAAGTGAGTACCGAGCAAGTATATAACGCTTATAAAAGCTCTGCATGCGAACTCACACAGCCGTCTAACGGCTTATGGAGAGTTCCCACATGAACTAAAGACAACTAGTGGTGTTCTCCAGGGATGTCCACTGCCACTGTTCCTATTTAACTTCGTCAGAGATGTACTAACAGACATAACATCTGATCCAGCAGATGGCTTAGTTAGGCACAGGTACAACTTTCGTCTGCTTCCAGGCAGTAGGTATTATGTTTTTTGAAAAAGATATATTGAAGATATCTGTAAGTGGATAACATAAAATATCTGCACATTTTCCAAATGTAACATTAGAAACACCATCAGAGCCTAAGCCTTGGGAGGGATTCAAGGACTTAAGACATCTAAATACATCATCCGTATTAAAACCTGGAAAGCAGCTATCCACTTGACTGTGGACGTAAGGAAGGGTGAAATTAGCTTGCCGACGTCCGAACGAACTTCCTTCATCACCTTTTTTCTACCAGTAGGCTCGATAAATGTTTTTCGTGTATTGGAATATTTCTTATACCGTCGGAACTTCTATTGGTAGCTAGTATTTAGACATTTTAACCCTACTTGCTCCTTCTCTTCCCTCCCACCTTTTTGCATCTCGTCCTGTCCATTACGATTTCTTCTGTTATTTATCTCCCGCGAGTCTACCTAGGCTTCTCCTTCCCTTCCGTTCCACTCTCTTTCACCTTGTGTCTTTCTTCGGACGTCCATTCCCCTGATTCCCTTGGACATCTTTTCTACTTTCTTCTTACAACCAGTCTGAATGACTGTTTGGTGACACGACGCATAGGAAACACACCTGAACTACAGTCCCTCGACAGATTATGCAACCCCTATAATTTAGTCAACTCCCGACCGCCCTTCGGACTAACGATGTCTACGTCAGGTGAGTAAGTAGGCCTACCGCATCGGAATACACCAAATACCTGTAACGGTTCTGGAAGGCCCAGAAGTGAGCGCAAAGAAGTCAATAAGTTTACACTAGCTAGTAAAAAGATACTGGATGTTGGACTAAATGAAGTGTAATTTTTAAAGGTAGCGCTACAGATCTGTGCTCGTTACCAATTGCTAACCTGTAAGTGTGGAAAAGCAGTTGTTTTGTATTCTCACCACCAAAGTTTGTCATTGCAGCTTAAATTCATGTTAAGTTGATTTGTTTCACTTACTTCGAGGATATTAGGCATTTCTCATACAGAAATGTTCCAGTGGTGACTTGTTACGTCAGAAAATCAACTGCATAATGCTTTAGATTTTAAGTGACATTTCATTTTCAAACCTTCGTTCTTATTATGTTGTCTGAAGTAAGGTGATCCTTGCTTAATTATGAAGATACTGCAGCATTAGCGCTCGATGCTGAAGATAAGATGGCGAGAAAGAATAAGCAAGAAGGAACTCTGGCAATGAACGATGCAACAATCTGTTTACCAACGTATGTGCAGAGGAAAGTGGAGATGGGTTTGGCTTACACCGATAACACGGTTTCGGTACATCACGCGCTAAGCTATCGAGTGTAATCCGAAGGGAAATGAATTATGCGTCTGAGGCGAGGCTGGCGTGGAGGAGATTGTGTAAGGAAGAAATGAAAGCTTGTAGGCGGTCGTGGAACCAGGTTTAAAAGACTACAGAAAACAAAGTTTAATGGAGGCGTGCTATTGAAGCCCTATGTTCCACTGGGAACCCAAAGGAAAAAATAATCATGTTAATTAACGTTGACAGATCATGTTGGAGACGAATGAAAAACTTCTCGAGAAAAGTGGTGTAAGGGTAATTAAGAAGTGAGAGGATTAGTCGGTCTTATTCGCAGTGTATGATTCCCCAAAACTTCCATAGTGCCCGCGTGATTACACGTATTTCTACAACCTTCCTCAACATATCGCCGTTTCTCCCCAAAGTGATGTGACTAAGAGATTAGGTATGCCTAATTTTTAGGGTGTGAATTTCTCTCTACCGTATGACATAGCTGTGCTTAATGGGTGCTCGTTAGCATATCAAATAGTTCCACTCATGAAAACATCCAAATGGATTTGATACATCTCACTTTTCATTTTGATAATTGAAGCTAGAAGATGATAGGAGTGGATTTCTCGACGTAGATCATTTGACGAGGGTTCTGGACGTCTAAGGGATATCCTTTCAGGTGATCAGTTCCAGAGGGAAGGAGTGAACGAGACGGATTAGCATCCAGATAACTACTTTAGGCTAGTGTTAGATCTCCGCTCGGTCCACCATAAGATTAAAAATAAATAGAAAAGAAATGTGCACTCGGGAACTTTGTGTGTATCTGTGCAGTGGGCAATAAGTCACACTAATTGTGCGGGATCTCATGATACTACCTGGCTGTCGTAACGTTGCTCGGTTAAGCTGTGTCCGAACCCCCGACCCATTTGTTCAAAGTCGTCTCCGTAATCCAATGGGCGAAAAAATTTAACGTCGTACTGACTTGACTTACCCCTTTCCTAACCATGGTGGTGGGTGCTCAGCGACATGCTTTTGTTATAAATCTCTCCCTCCACCTCAATAGGTTTTCAATACTGTCGTTTTGTCCCATCTTGTTGTATTATTGTGTGTAATTTCATGTATACTTATAGCTCAACTCTCTTCCAGACTACCTATATTACTAGAGTCTATTGATCTTAATTTAAGCCATTTTTGTGCTCGGACCACCTTATTAACCATAGTCGACTACTTCAGCACGCCTATTCTACCTCACAATCACTTTTGGAAGTCATTTTCTGCCTCTTTACTAAATCACCATGAGTGTGTAATTTTGGGGCAACAACGCTTCTCTGAGTTTTTCTTTCAATGTAAAAGAAACTTTTCTTAGGACAGAATCCTGAACAAGCTTCTTTCCTTACGATTTCCTAAATTTTGTCATTAGAGCTGTACAAGAATTACTAGTCGCAATATTTGATTCCCAGCTGCTTCTTGTCTCTGTAGATATGAACAGGTTCCACAACTTTTTCTTACGTCTGAGTTTCTTGACCTGTCTACCAGTCCCTGGAGGATAGTTTGTTGGTCTACGGGCTATTGTCTAGGAGACTAAACTGGATGTAACTGCTTCAAGCATCTTTTTAGAAATTGAACCACTGACCATCAATATAAGGTTCACTATTAATTAATCATTATACAGGTGTAGTTTATGTCCTAATGGCTATAATAATCACACACCAGACTTTTGGAAGAGGCTGAACCTGAAAAAGTATAATATCATAGACTTTGAATTTGCAGGATAGCACCGCGTTATCACTACTGTCTAAGAAAAAGAGAATAACACAACTACGTGTCATCAGAGTCATATATGAACACCAAGTCCAAAAGCAAAAAGTTTTAGGTATAAAAGAGATACGTATCCCTAGAATCATGCTGTAACAAAGCGTTGTCCAGTTAGAAATAACGTGCTGTCAAACATTTTACTTAATCCTAGTAAAAATAGTTCACTTCAGCCTAAATGAAGTTCTGTGGGATGACAGTAGTTGCATTTACTCCATTTCTCAAGGGGTAGCAACACGATATCACTACACTGGCAAGCCGACCGCGATAAATCCCATCAGTATCAGTACCAGACCTACATCGCTGAGACTGGTTCCGCAACTGGCCCCTTCCCTATCGTGTACTACGGTATGCCAGGAACGTATCGAGGGACAATTTTTAACATACAGTGAAATCGCTCGACCTCTACGAATTTGGACCCTATATGTACGTAGACAGTTAAATTCCCACTGTTCAAGTGTTGCATCTAGGTCGCGAATAATCCATGTTCTTATAATAACCACCGTGATGAAGCATATTTCATCTTAAAATGGCCCTAATTCCCGAGACTTATTTCAAGTGCTGCATATATGAGTAAAGATTACCTTTGGGCCTCTTTACATTGAGTAACCTATACACACAGATCTTTTTAGCATCCAGTTCTAAGACGTGACTGCTCGAAAACTCACAAACTGGATTTCCTCACCATTCTTGACATCCACTTTCTAATTCCATCAGCCCCTCTCCTTTACACTCTATCTTAGTGAGACCAATCAGGCCTAACTAATGTACCAAGCAACTAATACTACATCACTATGTGCTATTTCGAATAAACAAAACCAACAAGGAAAAAGCTAAATTTGGTAAAAGCGTGGAAAAGTTCATTCTCTTTTCTAAAGCGTATACTGTATTATTATAATTTACTTGGTTGTGACTATCAGAGGAACCAAGAGCGCACGTTTCATCTGTACTTTATCATTTGGATATAATTCTGTATGGTACTAACCACGCAAAGCTACCGATTCAAGGTTATTAGTTAGGGTAATCTCAAGTCTAATCATACTTTACATCTATGCCTTGGTGATAAACATATGTGGTATTGCATGTTTGCAATTAAACAGGCTTAGATTTAATGAACGAATCACATCAGCTTTCATAAAAACACTGGCTAAACGAAAACAAGTGTGTTATTCAGCAAACATAATCTTTTATATGAAATACAAAATTCGCACCAGGTGTATAGTCCTTTGCACCAAAATACTGGCATTGCTACCATTTATTCAAACCAAGGACTTGTAGTTTTTCACATCTTGTTGTGTGAAAATTTACCATACCTTGTTTTACGTGCATTCGCTAATTATATTTATGTCTGCTCACTAAATATTCATCACTCTGAATAGTTTTACTAGCGCAAGCTCTGGTTAACTACTTTCACGTTGTTTCAAACCAAATGAATTTTTAGTGAATGCCGATCTAATTACATTCAGAAAGCTATGTCAATTATTATCGTTTCCCGTGTACTGACCTAGGATCTGACATATTTCTTGACCTAAAGGTGGCATTTGACTCGGTCGACCGTGAGTTGTTGTGATAGTGTCTGACTATCAAGTGAGTACCGAGCAAGTATATAACGCTTATAAAAGCTCTGCATGCGAACTCACACAGCCGTCTAACGGCTTATGGAGAGTCCCCACATGAACTAAAGACAACTAGTGGTGTTCTCCAGGGATGTCCACTGCCACTGTTCCTATTTAACTTCGTCAGAGATGTACTAATGGACGTAAGTTTACGGTCATCCAGCGTCACAATGATTGTCCTTCGCCGTGGTGGTCATATTATTGACTCGGTGTATGCAGATGCTGAGAAAATTCAAGGTCTTGTAAACGCGTTGGGCAGAAATCTGAATGTGTTTGGGATGCGTTTCGTTGGCGCCTATCAAATGTAGGATGATTCTCCAGGACTGTTCTGCTGCACGTACTCCGAGTTTAATGATAGGGAGAGAGTGAAGTGGTGGGGTGTGTCGACTAATTCACTTACTTGGGGAGTTGCATCAGCCCGAACGGGCTGGAGTCTCCGAGACGAACGGAATCAGTGGTTGAGGACACTTGGTGACATGGCTGGAAATGGGTCACAAGGGCACATATGTATTCACTACTTGACATCTAAAGCTTGAATATTCACACTCGTTTATTTTTACATTGTTTATTCTCTCACTGCTTTATCTACTTTGATATCACTTTTTCTATCCACCTGTTTTTTGTGTACATCTGTGAAGTGTGGGAACTTGAGCAGATGCACCTTTGTTAGAGGTTCTACGTTGATTTTATCAGCCAGTCAGTCAACGTTATTTCCACAGATTTGAAGCGCTGGCTCCCAAGTCCGAATCCCGGTGGTAATAACATCACTAACTGGGAGGCAGGTACATCCGGCTGACGAGTCCCAACTAGGACGAAATGCGCATCCTGGATTCCACTGCTAGCCACTGTCCATCATTACTGCAACTAAAAACCCAGGTAATATCGAGGCATTCGCACAGGAGCCCATATGCCAATAGAGACGGATTCGGTCCAGTCAACGATGGTAAAATGCAAGCAATTATACTAATACATACCAAAATTGTTTGGACTTTTGGAAGTTTTTGAAAATCATCGGCGTCTTCACTTAACGCAGCTATGTCGTGTGCTTACCATAGTTAATCCAAAGGCCCTTTTAAGTGGTTGTTGGTCTTCGAGAGGCTGGAGGTAAGCAGAGACACCAGGGGTGCGTCTCTGAGAAACTGACGTTCACTGGTAGTAGACATCTTTAGGGGATACCACTCGTTATCCTCACCACACTGTAAGTCTTTAAATATCTGAGTTCAGGTTGAGGAATATATATATATATATATATATATATATATATATATATATATATATATATATATTATATATATATATACCACGTTGTTGCTCCTTTGTAATCTATATACACCTTATAAATGACTTTAAAAAATCTTACGTAACCCCTTTTTGCTATCATTAAACCTTTATGTCATCAACTAGCATCATTATTATCATTATTATCACCACTGTTTTTATTCCAACCTCCCATTACTTAAGTTAAATCTTCCTAACGGATTGCAGTGTCATATGTATATACGAATGTACAGCTTGAGAATAAATTCGTTGAAGAGTCCTCTTTGCTGACTGTCTTATTTTTATATTGGTTTTAATTGTTATAAAAATATGGTTGAATTCAAAATGACTACATTAAAATAAAAGTGATATGTCAGAAATTTCGGGAGTAATAATCAATAGGATACTGGATAAAATAGCTGTTTTCTTAACTAACATTTAAGTATATTTAAGGACTGAAAAACGTTATTTGTGCATTGATTATTGTGTGAAGGTGCGGCTCGATGGTCTAGTTGTTTGGTTAATCTGAGCGGAAGGGCACTAATTTAGTCCATACTACTCGTGGAACTCAGTGTAAGAAGTTAATCAGCACACATTTACTGGTTTCATCTGCTTTTATGATTTTATTTAATTACTTTAATCTAGTTGAGTTTCATTTGATCATTTTACAGATTGTGTTCATTGTTTCATTCTGTCCAAATTAACTCCAGGTTATCATATCACAATTAGTCCCTTTATTGGCAATTCAGAGGGATGTCTTTAGCTGATGAACTTTTGGCTGATCTCGAGGGAGCCGAAACATCAGAGGAACTGATTGCTGATTCCACTTTGCATGAACTTGAAGATGTTACCTTGTCAAGTGTAGACAAATTGGATGATTTTCAGTCACACACATCGATTTCGAGAGTTAAAAATCAGTTCAAGACTGCTTCTTTTGCTGATGCTCCTATAACTGCTTATGCAAAGTTAAGGAATAGTGACAGAGTAAGTTTCTAACAATAATTAGGCTTTTGCTTAGACCACTATTTTTCCTTACTGACAATGCAAATGTTTTATACGAATAGCTTAAGTAGTGAGCTTTTTAAGATTTGTCCCTGCTTTTTAAAGGTTTGTTTCTGCCTACGTGATTCTCGTGATTCATTTGTAACGCTGAACCTGCACGTGTTTAGTCTCTTATTTACTTACTACATCTTGTATGCTCAGTTCATGTGCGCGATGAGTCACTGGCTGCTGTCTACTCCGTGGGTTAGCACAACAAAGCATAAAGCTTTGTTCTAATCGTCGCAATATTTTGGCAGTGTAATTAGTCTACATATAAACTTGAATTATCTGTCCGCGGGACCCGTAGTTCATCGAAATACAACAACTGGTTTCATACTCAGAAAGTGAGATAATACATAATTGATTCCACTCAACAGGCAATTATTTCATAATTACAAGTCAAACAAAAATTGGTGGGGATTCAATGAAAAGCTCTGGAACTGAGCTACACTGAGCTACAAGACATTAGACATAAATCATCATCGGTGGCGAAATCCAAATCTTCTAGGGTCTTTCCATCGGTTCAGCGTATGCCCATCTTCTCGCTCCTCACTGTTTGCTACATGATCCAGTCCAGTTGACCAGAATCAAGAAGATCATTGGTGATAGTAGGCAACCTTGTCTTACTCCTGTCTTCACTTCAAAGGTATCACCGAGCTTTCCATTATGAACTACTTGGCATATAGCCTCATCATATAGCATATATGTGTTGAATGAGGTTGATAAAGGTTTTTGGCAGTGAGACCGTAGTGTTGAAGTAGTTTTCAAACTACTTCTGGGTCGACGCTGTCGAAGGCCTTTTCAAAATCGATGAAGTTGAGGTAGAGAGTTGACCACCACTCTACGCTCTGTTCTATGATGATGCGTAGTGTTGCAACTTGGTCCGCACATGATTTGTTTTTCCTGAATCCAGCCAGCCTGTTCCGGTTGTAATTTTGAATCCAGAGCATTTTTTAGTCTCTAGGATGGTGCGGCTTAACTTAATATTTTGCTTGGGGTGATCAGTAGCGTGATTCCTCGCCAGTTCTTACAAAGACTTAGATCTCCCTTCTTTCAAACCTGCGATAGTGGTATGGGCATGTCTCCTGTTGTTTCTGCGTCTGTTTTCAGTGCTTCTGGAGGAATTCCATCTGGTCCTGCTGCTTTCTTGGCTTTCAGCAGTTTTATGGTGTTCAAGACATTGGCTTTTGTCGGAGGGCTTGTGTTCACTGGTAATTCTGTGGTTGTTGATGGTATTTCTGGACGAGTTACAGGTGGTGGTGGTCGATTCAACAGTTTGCTGAAGCGGTCAACCCATCGTTTCCTTTGTTTCCGCTTTTTGGTAACTAGCTTTCCTTCACTATCTTTCATTGGTTTCATCTGCGTTGATCTCTTCCCTCCCAGGTAGTTATTTGATACAGTGTTATCAGGTCCCTCCTATCAGCAGCCTGTTCTGCTTCAGTTGCCAATGTGTCGTAGAAGTGTCTTTCCGTGCACTTTTCTTCACTTCTTTGTCCACTGTAATGTTTTATAGGTTGTGTTCAGTTCCTCTTTTCGTTGTTCATCCTTGGACTTCACTGTATTGGTTCATCTTTTGCTTCACCATCTTCCTCTTCTCTGTCAGCCTCTATGTATGCATGGAGATCCATTCCTTGTCTTGTTTCTTCTTCCTTCCTAGTAAGGTTATTCAGATTTTCCACGTCTCTTCCAAAGAGTTCCAGTGTTCTTCTACACAGGTTTCTTCAGGGGTGTTGCTTAATATCTCCTATTTTTTCCTGATGGCTGACGTGAAGATGTCCTTTGTAGTTTCGTCCTTCAGTTTCTGTTTTGGGTGTTGAACTCGAACTTAAACTGTGGTTCTATCATCAACTTCTTTGAAGGCTTTCGACTCAATTTTGAGGGTAGGTTCCTTGTACTAGATAGTGAGTGGTGTGAGTCTACCTACATCTGCTCTTCTTCTTGATCTTGTGTCCAATAGGCTGCGTCTCCTCCACTTTCTTGAGGTTGAGATGAAGTCGATCTGATTTTTAGTGTGTCCATCTGGTGAAGTCCATGTCGCTTTGTGAATATCCTTGTGTTTGTATACACTGCCTTCAATCACCAAATCGTCGAATGTTCAGAATTATGCAAACAGTTCTCCATTCTCATTCACTTCACCAAGAGCTTCTCGACCCATGGTTAATTCTCTTCTTGTGTTGTCCGCTCCCAGTTTGGCATTCATGTCGTCCCGCCCATTAGGATTTTGATGTCGCCAACTGGGGTCTTGTCCAGTATTGATTGCAGTTGTCTGTAGAATTCCTTCTTCTTCTCTTGGCCCGCGTTATTTGCTGGCGCGTAGCATTGTATGGTTGTGACTTTCTTTCCTTTTGAGTTGAATCTTGCTGTCATGATTTTGCAGGAGGAGATTGGTTCTCACTGCATGAGAGAGAGCCTTCGATGTTCTTGGAGACATCATGATAATCACTCCAAAACTCAGTGTGCTCATGGTTATCATCTGGGTGACAGTATTGGAGTAGATTATTGACTCTCGAGTTGACAGTTTGGAGAGTCCACTTCCATTCCATCTGCAGATTCCTAGAAATTTTACGCTACATTGGCCAATTGGCTTCGTTAAGGCTTTCACCAACCGGTATCATTTCGTCTCTCCGATTTCAGCGAGGAATAAGTTTGTTTTTATTTTTTATATTTTGTCTTTGCTTTGAAGTTTCTGTAGCGGTTCGATTGGTTTTACAGGGTAGGGTTGTTAGCTGTATGCCCAGCCTTCTGTGTTTATCCGGGCTTAGGACCGGCTAGTAACTAGTGAACTAGTTAACCAGGCCAGGTTCATAGTTAAAATAACAATGTAAATCAAACAATAAGGGCGATAATTGCTTGTCTGAGGTTCATGTTTTCCATTTTTTGACCGATAGAACACTTACCATTTCTTACTTTATTCGATGAGAAAGTGCACTAAGATACGTTAATAGGGATTCAGTAATATTCACTTCATGATCTGTTGACTGTAAACTTCTTGAGGTCATGTTTAGGGTTTTCAAATCATAAAAATGTTTGAATATTCTATCCATCTATTTCGTACAGAGTTATCAAATAGTATAGGTTGGTTTCATGTAGTAGTTATGGTTCATAGCCTGTTATAACGACCTGTATGTTGTTATTCATGAGCTTCACTCTAAAATGTGATGCAAATCGGACAGACAAACCTGGAAGCTCTGTAGAAACGTCCAAGTTACCAAACTTCCCGTCAGCATATTGAGGTAAATGTCAACTCCAAAAAAGATGTAGAGAAAATAATGACGCCACTAGTCGTAAAAGTGCATTAGACAAAAACAAGAGCATATAGATGGAATAAAAATGTAGGGTAACGTGATTTGAATGAAGATGCGACGTTACTGTATCTGAAATACCGAAATTGGTTTTGAGGCACAATAAGTACATTAATATAAGTGTAAAACTTGGGCACTGTGGTAGAATGTAATTCCATATTAGATTTGTTTATTTGATATATAGCGCACAGTAAATAATAAATAATACTGTTTCACTGTGCGCTATATATCAAATAAACAAATCTAATATGGAATAATAATTACAGTCTCCAACTAATAAATTTTCGAAAAATTCATTCGTTCTCTGATCTAAAATACAGCCAATGGAGGCATAAACACAAACTAACGGGAGAAGTTGATGTATATCAAAATCTTTCATAGTTTTGTACTGCACCATCAAATCGTACAACACAGATGACCGTCGACTGGAATTTATTTCAGCAGTGTGCTTTCTATTTTAGAAATTAACTCTATACTTACACCTTCAGTTGGGAGGACAACAGGTAATTGATGGGTGAATTCCGCAAATCCAGTGGATTCAGTCAGTCAGTCATTATCAACATGGGACTTCGCATTACTGCGTAACGGTCCAAGTTGTCACACCTTATATCAGCGAATCAAGCTGGAAGGCTTTCAGATAAAATATGTAGAAACAAAGAAGAAAGGAGTCAAAAATGGTTGAAATTCGTACGAAAAGAATAAGGCGGAATGAGAAAAATATTGAATTCAGTATGACGACTAAAATGTAGATAATTTATGTATACATCTGCGCCATTCAGATCGCTTCTGAGTCATATCACTCAGAGTCTCCAAATAACCCATCAGAGCTGGTCCGTTTTCCCAACTGAGTGAAGTTGTCAACGAACTCAACAATCTCACTCCTTATTGTTAAACGAGACACTAGCGAAGACCAGTCCTAAAGCTATAATTTGGATCCGGATGGGGAGTGACGTATCCCAAAGATTTTCAAATATATATCCAAGATGTCTGGAAGGTTATACACCTCGTCAGTGTTTTCAGGTAAAAGGAATATTTCATCTGGTTACTCTAGATCCACTGAGTAGTCTCCCATGACAAGGTCATTTCCTGTAAAGTCAGACGACAGATGGAAGACCTCCATAGGCGCCTATTGGAGAGAGTGGACATCCTTGGTGGCCACTACTCGACGTGCACAACTTAACATGGGTTCTAACACGCCCACGAGTGCAGAGCCTTCAAAACGGTAATGTACTTACCAGGCACCCCTTCTAGTGGAGGACACTTCCGTAAGACCTCTAGATCGCTTTATTCGAATGGCGCCTGTAGATAAAGAAATAAAGCTAGTGACGGACGCTGGTAAGTGTGTGCGTGTTCCTGAACCTCGCGGAGGGTGGATATCTAGTCAGTACATCCACAATCGAGCCTGAAGCATGTCTGGCTTCCCCGAGCTGTTCGTGGACCCCACTTAAGTGTTTGATAATCATAGAACCCAGAATTTTAGAAAATATTTTCATCAGACTGGTTGTCTTGTGGTTATCCTAAGAGAATTTCCCCCTTTCCGTGAAGACTGATACAATCAATGGTTCAAGACCAATAGGAAGGGATCATATATGACTGCCATACGTTAGCTAATACGTCAGTTAGTCTGGCTAATAATGCTCTACTGCCGTCCCTAAATACCTATGGTATTAGTTGCTATGACCCTTCTTCTCCTCTCTAAATATTACTTACAGCTCTCTCGACTTCTGTAAGTATTAGGGTCCTATCTCAATGTTCCATACAGGATCCGAGTGGATAACGAGCATCAGAATGGTATCTGAAGGCCTGTTAAGCCGTTCCTTGAAGTGTTCTGTCTATCATTCCAGTCATCTCCCCTGCGATTCAATCATAGATCTATCTTTCTTCTTTATAGTCTCACTAACTACTGGGCTGTTTGCCCCAGTTCTCTTGATGAGTCCAAATAACTGTCTACTATTACTTATCGTCATGGTCTTTCTATCTCTTCAGCCTTCACTACCCAGCACTGGTTGTGTTTCTTACGTAGACTATTTGTCAGTTTTAATTTAAGTTACTTCCGCTCCTCATTGTGCGGGAGCCTGCAGGAATAAGTTCGCATGCATCCATTAATTCAGAAGAAGCTACTGGGATCGATTAACCCTTTTTAATTTCTTTCCAGGAGTCACTTAGTGTCTTTAATATTGTTTTTAAATGGAACACTTTGGGTTGGAATTTGGAAATGTTTGGGATGCGTTTCTCACTATCCAAATGCAAATGTTTGCTCCAGGATTGGTCTTCAGCGGTGCCACGGCTAACAATAGAGAGTGAAGTGGTTGAGTGCGTCGACCACTTCACTTACTTGGGAAGTAGGATCAGCTCCGTTGGGTCAGTTGCCGATGAAATCTCTGCACAGATACAATGACTGATGTGCTCGCTGTAGGACTTGACGATCCCTCTCAGGGTCATGAGTGGGCACCATTGAGGGGTCCAGTAATAGGACGAAACAGCTGTCTAGCGCTCCCGGATTTTTCATAGTTCTCCAACTGATATCAGTCTATGATGAATACCACCTTGAAACCAATCAACCTCAACAGATAAGCGGGGACAGTTAGACTTATTGTTAAAGTGTTGGTGTGAATTTTGTAAATATAATGTAATGATGCAACTCAATATTCTTGTATAGGTCCATGTGTTAAAAAATGATTCATCCTTAACATGCGAGAACTGGTCGCTAATATCTGAGGTACATCGAGTGGGATTTAAACGCGTAAATCATTTACTGGAAGTCAAGCATCTGATCTGATTGGTCACAACTTTGTTTATATTGGTTAAGTAAAGTCCTGGATTAGATGTGTAGTTTCTGGTCACTTCTTTGTTATACAATTAAATTTAAAAACTCCTGTTTAGATCTCTTTTCTCTTTAAAGTAATATCCCAGCTGTTGATCAGTAAATGTTAGTAAATATTCGTCAACATCGAATTTCAGATCAACCTACAAGATTTGTAGCTCATTGGCAACTGCAAGCGTGTTCAATTGAGACATAATCTTATAACTACATTTATTGATTCCCATTTAGAAAAATCATATGCATGTACCTGGGGGGGGGGAACTAAAGCTAAGCCTACCTCCAAAATGTAATTCAGGAATTTTGTAGGGATTTAAATGAAATTAAAATAAAGCATGGTGATGGTGACCACAAAGTCAGATCAGTATTATAAATTTCTATTTCAGGAATTTTTCATTCCATTGAGTATGCCTTAGTACCTCTTTAGAAAGTGAATCGAGACAACTGGTTTCGATTGTGCACGTGTAGTTGACAACATTTGAAGTTAGAGAGTCCTGTTCAGTTTTCTCATAGATGTTTTTGTTTCAGTCTTCTCGTCATCTGACATCACAGAGATTGATCTAATCACTGAAGAATCTTTGGCAGATCTATAATACACAGATGACTTAGTTCAGTTAGGTGATGCTGACAAGATGCAGAGTCTTCTGGACATATTGAGTAGGCATTTGAGAATGTTTGGGGTGCATCTCTCACCATCCGAATGCAAGTTGTTGCTTCCAAACTGGTCTTCAGCGGTGCTCTGTCTGATAAAAGAGAGTAAAATGGTTGAGTGCGTTGACAACTTCAATTACCTAGAAAGTTGAATCAGCTCTGGTGGTTCAGTGACCGACGAAATCTCTGCACGGATACAAAAGGCTCGATTGGCTTTCACCGACTTACACCACATATGGCGCCACCACGGTATCCGATTGTTGATTAAGTGTCGAGTGTACTATGCTGCAGTTCGCTATGTTCTACTGTATGACTGTGAAACATGACTATCAAAGGTAAAGGACTAGAGAAGGCTTGAAGTGTTTGACCACCGTTGCCTTCGTAATATACGCTGTGTCGGGATGTCACTACGTGAGTAACTCATAAATCAGATATATAGTTTTAAGGAAGTAGGTTCAGGCTGGGCAAAGGTTCGGGGTGGCTAGACTAAAACAACATCAATATATGAAGTCTTTGGCTCTTAGTATGAGCCATGTTGGGAAATGCAAGCTAGCCAGTCGGGTTTCACGGGACAACAAAAACCAAAGGTTGGAGACTATGTGATATGACTCAGCATCGATCTCAGTGGTGGAGATATATTCACGCATTATCTTCATCTTAACCGCTTTACTGAATTCAGCATTCTCTCACTCTTTCTTCCTCTTTTTTACTGCTTTTGATCGACTTTTCTCTCCTTTTTCATCTCTTTTCGCTGTATTGTTACTTATGCTGATATGAGGTGTGGCAAATAAAACTGTTGTGCAGTAATACCTGGTCCTTTGTTGATGTTGATTGAGGGAGTCGTATGGACTCTTACAGCCTATTAAATGAACTAGTGTGTAACGACAAAATTTTAAAACCTGACTACGACCTGGTGACATACTTGTCAACATTTGAACAACAACAGCCTTCAGATTCCATCCTCGATGCTCTATGTTACTTGATAGATAGAAAACGTGGGTATTCAACGGAAGGTGTACTGAAACTTCAAAACAATTACGAAGTACAACGGTTTATATGTACTGACAGTGACTTTGGTCATGTCCAGGCTCTTCTTAAACAGTATTCTGTACTAATTTCATCTCTCCAACCAACCTATGATTACCTTTCTTTCGAAATTTCGGAGTACGTTGATTGATCAGAGAATCCAATTCGTGGAATCTATCTAGGTCAACAAAATTAAAACCTTGCCCACTAAATAAACGTTCAGAGGTTTTTTGATGATTACCATTGCTTCTATAGACAAACTGTTTTTGAAAAGAAGTTTATGTACAACATGAATGAATAAAGTTGGTCTTACTTGAGCGCCTAGTGATATTGCACACGATTTATAAAATGCTTTTGTAAATTATAAATCGCCCTTTCAATCACTCTCTTGGTTTTTTTTATTTAGTTAACTAATATAATGTCAGATCTTGATCATTTTGCAAAACAAAAGAAACGTGATCGAATTCATGGACCTGTTGAAGCAGATCCAGAATACCAGTGTATTGTTGAGGCCAACAATTTGATGGTGGAGATAGATAATGAAATTAGTAAGTTTTCTTTTTTTTCATATAATTTTGTTAGAGAGAGAAAAGACATTTCATAAGTTTGGTGTAGATTCTCAGGTGATCAGTAAAAGGTTCAAATCTCATTCTACCTCTTGCACCCTAGACACTACACAATAAATGTGACCCATAGACAAGTGCCTAAATATATACCGAGTTGAGTTGCTTTAGAAAGAGGTTTAAAATGATTGAAGATATCGCTTTCTAGGTCTTAGTTTGGAACACTTATTTCCTCCATGTCTGTTTGAGCAAACGAGTCTGTACGGTCCACAACATAATACAGAGTCCTCTCATGCATTAGCTAACTTTTGTGAAGTTTGTTTTAAATTGAAAATTCTGTAAATTAAATATACAAAATCAATATTAAAAACAAGAAACATTTGCATGAAACCAAAAGCTATTTGATAAAATTTCTGGAATTCCCTAAATCTAAGAAAAAAAAAACTAGCTAGGCAACTACTGAAAGTCAGAGAACGATTAGTAACTGTTCCGTTCCAGTTTAAGAACCGCTGATCACATACAATATTGACTACGTAGAAATCTGAAAGTTCTTTGCTAAATGTTCTCACCGTCAAGGATTTTCAAACCAAGAGGAAACAAGGGTCTATTTCTAGGTAATTATCAATAATTGTTCAGCTCAGATGTCAAACTACCGTCAAAAGTATCTTTAAAAATCTCACATTATCATTTTGACCACCTCAGATGGTTCGGCAAACAAGTATTTATACTAGGTAATGATTGGAGGTGAAATGAAAATTTGAACCGCGGCCGGATTACTACCAGTGACCAAGGTGGTCGCCGGTTCAACTTTTTCAGTATTCAAAAGTCAAAATACACTCAACAACTACATGTACATTCGTGCAGTAGACAATAAGTCACATGTTTTGTATGAGGGCTAATGACACTATCTAGCTGCCCAAACCTTGGTAGATGGAGCTAGGTGTGAACCTGTAACTCATTAGTTGAAAGTCAAGCGCCCATACTAGTGAGCCATAGCGTCAATACTTTCAGATTATTAAACTTTTCAGTATTATTTCTTTCGCATTAACTACTGTCTGAACATATATGACTGACGTGTTTACGCGACTAGTAGAGTATTTACACTCATTGCTTTATTTTTCCTAGATATTATTCACAAATACGTCAGGGATTTATATTCAATGAGATTCCCTGAGCTCGAGTCTCTGGTACCAGGTCTGCTTGATTATTTAAAGATTGTACTGGTGAGTTCGATGACATGTATTTTTCTCTTGTCGCCTTTAAACTGAACTAACTTGTTTTGTCGTCTGTCTTTTTATAATTTCATTTTTATCATATTCATCTTCTTGTTAGTTGAGTCAGTTGGATCTCCTGTACCACTCACTTCGCTTTGGGTGATTGGATAGTCCTCATAATTAAGTGTAGTTTATATTCCAATGGGCGATTTAAAGTGGCTCAAAGACCATGTCATGAGTTATAAAGAAAGACGTTTTGATCTGGCGGCTTATGGTAAAACCTGCCCAAACTTTGGTAGGTGAACAGGATTCGGGTCTCAAACCCAAACCAATGATCAACCAATGAACCAATGCTCCATAGTCTAGTGCATAAATTTGCACCGGACAGATGAGTTAAAAAGGCATTGATACAACAGTGTCTACTCTTCCTGCCAAGCGGTTGCTCAAGTAGGTTCACAGAGCTGGATATCATTCAGGGTCAAAGTGGGACCTAGTATCATTGCGTAACGGTTCATGCCACTACATCTCATCGGCACATCAAGGTGAAAAATAGACAAATAAAGAAGAAAGTGCTCCAAAGTGTTAGGATATTATGAAGTGAAAACAAGGAATGAGTCGGAATTGAAATTCCGTATGTCGATTAACATGAATTTAGTGTGTGGATATATTTGCGCCATTAAGATTGATTCTGAGTCATTATCAGATTCATTTGAATAAACGCACCCGAGATAAATTCAGAAGACCGTTTGGTTTTCTCGTAACAGTAATTAGTGGTCATTCGAGGTGATCTAACAACGAGGTACAATTAGCAACGGGTGAAAACAACCAGTTTAGTCAAACGACACCAAATGTCCATGTCCAAAGCCAGTCAGAGGAAAATTGTGCTCAAAAAGCTACAGTTACTCATAAGTAATATAATCGGTAACATTGAGAAAGGTTAAAGTCATTGTATAATCTACAACCACTGATTCTGGTTGTCACATGGCTCTCAACCGGGAAATTTACATTTCTTTACAAGGGCAAGACCAACAGATAGTTTGGAATCTCCTACCTTTTTTCAGCCTGAACCTATATCAACTAACAATGTGCAAAGAGACAGACGTTGACTGGGCATTAATAACATCTCCTAGCCATTGAGTCGATGGGGGGCTTACTGATGTTCCTTTACGCTTGATTTCTGGATGTAGTGGCGTAGGAGTAAAATTTGGGCACTGTGAAAGCATGTGATTTCATTTTGGTTAATTTATTCTACGCATCGTACAGCAGTTTTAGTTACTTGATAACGTTTCGTACACAACTTATAACTATGAATAATAAATTTTTTCCGAAAAATTACCCACTTAATAAATCTGTTTCTTTCTGTGATACATCTAGTGAGTTAATCAAAACTGTACATGTTAATTCTGTCTAGTAGGATGCAGAAACCTCTGAGTAAGGAAACTTAAAACCAATCAGCTGATTCTCAGAAATTTAAAGCATGAAACCGACTTGTTAGCTAATAAAATTGAAGTCACATAGCCGCCAATAAATATATCAAAAACAGACAGTAAAGGTAGATGTGCCGGGCGGTGCTGATGAAAAGGAGTTTATTAAGAGGGACTGCCTATTTTAAAGATTCTCCAGATAGAGTAATGTAGAAATGTTTTTTAAAAAAGTTTTCCCAGTTTTGGATTCCTGCTGGAGCGTGTACTGAAATAATGTACTGGGTGTAGGTATATAGACAGACTGAACTGAACAGATAATGAGGCGATTGATGAAAAGCCACTCGAAATGTGCAAATCCAATTGCAGTACAATCGAAAGAAAGGTACCTTCAGTGGTGGTAGTAGTAATACAGGTGTTAATAATAATAATTCTAGTATTAATGGTGATAATGATTACAGCGTTGAGAGAGAATTCAGAGCCTCTGCTGTGTTACAAGTAAGGCACCTCAGAAACATTACGAAGAATTCTCAATAAGGCTGGGATTAAAGTGGCATTTAAGCCAACAAACTCGCTTAGAAACAAGCTTTGTAGGTTAAAAGATCCTGTCGATGCAATTAAGCAAAGTAATCTGGTTTTCCAAATCCCTTGTAATGATTGCAAAGTCAAATAAATAGGTCAAAGTAGTCCGCCGGGATCGATTAGAATAACAGAGCACAAAAACTTAGCTAAATCAAAATTAGTAGATCCTATTAAGATAAGAAATCTAAAGAAAAGCTCGGCTATAGCTCTGCATGCAATTACACACAGTCGCACAGTAGGGTGGAATAGGGCGACAGTGTTGAGAAGTAACTCAGTTGGGTGGAGGGAGAGATCGATAACCGAATCTGCATTTATCGAATCAACACCAAATACATCCAATCGAAATGATTCTTCACCTGTCCCAGATATATGGAAAATCCTACTACCCTTGTCATCACAGAGAGAAAATTAGGAATATATAGTCTTTCTCAAAGTTGCGGAGTTACGTGATATGAATATGGACAATAAATTGTGTCCGAAACGTTATCCAGTAAATGATACTGTTTCATTGTGTGACATTTCTAATAAACCAACTAGAATGGAATTACAGTCCACCATAGTGCCCAAGTTTAACTTGGTAGCAAGTAATTTTATTCTTGGGTCATCAGAACAAGTTACTGAATCATTCATATGAAAATCCATGTAGCTAACTCCTGCTCAAAATTAGTGCAGAAAAACGATAAGAGCTACCTCAACTAAACCTTACTTAAGATATTCATTATCATTTTACCACTGTGGTCAATTCAAAAGTGTTCTCAGCGTCAGGTATTTACTGTGAACTTGAATATTATGTGTCCATTCTTTCATTATTTAACCTAGGTATTAGGAAATGATATTCTTGAACGATCCAAACAAACTGATCTCCTTGCATCATTTTTAACGCCAGCAACAATTATGGTTGTATCTGTTACCGCGTCAACTACCCAAGGATCTGCTCTTACATCGAATCAATTATCACGGATTGTTGAAGCGTGTACAATGGCAATTGAATTGCAAGAAATGCGTGTTACAATGTTGGCCTATGTAGAATCACGTATGTCTTTCATTGCCCCAAATACAAGTATTCTCGTTGGTGCATCAACAGCGGCAAAATTAATGGGTAGGAAATTCAATTCCTTTTAGTTATATTTTTTATCTGATGAATGGTAGTCAAGAGACAGAAGACAAACATGACGGGATGTTTATTGTGTGAAATTGGAACGGTAGTCGCTACATATGGTACACCTTACATTAACCCAGTCATTTGCAAATGTCTTCGTTTCCTCTTCCGTTCCTCTCTTGATTTGCTCTTCATACATTCTTATCAGCAGCATCCACTGTAATACGTCTGTGTTATCTCTTGCGTTGCTCTTGGCAGAATCCTTAGCCATTATTGGCAATTCCCTATGATTCCTGCCACCCTCTCAATATATGTTACTTATATCCATTGTTGTCAGCAACGCCCATTACACTTGCCCCCCCCCCTCAAAATTCCGGGCTTGCAACCGTTTTGATCGTCTTGGTGCTGTCTTCTCTTGGTTTTCATTCAATGTTTCGTCTTTTTCCACTGCTTCCATTTTGAAGTAGGCTGGCGTTTACTCTTTTCTCTTTGTTCCCTTGTTTGATGGTATAAATTGAACCGCGTTTCTCGGTAATGATGTGCGGTCCTTCCCACTTCAAAAGTAGTTTCCTTCTGCCATACTCACCTCCTGACGTATATCTTCGTTCTTTACATTTCACTTGACCTCGGACCTCAAATGGTTTCCATTTACTTCCTTCTCTCTGCTCAAATTTTTCAGCATCAACCTTCTGTTTTCGTTCCACATTTCTGATAACCTGTTTCCGCTCCTCTCTCAATCTTGTCATGTTCCAAGGCTGTTTTTGGGCCAGGTCTTACTATGTATCGGGAGCCGTGGTTTCCTGCCATATATTAACTGGAACGACGACTTGGTTGTTCCTTGTACTGAGGCACGATGGGCTAACAATATTAATGGCAGTTCCGTCTCCCAATTTCCTCATTTCGAAGCTAGCCACTCCTTAAGTGTATGGTTATTCCGTTCTGTCAGACAGTTAGTCTGCGGGTGGTACGGCGTCGTTCTTATCCTCTTGATATCAAGGTGCTCCAAACAGGATTTGAATTCTTCACTCTCAAAACAAAGACCCTGGTCGGTCAGTATCATTTTCGGCACACCGTGATCCGCGACAATATGCCGCATAACCGCTGCAGCCACTGTCTTCGCGCGTTGATCAGGAATCGCGACAGAGTCTACCCATAGTGTAGCATGCTCCGTCCTCATCAGCAGGTATTGGTTACCATTAGATGTCTGCGGAAATGGTCCCATCAGGTCCACAGACCACAGGTCACCAACTGCTGCTGCTGCTGGAATCGACTGAAGCGGCGGTTGTACATACTGATCACATTTCATCAGTTGACAATGAGGACAACCCAGCACGTGTTTGGCAACATCCTCTCTCATACCTGGCCAGTACGCACTTTGTCTGAGAAGGTCAGCTGTCCGTGAGACACCTGTATGAGCTAACTGGTGGCATTCTTGTATCATTTTGTCGCGTAGACATTTCGGAATCACTGCCAACCAGCTTCCGTCGTTTTCTCGCCACGTTAGCATTCCATAAGTATTCATCCATAGGCGTTCTTTCTGCGTCAACAACCTTCTCAACTCTTTATTTCCCACAGACGTTTGTGTCTCCGTTCCTTTAGTTATGGCTTTTATCACTTCTTTAAGTGTCAGGTCCGACTTCTGAATGTGAATAAGTCTTAACGGGTCCCATTCCACTGCATGTACACCATATGCGATCTCAGGTAGCTCATTTTCTTCGTCAGATCTTGATAAGATGTCTGCCAACCAGTTTTCTTTCCCTGCCACATGGCCGATGGTGAAGTCATTTCTTGTAGTCGTAACACCCAACGTGATAATTTTCCTCTGGGTCTTTCGCTGTCTTAAGACACTGTAGAGGTTTATGATGCGTTTCAATATGGAATCGTTGACCAAGGAGGTACGATCTCCACTTCTCCAGCGCCCAAACTATCGCCAGACATTTTTTTTCCACTGTAGAATATTTCTGTTCTGCGGGTGTTAGGACACGGCTGGCATACTCCACTACTCCTCCAGTCTGTCTCAGGACTGCCCCTATTCCTTAATCACTTGCATCGGTGGACACGATAAATGGCCTATCAGGTATTGGTAGTTTTAACGTCATCTCCTGGCGATTTAGGGGTTCTTTGATGTGATCAAACTTTCTGTGTGCCTCCTCCGTCCACATGAATTCGGGGTTGCCCAGTAGCTTACATAAAAGTGCTGCTACCTCATTGAAAGTTCTGAGGAACCGACTGTAGAATGCTGCCCTACTCAAGAACTGTTGCAGTTTCCTCTTGGAATTCGGCACTGGAATAGTTCTGACGGTGAGAATTTTCTCAGGTAGTGGTTTTATGTCACCCTTTCAAACTTTATGTCCTAGCAACGTAACACTCTTCTTTGCTACTTGGGATTTTTTCATATTGATGCGAAGTCCAAACTCATCAATGCGTCTCAAAACAGCTTCTAGGTGTTCTATATGCTCTTTCTCCCTCTGACTGTACACCACCAGGTCATCGCCGTACACCTCTACGTTTTCTAAATTCTTCAGCAACAACATCATCAACCGTCTAAATGTAAAGGGCGCACCTCCAAGACCAAATGGCATTCGCTTCAATTGGTATTGCTTCTTGCCCACAATAAATGCTGTTTTCTCTTAATCGCTGTCTTTTATTGGTAGCTGCCAGTAGCCCGGGCGGAGGTCCAGAACTGTAAATACGCTTGCATTCTGCAAACGATCCAGTGTCTCAGCTATCGTCGGCATGGCTTCAGCTGCGTTATGCTATTTAACTCCCTGAAATCAATGCAGAATCTATATTTCCCATTTGGCTTTCCTACTAAAAGCACTGGAGAACTGTATGGGCTATCCGCCTCTTCAATAATACCTTCATCTAGCATTTCCTGAATCTGACACCCAACTTCTTCCAAGTGGCATGGTATTCGCCGTGTGATAAATGTTGTCATTGCCTGACTGGTCACTGGGATGTCATGCTGAACCTCGCCACAGTAACCATAGGGGTCTCCATCTCTCGCGAACAATCTGTCGTATTTCTTCACTACCTTCATGATGTTTGGCGCTTCTGGGTATAGTGCTTTTGGTACTTCAATTTCTGCTGCCTCGCTGTTTTCCTGCGTGGTGAACGACCCGTACTTCGTTGCCACTATTCCTGCTCTCGTGTTAATAACTGCACCCATTTCTCTCAGAAAATCGGCACCTAGGATTAGGCGTTGTAGGCGCGTTGTCACAATAAATGGGAATCTAATTTTCCGGCTTCCGATCTCAACGACGCAATCTGATAAGCCTGTAATATCCAGTACATGCTCCCCAACCGCGTGGACCGTTAGCGCACATGGTCTTGTGTTCTGAAACTGCCTCTTATCTATTAGCGAGACTGCCGCCCCTGTATCTATAAGACACACGATCTCCCGACCATTTATTCTCAATCTAGCATACACTGCGCCTCGATCTATGGCTCTTACAATATCTAGTCTAGTAGGAAAAACAGAACTGATATTATATCGTTCCTCCGGACGATTTCTTCGCCAGTGTCAAGGTTTCCCACATGCGAGGCATTTGCCCTGTTTGTTGATGTTCATTCGCAGTGCAGCTACCTCTCCCTGAGGGTTATCGACTTGTTCTTGCCAGTTACTTACCTCTGGTGACTCCACTGCCGCCAATTCTCCTTCCCGTCACCGCGCCGTCATATGCTGCTTCTGCCCTACCCCTCAGCAACGTGCCCAGCACCATGACCTTCGCCTCTGGATCCCGAACCCTCATCAGCTCCGCGACCTACTCGAAGTCCATGAGGAAGACCTTGATGTCCCCACCCTCGAACACTGAAGGCCACAGAATCTTCATCACGTCCAGAGGTAGCGGCACCAATTGAAGAGACAGAAAACAGACACGACGGAAAGGATGCTTATTATCAACAATTAAAACGGTAGTCATCATATGTGTTACACCTGGCACTAAACCCGTCATTTGCAAATGTCTTCGTTTCCTCTTCCGTTCCTCTCTTGATTTGCTCTTCATACATTCTTATCAGCAGCATCCACTGTAATACGTCTGTGTTATCTCTTGCGTTGCTCTTGGCAGAATCCTTAGCCATTATTGGTAATTCCCTATGATTCCTGCCATCCTCTCAATATATGTTACTTATATCCATTGTTGTCAGCAACGCCCACTACAGTAGCACCATGTTTACTCCACCTTGTTTCCTAAGTTGAAGTGACAGATGTTACTACACTGAATCAAGTTAATAACTGTGAGAAGAAACTTCTGGTTTCACTGTTGGCAATGATATTTTGATTCATTGCCGAATATTCGTGGATAGTAATCTCACAGTGTGGAAATACTGTATGGATGTTTATATCTCATGTGGTTTAAGTATTTTGCATTGTAGTGTTCTGATTTTCTTGTTGTTATTTTCTCATAGGTCATGCTGGTGGTTTAACTGCTCTCACAAAAATGCCATCATGTAATATACTTGTTTTGGGTGCACAAAAACGTCTCTTATCGGGTTTCAGCAATACTTCAGTCTTGCCACATACAGGATATATTTTTAATTCAGAGATTGTACAAAAGCTACCTCCAGATTTACGCTTGAAGGCTGCTCGATTGATTGCTAATAAAGTTGCATTGGCTGCACGTGTAGATTTATTTCATGAATCGCCAGTGAGTGTTAATATTTTATTTGTACTTTTGTTGATTGTAATCTCACATATTCAGCCTTTTGGTTGTATGTTATACTGCGTAATTTTAGAGTCGAAGTTACAGTTCAGTTGCTTAGACCATTGTCTTTCAGTCAGTGCATCACAGGTTTGAACTCTGTTTCACTTACAAGAAATCAGACAACAAGGTACTACCATTGACCTTTGGCTCGTTATTGTTGTCTTATTTTGACTGTCTCATTACTCTTTCTAGTCGAAGAAATTAAAAGATAAGTATAATTCCATATTAGATTGGTCTATTTGATAGAGCAGATAGTGATACAGTATTATTTACTAGATATATCCATTATCTGATCTAATATGGATTTGCATTCTACCAGTACCCATAGCGTTTGATTACAAACAGAAGCATAAGACGGTAGTTTATTAGTCAAAGGAATGAACGTGTACAACTGTAATAGATTACAGGCCATTTTTCTGACCGACATGCATAGCCACAACTAACCCCTATATTCGATAGCTAGAAAATACCTAGAAAATTACGTAATATTAGAGACTCATATTGACTTCTAAGCTATGTGGAAACTTCTATAGAGTGGATATTAACATTGATGATTTTAACTGGTTTTTCAAAGCTGTCTGTTTTTATGATTGCCTAGTGCGCGAATCTGCACGTAGTTAGTCAATTGCATTCTTTTTCGAACAATTTGTGGGAAAGGGGTTGAAACGGTGACTTCTGAGCAATGACATTGGGTGATGGTCGCGTTATGTCGTGAACTGACAGAGCTTGGATATATAGATCACCGGATTCCGACCCGGTGTCTCAATGGTAACGTGCTGGCCGCGGAACCTGAAGGTTGTGGGTCCGATACCTAGTAGGGCGATATCATGGGTGCACACTCCTGAAGAGTCCCGTACTAAGACGCAACAACTGCTAAATGCTCCCAGGTTCAGAGTGTTTCTCCAGTTGATGTCAGTCCATGATGAATACAACCTTGAAATCAATAAATCCCCAGAAAAACCCCAATTTGAATATAACCCAGTACCTATCAATTAAATATCTGAATCATTTAGTCATAATTCTAAACGACTAGTATTGAAGCTTTTATTTCAGTGTATTTACTTTTATAAGTCAGAATATCTTTGAAAAGTGTCGTAGAGGATTTATATGAAGAGTAGAATTCGGACAGTATTATTATTATTATTATTATTATTATTATTATTATTATTATTATTATTATTATTATTATTATTATTATCTGTCCTTTGGGTTCCTAGTGGAACATAAGGGCCTCAGTAGCACGTTGCCATTTCACTCTGTTCTCTAGAGTCTTTTGAACCTAGCTCCACGACTGCCCACAAGCTTTCATTTCTTCTTCACACGATCTCCTCCATGTCACCATCACCTCGGACGCTCAGCTCGTCGTTTCCCCTTTGGGTTCCACTTGAGGGTCTGGCGCGTGATGTCCCCAACCGGCCTTCTCAGTGTATGCCCAATCCAATCCATCTCCACTCTCTTCTGCATATTTGTTGAGCGATAGGTTGGTAGTTGGTTCGTTGTCAGAGTTCCTTATTGCTTATTCTTTCTGGCAATCCATCTGATCTTCAGTATCGAGCCAGCGTAGGCAGCTGTTGGTGAGGCATGTCTGTAGTTTGTTGGAAATGCTTTACGTAACGCGACAAGTTTCTAAACCATAAAGCAACGCTGACTTGACATTGGTGTTAAAAATCCGGATCTTGTCCACGCTTTATGCAGAGTGGAGTGCAGTAGATCTCCACACTGATTTCAGGTTAATGAAGGCCTATCTTGCTGTCTTTAACATCCTCATCTATGCTACCACCTGTAGTTGAAACGATGCTGCCTTGTCTAGATAGGTGAAAGAGACCACTTCCCATAGGTTTCTCCCGTTGATGGTGATTGATGCTTGTTGTTGTTGCTAGTTGGATATCTTCATCACCTCTGTCTTCTCTACATTCACTTGAAGTCCCGTCTTCGCCGTCCTGCCTCTTTTGTCAACTTGTTGGTTTTTGCCTGTAGATCTTTAAGTTTGTGCGAGAAGACACTAGACATAATCATCGGCGGCAAAGTCGAAATCTTCTTCTGGGGTCTTTTCATCGGTCGAGCCAGCGTATGCCTCTCTTCTCGCTCCTCACAGTTTGTTACATGATCCAGTTCAGTCGACCAGAATTAGGAAGATCATTGGTGATAGTAGGCAACCTTCTCTTACTCCTGTCTTCACTTCAAAGGTATCACTGAGCTTTCCATTGTGAACTACTTGGCATGTAGCCTCATCATATAGCATATATGTGTTGAATGAGGTTGGTAAAGGTTTGTGGCAGTGAGACCGTAGTGTTGAAGTAGTTTTCAAACTACTTCTGGGTCGACGCTGTCGAAGGCCTTTTCAAAATCGATGAAGTTGAGGTAGAGAGTTGACTGCCAGTATAGTAAAGAGCATAATGTCACTATTGCTTCATGAAAAAACTATATGCATCTCACTGATGGATATTTCCTGTACAATAAATGTCATTCATGTATAAGTGAACAGAATTCCATCTACCCTGCAATCTTTCGTTTGAAAATAAAGACTTGGGAGTGAAAGAAGTTACACAGTTAACCTCGTACTATTCACTCAATCATTCTGTTAGTTTGATAAGAACTAAGTAGATAGTGAGAGAGCAATCAGTTTGATTTTTGTCAGTGTCAGGACTATGAACTGTGGTATGACCATTTGTATTTGGGCAGACTAGCAGTTGTCACTCATGAGTTATGTAATCAGTGAATATGTGTGTGTGTATGTAGACTGTAAGTCAAGCGTTTCTGATTGGAAGTAACTGAAATACTGTCTCCTAAGTTGTTTCAGGCAGAGTAGACTCCTTGGTTTTGTGATCAAGTCAAAGCTTCAATGACAATACAAGCTTATTGTCTACATCCGTTTATGAGGCTTTCAAGATTTAGCATTGATAGTGTATGAGTTAGTGAGTTGAAATGTAATATTGTAGAGGAGAAGATTTTATTTGATTGGTTTTCTCATTCCATTCTATTTAAAAATTCATTTAGGATGGACATATTGGAGAGAAGCTTTTGTTAGAAATTGAACGAAAATTTGATAAATGGCAAGAACCACCACCAGTTAAGACAATTAAAGCTCTTCCAGCTCCGATAGATCCACCAGCTAAGTAAGTTTTCTTTCCTCTTTTGTTTCTTCCCTACCGTTTCATTTTGATGTCTGATATAATTATTGTTTACTAAAGAAATACTCCAATGAGAAAATTCATTTTCAGGTAGTTTAATTAGGAGACGAAGTTTGTCTAAGCAATTCGAACAAATATATTTCCTGCGATTTCATCCTCAGAAGCTGTACAATCCAATTAGTGTGAAGATTTAATAGTTAAATGTCAGTCGGATAGTAATGCTTAGCAGGTCATGGTCAAGAAAATAATCTATTTGGTAATATAAATAAGTAATTCTCAGTTTTATGACTCACTCGTCATTGAAATCAATCTTCAATAGTTGTTCATTGGGTATTGGAATTCGCCTGGTAGATAGAATTCAGGGAATTCATCATTTTTTAGTTTTCAGTAATGCCGTCACATTAGACATCATTATCGTAAGTTACAAATTTTTACACGAAACACTTTCGTATCGTAATGAGATTGTGCTAATAAATTTTCTTCCATAGCTCCAAATTAAGCTTACACCAGGTTCAGTTTTTAGGTTCCGATACTATACATTGACCGTAGAATTGAGTAGTAGATAATGAAGTAACCTAACGTGCACAATCGACTTCAGTCATTGGGTCTCGGGTTCGAGTCCCGCTACATATATAGAGGTTTGGGCAATCAATAAGTCAGGTAATCTGCAATACCTGAGGTGATTGAAACATAGAGATGATGACTAAATGCCTTAGACTTTGATTGTTTGCCTATCTTAACTTGTGGTTGGCAAGTGTTTCGCTACTACGCCGTGCATCATTATTAGTACGATTTCATTTAGATTGAAGTAATTTGATTGTGCATAGGTATTGACAACTGGTTACTTCATTTCACTCCAGTCTGCACAATCAACTCGTGAGTTTTTATACCCTGATCAGTTAGCATTTTTCATCTGAATGGCAGAGGAGTCTTTGTGATTGGTGGAATTTTGTATGTATGAATCGGTGAAAGTTGTTGTATTCAAACCCGTTGACTCACTCCAGCTGAAGGACAAAACGTCTCGTTATGAATACTGAAGTTATACTACTGTATGACATGCAATTTGCTATCTGCCGAAATGGTTGGTCTGACGAACTCTTCTGATCGAATGGAGGCAGTTTCTAAGTTTTCCAGCTGCATATCCCAATACGTAGAAACGTTGCACGTAGTTTTTTCTGAATGATTTTTAAGGGGGAACCTTTTATAATTGGTAGTAATCGTTGAATATAAAGAATTTACACTTCTCAAATGACTTCATACTCAGATATTCTTTTTCTTGACAGAAAACGGGGTGGTCGACGTTATCGAAAAATGAAAGAGCGTCTAGGTATGAGTGATTTAAGACGATCAGCAAATAGAATCCAGTTTGGAGAAATTAGCGATGATGCATATCAAAACGATCTAGGATTTTCATTAGGCTCGCTCGGTCAGCGTGGTATTGCTGGGCGTTTACGTGCACCACAAGCAGATTCAAAGACAAAGGCTCGAGTGAGCAAAGCATTACAGCAGAAGTTATCGAAATTTGGAGGTATGTCTACTATGCCAACAACTGCATTGGGTGCTGCAAGCTGGGGTGGGAATTCTACGGTCCGTAAACATGTAGCTGGTACCTCATCTTCTATCGCCTTTACACCTTTACAGGTAACTGCTTTTTGATAATCTTTTTCATGCGCCTTTATCACCTACTGTAGATTTGTCAACTGAGCTATGAATCATACGAAATGCGCTACACCTAACAAAACAGCCCAGCTGCGCTAACCGAAGTATGTGCAATGAAATTGCAAATCACACTCCATCACTTCCAAATCCAGTGATTAAGTCAGAAACCTCAAGCTTTGTGGTATTTCTTTGCTTGTAGCTTACATAATTTCGTATCATAGTGCATTTCATTTGGTTTTGGATGGTTGCGGACAATCATTGAGAAGCTGTAGACGTGAATAGTTGATAACTTAATTCCACTGAATGATGATGAATTACTTTGAGTGTTTATCTATGGCTTTACTTGCCCATCTACACCCTAACCATGTCCACGCTCCTTGTGTTTCTGCATGCTATATAAGTAATTGTCGGACAAACTCAATGTGTAGTGTGATAATTAGGGGAAATCACTACACTGGTAAGTCATTTTAGGCCCTATGATATACTGTTATTTGAGAATGTTTGTTTCTCAATTTTTGTTGGTAATATTTCATCACAGATATATGTTTTCGGTACAGTCTTATTATCGTAGTGTCATATTATCCTAGCGTATATTAGGAGAATAACATAAAAGAATCAGCTGCGGCGGAGGTAAATACTTTAGTGATCACTGAAACTAGACTTCTAGATTCTGATAGGCGTGGTCGAGAGCTGCGGCTCGCCAAGCCCCCGAACACAACGCAGTCATGATGTTCGGCAATTGTGCAATAGGGATGCTGGAACGCTTGACATCCAACGCATGTTGCACGTATTACCAGTGTCTGAATCCAACCATTTTTGAGAAGAGATCGACCTACGGTTCTTCCCCTCATCAAAATTTATGAGTGCCGCAGAAACTGTGAAAGAGACCTCTCACCTTGTGTTTCATGTTGAAGTAGCTGTTGTATGAGTTGCCGGTCGGACATTGCTGGGCAACTTACAGTCTTCCTTCTCAAAGCTGTAAATAACTGTTCTGGCGGCATTCTAGGGAAAATGTCTCGCACTACTTAGAAAACTGGTGTAAGCACTATGAACCAGAGATTCTTGTACTAAATCTCCTATGATTTGATGTTACGTAGGTCGAAGAAGTGCTAGGCAAAAAAGTGCTGAGCGAAGCGCAGCTCTCGACCACGCCTATCAGAATCTAGAAGTCTAGTTTCAGTGATCACTAAAGTATTTACCTCCGCCGCAGCTGATTCTTTTATGTTATTCTCCTAATATACGCTAGGATAATATGACACTACGATAATAAGACTGTACCGAAAACATATATCTGTGATGAAATATTACCAACAAAAATTGAGAAACAAACATTCTCAAATAACAGTATATCATAGGGCCTAAAATGACTTACCAGTGTAGTGATTTCCCCTAATTATCACACTACACATTGAGTTTGTCCGACAATTACTTATATAGCATGCAGAAACACAAGGAGCGTGGACATGGTTAGGGTGTAGATGGGCAAGTAAAGCCATAGATAAACACTCAAAGTAATTCATCATCATTCAGTGGAATTAAGTTATCAACTATTCACGTCTACAACTTCCCAGTGAATACAGATTTCGGGCTTTCAAATAAAAATTCTTACGGCAGTTCGAATAAGTTTAATGCTTACGCGGTTTAATAGGTTGGCACAAACTTTATCGATGATACAATAGTTGTTATCTGGATTCACCAAGTGATCGGGACCAGTCATCATACATTATTCCAATTCTTACCGTTGTTCCTGAAGGATGTTAAATCACTCGGTTTGTAATTTGATTATGCTCCGATCTTCATATATCTTCCGGTTGAACGATTTTTCACTTTATGTGATTCTTTCTCCGACCTCTTGGTGTGTAGTCATTACTAAATTTCAGCAAAATATTTCTTGAAACTTCACTTCCTTTTCGTAAGTTTGTAGTGCACCTTCCTGGCACCAAAATATAACTAAGGCTAAAATAAATAGTTTAAATTAAATTAACTAAATAAATCTCTAGCTTGCCTCCGGATGCTTAGGGTGTTTTAAGTTTTGTTTTAACGAGCATGCATCCGAGCAGGCTTGGACGCCATTTTTGCGCTCCATTGTGCTGATTACCACGCACGTACTCCGAGTCCGTAGTTCAGCCTTACAAGCCAGATAAGTTGATTAAACTTTTCCCTCATTCATTATTATTACATTTACCTTAAATACATTGCGTATCAGTTCTTTTGATTTGTTTTGTTATCAGTACTTAGACGTTAGGTAAAGTACTGGTTAAGCAGGTACTAGAGCACATCAAATTAAGTAGGGTTGATCAAACGTTACGGAATTGTAACACGCATCCCTACAAGTTTAATATAATAATACTATAGAATGTACAGCTGGAGTTTATCGACGAAAAGAATAACGCGTTACTTAGTGTTTTTGTTTTATAATTTCTTGATGGTCTTTCAATTGTATGTCGTCACTGACGTACAACTTTAACTGTAATTTATATCAGAGAAAAACTTGGGCACTGTGGTAGAGTATAACTCCACATTAGATTATTTCTTTGGTAAAGCACACAGTATAATTTACTGGATGACATTTATTGTTCATATTCTTGTAAAAGTAATCATACGACTTTCATATGAATCATCAATATAGGACCATCCATTACTGCGTGGTGGTCCGATTTGCCACAACGTGTGAATATAAGCAATAAATCTTGCTCGAAAAGTCATCCAGTAAATTATACTGTGTGGTATATCAAATAAACAATTTAATATGCAACTCAACTGTGATTGTTGAACATAGAAGTAGTTTCCGGTGGTTTGCATAATCTGATGACAAGATTTATTCTCTTTTCAGCGTGCTAGCTCACTGTACCGTCTAATTAACTTTTTCTAAATATCTAAATTCTCAACGTATGAATCATAATTTGTATCATTTTATTGTCTATGTTAGTTTCTGTGTATCGCCGACTATTTTATCCAGCTGTAGAATGTGTTGGTACAGTTGTGTCCGTACTTAAATAATCATACCCATTGGTGATGGAAAGTTTTACAGCAAGGTGGGATACACAGTTTCGGGTGTCAATTTTTTCGAAACCTTAACTTTACAGAGCTGAAAAGCAGTACAAATGAAACCTTGGTGACTCAAACGAAATAGCATAATACCATCAGATATCTACTCAATGAGGATTACAATTTCATCCTTGAATTCTTATCACATCATAACTTATTTACAATTTTATGGTGACTGCTTTCATTTTTACTATTAAACAACTGACGTTTTTAACATGGTACATTGTTAAGAAATATTGTTGTCAGCCAACATACCCCGTTAAGTCGTTTCGATAAACCGGCTACGTCACAATATTAAGATAGTTGTCGGTTGGGAGGTAACATCATTAGATTGACAATTCATTCAGTCCTATAACAAGGAAGTTCACTTCTGTGGTCTAATAGTCCTTTGATTGATGTATACATATGATCATTTGGATATGGGGTGAATAGCGAACTACATACAAGTTATCAAATTTATTTATCGTTCAGTACACTAAGCATTTATGCGCTATTTGATGTATTCATCTCAACTCGGCAGGTTACTTCAGCAATTTCTTTACAGATTCAACTTATAGTGAACGCATTGTTTCTCATATCAAATGATATTAATGCAGATAATTTTATGTTAACAGTCAGCTGCTTATTGACTGGTTCTTTGAGGTTGTGACTAGTCACTTATAGGATGAATCATAAAGGTTGTAAACTCAATAGCATGAGTTTCGTAGAAGAATGAAACAATTATGCTTGTCATTGTGATTTTAAATAGTTTCGTAAGTGGTAGGAAATACACCTAAATTATCACTGGTAATCTAATTGCCAGTGAGTTGTATGGACATACCTCACCGACAGGCTAGTACATGAGTATTTACGAAGTAGTAACTTTTCAATTCTGTTCACTAAATTTTAGACAAATGATAATTCTTTTTTCAAATTTTAAGCATCAAAATATGCGGTTAAAATTTTCTTTGTATTTATCAATTAGGGTCTGGAAATCGTTAATCCACAAGCTGCAGAAAAACCAATGGAAATCGGCAATAAGTATTTCAGTAGTACATGCGGATTTAAAAAGATTCAGCAAAAATCAAAAGAGGATGAACAGGTGAAAAATGGGGTTTAGTAGATGCGAAATAAGAAGTTATGCTTTATGTACAAAAAAACAATACGAGTAATAATAATAACTGTACATTCTGAACCTTTAATACACTTGTTACTATATGATGTATAATACAACTTCTGTGTGTGATAAAATACAAACATATATTGTCAGTCTTTCAATAGTCAGTTCTTGTCTGAATAATGCAAGAGTAAAACTTGGGCGCTGTGGTAGGGTATAATTCCATTTAAGTGTATCTCAAGGTTAATGGGGATTTATTCTCCAACTGATTTCCGTGATAAATGCCAGTGGGACGGTATTATTTACTGGATTACGTTTCGGACACAATTTATTGTCCATAGTCATAGCAAGATAACTCCATAACTTTGAGACATTGTTTATGTGTTTTGTAATTTACTCCTCTTTTTTGTTATGTAGGTAGTAGAATTTCCCATGTATCCCGATCAGGCGCTGAGTTATTCCTGTGGCACGTATTACGTGTTGATTCGATAAACAACGATCCAGTTACACGCAACATAAAATGACTCGGCACCTGTCCTGGATACATGGGGGATTCTACTAGCGACAAAACATACGCAGATAGGGAGTGAAGCCGTAGAATGATTTGACTACTCTATTTACATAAAAGAATTCCATCAGACCTAGTGGGCTGGTTGATGATGAATGCGAAAGGTTCACATTGAATTTGCGAACCGACCTCATTTCTGTCGCTGGTGAGATATCTGGATAGGTACAAAATGATGAATGCATCCCGTCCTGTTTTATCGTAACACTGTGATTTTGCCATTCAACGTAGAAAACATCAGGGCTATAAGGTTTTCATGATAGATGCATTGGCATTCATGTAGTGGGTCCGCCATTTGAACAATGCTGAGGTTGTCGCACTATCCCATGAAATCTTTAACTGTTGGTCTTAGTCGCGTACGACACTAGGCTAAGTTCATCGAGGTGATGGAAACCGACGGTCGAGGACTCTTAATGACGTGACCTAAAACCAGTCACATTGGCGCAGAAGTATTCTAACATCTTCTAAAATTTGAACATTCACCAACCTTCATTCTTAGTCTTTCTCCTCACAGCCTTCATACTGCTTCTTTTTTATCCACTTCTACTATAGCATGCTGCTGAGAAGTGAGATAACTTGAATTACTTCAGTGCGATGTTCTACTTTTTCTACGCACCTAGCGTATTTGTACAGTAAAGGTGGATTGTGTTTGCACGAACTGCAAATGAAAGAGGTAGTAGTAATGGTTCACGCTAACTTTTTTTGTTGTATAGTCTGGCCTATTTGTTCTGACTAATACATTGTGGATAATCAACGCACCCGATGAATCACTAGTTAAGCACAGTAGGGCTGTCTTCAGAGTTAATTTTTCACACTTGGATTGTAAGTCGGTATAGTATCTCTACGATTACTAACAAACTGAGTTAGATTGGAACGAGACTAAAGATAATCACACTAATGAATGCCACCAATTTGTGAAGACTATCATTATGGGTTACATAAACTTCCCAGTCAGTGTCCTAGAAACAACAAAGTCCGAGTGTAACGGGGGGGAGTTATCTCAAAGCTGATTACCAAAGTGCAAACTCATCTAGTGTCCAGGTGACATCCTCTATCAAAGCTGTTCACTAATAAGTAAATAAAATGAAATTTTTCTGTATGTGGAAGGAGAGATTGAGTGAAGAATCTTAGTTCATTGAACTAACACCTAAAACACGTAACAGGAGCGACTATTCATGTATTTGGAGAATTTTACTACGATCACAACTAAAGAATGAAGAACTATCGGAGAATATAAGTGAGGTTTGGAAATTAGATGATCACTCTGATATGAATATGACGGGTAAATTCCGCTCAAAATGTCATCCAGTAAATAATACTGTCCCTGTGTTTTTTCAACTAGAAAATTTAATAAGGAATGAAACCGAAACGTGATATACGACATCCGTCAGACAACACAGGAACTTACCGCGTCCAAGAGCAGCACCCTCAAACAGACTTCAGCTGGAAATCCTACTGGACACTTTCTAGCAAGCATAGAGCTAATGATGAACCAATTTCAGAAAACGTTACGCAAGGATTACAGGAATTTGTTCCACGAAGATAGTAAAACAGACGGCGGTGAAAAATGTATGTTTCTGAATGGAACACTAGAATTCGTTAAAAAGGGAAGGTGTGTGTGTGTGTGGGGGGGGGGGTGGTACATTCCCAAAAATAAACGTGTTACACTTAGTTTTTTTAAATTCGTCTTATTGAAAGTTTTAATTGTCTTTTTCGCTAAACGTATATCACTGCGTTTCACCACTTTCAAGAGTGTTATTTCCCACTTTTAACATGCTACTCCATCTACTTACTCAAAGGGCACATTCACTGTATATAAACGCAAGAGTTGTGTCCTTGGATTGATACCTTCATACTTAGTGCCAACTGTCAAGTATCGCATCGTTCACACCGTAAATAGACTGGGTTCCCAATTCTTCCCATTCGATCATGTCAACAGTAGCACTTTGCACAGAAGTCCATCATCGTTCACAAATTGGACAGCTTTCTCCTCACTAATGACCTTGTTCATTCTAAAACCTTCATATTTTTGTGCTGCTACAAATTATAGTAAATGGGATGAATTCATATTTGCAGGAGGTTTTACGATGTCACGTTCAGTCTACAATTACTAATCAGAACTACCAAGTGAGTTACTTGAATGTTTGTTTTTTATATGTAAGTACGATAGGTGATTCGTTGAGGCTATGAACTTGCAGGGACGACTAAGACACGTGATATGCTTATCTAACCCGTACGTATTCTAATACTCTTCGTATGCATATAAAACCTCAACTTCAAACTTGATTTCTTATGCAATCAGGAATAACATAATTACATGCATTCTATATTAATACCAATTTTGTACGCAAGTATTTTCCCGATAAAAAGAAATACATACATACAGTATAATATACAAAGATTTACAAATAAAACCATAAAAATAGTGTTAACTGAGAAATTGTCATCTTCGTAATGATGATACACATTAAGTGTGTGAAGTGTTGTTCGTTTTCCCCAGGATCCTTTCCAATCGACTATGCATAACTTGGATAAATAATCGTTGATTCGGTTTCAGATAAGCAGCCTAGATTTGTGTTAAAAAGAAAACAAGAGGAAGAGGCGTTAGATTCTCTTGAAAAAGTAATATTATCATAATCTTTAATTGTGATGCTGTGTTCAAACTTCAATCTTTCATAACGAAGGCATTTACGAATAAATATTAGCGGATCTTTTAAATGCATCATATGTTATACGAATAAAAAGTTTTATTTTGCATCAACACACTTAAACCTCAATTTTAAACGTATCTTCTGCATGTCGCTAAGGATATCAAGGTATGCAGATGCGTACTTGGACGAAGTGAATGCTTAGTTCGACAGAGCAAATTTTCTCTTCAATCCCTATATTTAACCTACGTTGTTATAAAAAACACCCTTGGAAAATAATATCACACAAACGACCGTCTTTATTTATTCAATAAGCATCTTCTGTCACCTGAAGAACACGATATTGTAAGAACTTTTTTTGAATGATTAAGTGGATTTCCTGTTTGTAAAGCTTTACATTATATCACAGTACTTAGCCACTTTGTCTGGAAATGTATCAGAACATATGAGCGTTCCATTTATGCAATATTTTGTAAACATCAGCTTTTCAGCATTCTTAACAGTTCAGACATGAAAGGTATTTAACGTCGGTCACCTTATAAACAACCGATTCTTTGGAAAAGTATTCAACATAACATTTCCACAATTTTTTCTGACCAAACTCTTTACTAGCGATTAGTATTGTTACTTTTAGACAAACATATGCAAACATAAATGTTATAAGGAGGGTTACCTGAGTCAACTGATCAAGAATCTCAAACATATCATCCTGCATCAAATACTCGAAATGACTACGAACAAGTGAAATATTCTTTTGAATTAAACTTTTGTCTTCTTGGCCGACAACTGTAAACCCAGCTGATAGTTTAGTTGGAGTTAAAGACGATAGTTTTGGTGATTTGAATGGAGAAGTAGTATTGTTATTGGAAAAGGAAAGATCACGTATACGCTGGGGTTGAACACACTGATCTCGTGTACCAGCTTTGATATTTTCAAGCATTATATCGGGATTGTTTATAAAATTTGTTAAATGCTTCCACAGTAAGAATGTCGACTGTTCAATGATACCTTCAAAAATTATAGATAATCGGCAGAGTGAGAAAGAAGCGAGTGATAATACTTCAGTAAAAATAGATTTAATAGATAAAATAGATTTAAGTACACAACAATCGTACACCGATAACTAATATACAAACATATGCTAGTCAGTGGCCACGATGCAACTTGATACACTAGAATGAGCAACTGGAGTCAGAAGAAATAAAATGAGACAATTTTGTTATCTAGTTGTAAGCAGGTTTAAAAATGTGAGACCATAAGTCACCAGTTCCATTATCAGTGATAATCACAACGGCATAGAAGTCAAAGATCTACAAATTTGGCATTTAGGCACCATAGTAATTGATTTTAGGTTAGAATTCATTATGGACTGACATCAATTTCAGGAACATTCTAAACCTAGGAGCAGCGGACAGCTGTTTCGACCTAGTATGGGACTCCTTAGCAATGCCCACTCATGACTCCGCCAGGGATCGAACCCAGCACCTTACCATTGAGCTACTGGGTCGGAATCCAATCGTCCATATCTCCTACTTCTGTCAGTTCACGATATAGTGCGACATTCAATGTCGTCGTTGAGTAACTGTCCTCATGTTCGACTTGGTTGACGCCACTGGTCACGACTTCTAAGCGGAACTTCAAGAATCACCTCTCACGGATAGTCACCAATGAGCGCTAGATTAATTCTGTCTGGAGGTTTCTGAAGACTTTGGTAATTGCTTTACGTAGATTTTTCATGTTAACTTTATTACCTATGTCTATCAGTCAATCCATCAGCCTATTAATAAACAAAATAGAACTTGGAATTACTGTGTAACGATCCAAGTTGCGTTAACTCACACCAAGATGGAAGATAGACAAAGGAAGAAATTCTTAAGCAATGTGGAGGAATAAATCAATAACGCAATTCGATATGCCAGTTAATATGAAGATTTGTGGATGCATTTGCGACACTGAGCCACATTACACAGAGTTTGACAAACTTTGTTTCTTCCATTGTGTTGTTTCAGCATGGTCTGTTAATAATCCACATTCAACGAAGTAGCTAGTGTTTTTTGTTTTGGAATTAATATCACAGAAATACTATCAAAAGTGAAACACTGGCAGATAAAAATGTTTTCCCACTAAGTGCATTTGAGATCAACAAACATGGAAGTTAATAGACTTTAGGATAAAAATTTGATCTGATAGAATTGAATAAGTTAAGGATTGAATAAATGGATTATAAAGAAAATATATTTTAAAAATCTTAGTGGTGTAAGAAAATTTTTTTGACGTTTCGTGACCTCGTAGAAGAAGCTTCTTCAGAGAATAAAATCTGCATAAGTTATCAGATGTTTAAATAGTAAATGGAGATAAATCAGATCACGCTGCTCAAACAATAATAATAATATGGAAATGTTATTGTTATCAATTATTAGTCCGTGAGTTCAACGCATGTAATTGTATGTGTGCACATGTAAATGTGTGAGGAAAAACAGTATAAAATTTAAGTCTAGAATCTTGAGTGGGGTTGTTCACTGAAGTATTTTTAAGCGCAATGACAGAGCATTATTCCATGTTAGTTGATTCGTTTGGTGTATCAAATACATAATACTATATAGTTATTATTACATAGAGAAACTAATGATATTCATATGAGTTTATCCCCCCTAACATAACGAAACGGCACGTAGAACTAGATATACACTCATTTAGGGGACCTCTGAATTGCTAGTCCATCACCATCAACTACTATTACTTTACAAACAAGGATTATGTTCTTGAGTAATGAACTTCGAGAAGGCTTTTTCCTTGTGTTTCAAAGCATTTTACAGATCCCGTTGATACTCTACCCCTACGCCAAATAGGGTGTAATAATAAACAAACAAAAAAAAAGGATAACAGTGGCAATGGAAAAATAAGCACAACTCACCAATAAGTCCACACAATTGAACACGTAAACAACTGACACCAATCTGAGTTAATCTTTGCATCACTAGAATTTCTGAGTTTTGATTGTCTCTACTGACAGTTCGACTAAAAAGTGTATATATATAAAGAGAAATGACTAATACAAGGTAATCATAAATAACGTAGTAAGTATGGGCAAGAGACAACATACAATCCACAAGAAATAGGATGTAGCAGACAGTAATTTGAGTACTGGGCTTAATGGATAATAATTACAAGCTAATCACAACTAAAAACAAATGGTACTACAGTTAATTTCACTTAACTATAGCTCTTAAATAGGACAGATTTCGGATCTGGGTAAGGATGTATTATTGATACCTACATTTTGAAAAATGTTATGGAACAAGCAAACTTACTAGTACTAAAAGTTGGCAATCTTCTTTACCTGATGAAGTCAATAATGGAGAGGCACTATGACATATTTTTCGTTTTGAAACGAACGTGAAGCAAGTATGTTATGACAATCAATGTTCTCTACTTAAACTCATCCAGTAACTACATTTGAACATTCATACTAACCTTTATTTATTTAGTCTCTATTGTATCATATCTCACTTCCTTTATCACTCTATTTCGATTGACGACTATCTTCTGTGCCGTTATGAAGCGCGATAATTTAAGCTGATTCACTTTTCAGTCAGTTCATCCAAAACAGTAGGCAAGTCAACAACAGGACGAAAGAAGAAAAAGAAATAAGTATCCAAAGGATAACATTGTCACGATTTTGAAGATGCTAAAGAAAGAGCGCATTTTCACTCGGCAACAGCATAAATCCAATGTATATGAGTGTGTAAACGGGATCTCCCATTAATTTTAATAATACCACTTATTTCGTAAGAGATAAACACTACACTACTTTTGTTTTACTTACTCATTAGAATTTAATAACTGTATAGGACATTTAAAAATGATAGACGAAGCTTGTTTTAATTGACCAAGCGATGGGTTTTCATTGGCTAGTTCACACTAGTAAAAAAAACATAAACAAAAGTAATTTATGTAATCATCAGTTATCGCATGAAGTTTTTTCCGTAAAAATCGAAATAGTTTAACCTGAGAATGACTGATGTACCCGTTGAAAGTATAAGCTCGTCCTAAAAATCATTTTAAACGTGCTCAAGGTCACGGTGGAAAGAGCATTAATTTCAGTGAAAGAAATACACTTTCGAAGTAACTGATTTTGCAGGTTTCCGAGGGAACACCGTTCGCTGTCACTGGGATAGAGCTGAATAAGGTATAAATTCATGATCAGTTTACGATCTGGAAAAGCATAATTACTTTAAAAGAATGTTGTCTACGATATGACTGATAACTATAATTGAACAGAGATCTAGTCACCTAGTCAATCAATAAATAGTACTAATAGTAAACTGAAAGCCCATAGTCTAGAAATTCTTTCGATACATCTAAACCGAACAGGTTCACACAGCATTCATTGCCATGCAACCTAAAATTTCAACGCATCACCAAAATTTACTTATTTTAAACACAAGCTTAGTGTAACATATACAAAAAGAAATGTGCCACGAAAATACTAAAAGAAAACAAGAGCGAAATGCGTCATCTTGGCTGCGTTGTGTTCTTTGAGCTGGGCAGTTTAATTGTGAAGTTTTCATCGTCTTTCTGGACAATATCACCAGCACTAACTTCAATATGAAATGAGCTGTCAATATCTCCCCGTTAGTGATACAGTAGCTTGCCCTGATGAACCGGTTTGTGCGTGGTTGTTTCCTTTGGTCGTCGTGTCATTGACGGTATAGATTTTCTTATTGGCTGCTTTTCTGTACGACCTCCGCTCTTTTGTTGTCCTTATTGGTTGATAGATTGGATCTATCTGTACAACTATTGATTGCTGACTGACGTGGATGACAAGCTTTTAAGAAGTCTCTAATATTCTTTGTTTCATCAGTCCAAGATTTCTACATTTTCAAAAATGAATTCGATCCTAAGGTATCCACGTGCATTGAAATGAGTGATGAAATATCGTGACGTTTACTGGCAAATTGGTGTTCATGAACACAACCAAGGTCATTCACCTAAGCTCTAAAATCTTCTATTTCGAAAGACTTCACTGATGATGTTTCTGGCCCTAGCCAGGGAATTATCATGCATCAGCAGACACCAGCGCAACAGAACGATCCATCATCCAAAAGTGCTACATCATACACTGGTCACTCCGTCGTTCTTACCAAAACATCTTGGGACTAGAGAACAGTGGCTGGTGAGGAAGCCATTGGGAAAGGTTATGTCTAGCTCATAGCCGTGTTTAAAATTGAGTTCACTCATGGAATGATAATCATCTTGTTTGGACAAGCACCGTCAGACATTAGAATTAATCATTTGGTGAGGTAAGTAATCCTAAGAAGACAACAACGATTAAACACAAAGTGGTTAAACACTCAGACAGGTCAGGTTTATTGGACTAGACACATGAATAGAATTCCATTCCACAAACCGCTCATCAACTACTTCGGCCCAGGTATAACCAGGTAATATCACAACACAATAGTTATGGTTCACATTTTTATGCATAAAACGTGTACCGGATTGAAATATATGATACATGCATAAAGCATGACAACTAGCATTGAAGTCTTGTACATATGGTACTGAGAAACGGTTTGATATGTAGTGATAAATATCATCAGTTACACCTCCAACACCAATCACACAACGGCCCTTCTCTGAACAAACAAAAATCAGATGTTCAGATCACCGAAGGCCATAACCATAATCGACTTGGAACATAACAAACAGTTGAACTGCAGGAAAAGAAATCAATTATGACATGGAGTATAAAAATACATTTAAGAAAAAGTATCCTGTAAACATTTATTATAGAAGTAAACAATGAGACATACATTTAATAACTGAGCAACAGACTGTCCAAATTGTTGCTGATGTTCATTTTTATTCTGCGAACGACTACTAAGAAATTGAGCATCAACTAGAGCCAAACAAATCTTCTCTTTACTTCGTAAACACTTCAATGCCCATTTCAATAAATTGACAAACAGTGTCAGTGTATCTTGAACTTTTGTATTCATGACTGAATTCTCTGTTTCACAAAAGATATCAGAAGAAATGCAAAAAACAATCAAGAAAGTAGTTATCCTACAAGGCTAAGGTTAAAAACAATCTTTATAAAAACTTTACATAGATAAAAAATAGTAGAAGTGATTCGTCAACAGTCATGAAAGCATTTAAAGGGAAAACGTTTCAGCATTGAAAGCATTCCCAACATGTACAATCTTATATAAATAATAATTTTATATGGTAACAAAAGTGGATTTTTTATGAGAAAAGTGTGTAGTGTGAATAGTAACAATCACATAAAAATGCATCACTAGCGCCTTATAAATGATCTTCAAAGAACTTATTGAAGTGAAGATGTATTATTTTTAACAAAAAAAAGAAAATACTCTAACGTTTGCTTTCTAGGTATAGTTCTGAGCATATACAAGTTTTGTAGTGAAGAGGAAACAAAAGAATATCACACAGTTATACTTCGTATTTTTCAACTGACTAAGAAAAATTCAGTATTCTTCCCTTTCGTGGAGAACTAGAAATAACACTTAGTTCTGAGTGCACTTTTATATTATAATACCTAAATTTCGAGTTCCTAACACTGTAAACATACTGAAGCTATACGAAGTGGTTGAGTTATACCTAACTTTATATGCTGATGAGTACTAGTACAGGTTGATAGAACGGTAGTAGATCCAATGACGATAGAAAGCGATGAATCACACAATACTCAAACTCATCATGAAGGTGAAAGTTTATCATGAGACACTAAAAACGTAATTAATACATCGTTTAAAAAAGGCCAGCATGCTGAGAAAAACACATAAACTAAGTCTTATACGATTAGACCTCAGAATGAAGATTTATTTACTTTTAAAATACGACAGTACATGACCAATGATAATACTCCACTTACCCTGTTCAGATGTGATTGTATGACTACTGAAAAACTGGAACAATGAACGTGTTGACCATTTATTCACTCCATCTGAGTTGAATTTTCGTATCCTATTCTCTGGATTACTTAAATACGCTGTTAGTATAAACAGTAAACTGCATAAAAGTTGTATATGTTGAGTTTCAATGAAAAAGTATTCAAAGGCTAAACAACTACTTTGAAATTGACTTCTTCTGGATAACTCATCACACGGACTGACATTAGGATTGATTAGATTACCAAGTAATTCAAAAACATGACGCAGAATTTTTGATTGTATAATTTCTCGTTGCAGATTGGAATATCTAAATAGTATAAGGATAAAATATGACTTCATCTAACAATGAAACGATTATAACAAAAATATGGTTTACAGTTGAATTCGTAGTCGACAGTTCAGTTAAGAAAAATGTTTAAAACCGTCTTCATTCAAGCTTACACTCCTCTGTATAAACAGAAGAACAGGTTTTTGACCAACAGTTTTTGTTCACAGTGATAATAATAGGTTACTGAATAAACAACTATGTGGTATATTTACATTAACAATTGTTTTCAGTAACTTCCACCTCAGAGTGGGTGGGGTCTCCGAGACTGTAGGAATCAGTGGTTGAAAACTGTTGGTAACATGGATAAAAATCAGTCGCAGTTGCACAAATGTATACACACTCCTTGATGTCCTCTGAAGCCTGAAAATTTGCATTAACCTTCATCTTTAAATTGCTCATTCTCACACTGTTTTATCTTTGATATCACTCCTTTTCTATTCACCAGTTCTTTGCATACTACTGTAAAGCGTGGCAACTTGAGCCGATGCACTTGTATCATCATCATCATTATCAACATAGGACCAGGCATTACTGCGTAACGGTCCGAGTTGCCACACCTCATATCAGCACATCAAGTAAAAAGGTAGTGAGGTGAAGGATGAAGATAAGTGAATGCAGTCAAAAGAAATATAAAGTACGAGAAGAAAGGAAAAAGGAGTGACAAAACAGTGAGATTCGGTATAGCGTTGTTAAGATGAGGATAATGTGTGTATACATCTGCGCCACTGACTTCGGATCTGAGCCATATCACCTAGGGTCTCCAACCACTGGTTCCTCTTGTCCCGTGGACCCCAACCACCTAGTCTGCATCGTCCTACATGGCTTAAACCAACAGTCAGAGACTTCATACATTGGTGCCATGTTTTAGTCTGGCCACCTCGGGCCTTTTTCCAGCCTGAACCCACCTCAGACAACATTGTGTGACGAGGCAATCGGTGACTAGGCATACGTAGTACGTCCCAACTATCTCAGTCGATGAAGGTTCACAACCTCGTCGACTGACTTACCTCTTCTCCCTAAAACTCTACACCTAACTTCTGCATTACTCACATGGTGACACCACGGAATACGTCCTATACTACGAAGGCAACGGTGGTCAAACACCTGAAGCCTTTTTGTATCCTCCACTTTCAGTGGCCATGTTTCACAGCCATACAGTAGAACAGACCGGACTGCTGTGCAGTACATGCGACCCTTAGTAGACAAACGAATATCACGGCGGCGCCATAGGTGGCGCAAATTGGCAAAAGCCAATCGAGCCTTTTGTATCCGTGCAGAAATCTCATCGGCAACTAACCCATCGGGGTTGATCCTACTTCCAGGTAAGTGAAGTGGTCAACACACTCAACCACTTCGCTCTCTATTGTTAGCCGCGGTACCGCTGAAGACCAGTCCTGGAACAAAAATTTGGGTGGTGAAATCGCATCCCAAATATTCTCAAATTCCCACTTGTATACAAGGTTCTACATTGATTTTGTCTCTGTCTGTCTGCAACAGCTTCTACGTTTATAAATTACTGAATGCTATCATAAAGTAGCCAATGTATGGCATAAATTCAAGTAACTAAATGATTCGGAAACCAAATAACCTAATGACAGTAATTAGTATGCTTTCAGATTTTTCATTGAAACCAATGATGGAGAGTGACTAGTAGCGGGATTCAAGATGGACGTATCATCAGCTGGATTCACCCACGTCTTAATGAGTGATGTTCCCACTGACACTCGAACCCAGGAACAATCACATTAACATCCGAGCTAAATGACATCATTTTCGATTGTTACCTTGAACAAGACGGTAGGAATTTTTGTTTTAATGTTGACGGTGTTTTGATTGGCTTACATAATTTTATCATTTGTAGGATCCCTTATATCAAGACAGAGGATTTAGCACCATTTTTAAAATATGATCTAGAATACTTCAAGATAAATCTAATGATTGCCGTTTTCAATGCAATAATCATAACGAATATGAAACCAAAAGTATGCTGACAAAAAACAGGAAGTAGTCATTCGAAGGCTGAAATCCGACGAAAGTTTAGTACTGGTTAAACCTGACAAAGGATCTGGTGCGTTTATCGTGAATGATTACCACATGACGAAAAAAGAAAACTCTTTGTTGAATACTAAACTCGAGAAGTCTTAAACATCTGAACGACACCAATTATCCCGAATTAATGAAGGGACATATGCAAGAGAACACTATCCCAGAACCTACATTTAGGAGTCAAATTTACAGGAATGCATATACTGAGGCTTAATGGTTTATTTATTCACCAAACAGAATAAGTCATAGACTTGATTCTTGATACGTCCAATCCATTACGTCACTTAACAGGGAAATAGACAGCACAGTTATTCAGACTTTTACACTGTGAAATATTCAGATTCACTGCAAGACATGAATTCACATTTTTCTGCATTCTGCTCGATTTGAGTTAGAATGAGAAGACTTGGTTGAGCAGGGAGTGTGCTAATAATGACATGACGTATAACATATTCGCATGGCAACCTGACAAAGCATTTGTTGACTGAAGTGAAGACCTAGTCGGTGGTTGGGTTCCAGTCTCATAGATCAGCTGGTAGAGCACCGAACCAGTAAACCAGATTGTCATAGACTGGAACCCCATAACGACGCAGGTTTTCATTTCCCCTCCATTCATCACCATTATCATTCACAACAGTCTCCTAAACCCCTGTTATCTGAGATAGTCTCATCAACAATCATTTCAGTATGTATTCATAGTATTTAGTTTTCACCTATCTCAACGCAAAACAACATCTGAAATCTAAGTAAGATGACCCGTTGGATACGGGAGATGACTTTCAAACGATGGGTCAGGGATTCAAACCCCGCTCCGCCTACCGAGGTTTGAACAGTCAGGTAGTAGCCCACAAACAATAGGCGTGGTTCACTGCCTACTGCACGAATGTACACCTAGTTGCTGATTGCATCTTGATTTCTCCAATATGTTCGAAATAAACCGTAGCTTAAATCAACAAAGCAATTCCCCAAAATAACGGTAGTTTCACGATTATTACGTCTATACAAAGTATAACGGTGAGGTGAATTGTATCCAATAAAATGTCAGATAATATACTTGTATTCGAATCTTGACTCATAATACGTAGACAAATTTGATGAAACCATCGAAAAAGCTACCAGAATGCTATGACATAACATGTTAAGTGTTAGCTAATCAGGAAAGAAACTACACTAAATACATCTACAAAGTGATATTTGATTAATTCTTTGCTTGGTGTTCAATTGAAGTATCATCGGAATTATATTTTGTTGGTTTTTGTATTTTAAAATACTAACAGATTAGTGAAGATGTCAAGTAAAAGTAACACACTAACGTATATATATACATCATGTACAATAGGTTAATAATAACGATCTTAAATACTATACACTGCTTCACTTACTCATCTGTACACGATATACTCAATGAACTGTTACACGCTTGCATAATCAGACTGAATAAACTTATAATATTGGTTTCGGATGCTATCCATTGAATGAGCCAATCAGAATTGATTTGACATGACGAACCAGGATTATGATTCACATATGACCAATCTTGTCGACTTAAAAAGGTTACAATGGAACTGGTCAACTGTGTTTCATTGCACATCAGTGAGCTTGAATGAGTATATACAAAATTGAATACTTGTTGATTAATAGACATATGTGTCGGACCTAAAATGTGAAAGGCAGAATAATAAGCCTTGTAATAAACAACTAACTAGCAAACATTTAATATCACACGCAATACGAAGATTCATGACAGAACGGATAACTCTTATGTGCTATACAGGAAATAAGGTATACACAAGATAAAGGCAGATATACAATATGGCAGACACACTAATCAATATAGCACCCGACACAAAAGCGTTTCAGTTCGATTTGTCACACTTCACAATAGCATGCAAAGAAGAGATGGGTATAAGAGCGACATTAGAGTAGACAAAAACGTTAGAGTGGAAGAAGAAGAAATAAATAAATGGGAATGTTCAAACTTTCGAAGATGTCAGAGAGTGAATACAACAGCGATATTGTCAGAGAGAAGAGTCAACCAATAATGACTATAGTTTCAAGGGCAACAAATAGATTGCCTACATCTCATATACAGTGTTAACAGCATAAACTTTAAAACAAGGGAACTATAACTTCCGTTTCACAATTAGCTCATCACGCTACATCAGTCAAAAACGCCCAAGGCTCTAACAACTGAGAAATATATCACATCGGAAAAGAAGGCAATCACGTACGTCTCTATCTACGCGAGCATCAACTAACAGATGCAACTCACGATGCATCTTCATCCTTATCAATTTATATGGACTATAGAGACAGATAAAACCAACAAAAGACCTGGGATTACTGAACAACAGTCCACGTTGGCACATCTGATATCAGGACATAGAGCGAGAACGAAATTAGACGAAAGAAAAGAAATAAGGAGGTTATCAAAAGTGGTAGAAAGGAGAATTAAGCAATAAGGAAATCCAGTGTAATGAGTAGAATGAAGATAATATGGGAATACATCTGTGCCACTGAGATCGATTTCGAGTCATAGTGCTCAAAGTCTTTAATCATTGGTTTCTATTGTAACGCAGGTCAAAACAGGAAGGTTTGCATTCTTTTACACGGCTCAAACCAGCAGTCAACGATTTTATGAACTAACATCATGTCACAGTCTGGCACTCTTTAACTCTTTCCAGACTAGACCTACTTCAGCTAACATTGTGCAACAAAGCAGGTGGTGAGTAACAGATGTCCTAGCTACCTGAGCCAATGGAGGTTCACAAACTCACCAAGCGACTTCCCTCTTTTGCCAAAAACTACACCTGACTTCTACATTGCTGAAGTGGTGAGACCAGGATACACGACATATGCTACGAAGGCAACGGTGGTCAAACACTTGAAGCTTTCTCATATTTCTCTGTCCTTAACGGCTATGTTTCAAAGTAGTACAGTAGGACAGAACGAACTGTTGCGCAGTATACTCGACCTATAATAGGCAATTAAGTATCAAGTCAGTGATGTGGATGACGCAAGCTGGCAAAACCAGTCGAGACTTTTGTATCCGTGAAGGTATTTCCTTGAACACTGAGTCACCAGGTCCGATCCAACTTCCAACGTAAGTGAAGTGATCAACACACTGAACTACTTCACTCTGTATTACTGTAGACGAGGAATCAACGCACCCCACCTCTGGAGCAACGATTTGCATTTGGGTGATGAGAAACCCAACCCAAATATTCACAAATTGCCACTCAAGGAGTTTGGAAGACTATCTCGTCAGTCTTCGCCCAACATGACTACCTCATTTACGTTTTACTAAGGAGTCTTCTGTGATAAAGACAATTCCCATGAAGATAATGAGAGCAAGACATCCATAAGGACATAACTGACGAAATTGAATAAGAATGAAGAAGGTGAAGATTTTTAACGGGTGCCACATGGTGTACATAGTCCACCTGATAAATCACCACTGGTCCTAATCGGCTCATGGGTGGTCAAGTGGGAAGCATTCAACAAGGCGATGTACTTACTCGGCATCCATTTCAGTGAGAGACACTATTATAAAACCTCATGATAGACGGAGTCAAATGCCACCTTCAGGCCTCGAAATACAGTCAATGTCGGGAATACCTAATTGTGCCTGAGTTGTGGAAACTGAAGTAGGGTGAATATCTAGTTGATACACCTACAACCAGTTCTGAAACCTGCTTGGTTTTCTACGGTTCGCTGCTCCCGAACTCTATCTAGATGTCTAATAATAATCGAACACACAATTCTAAATACTGTGTCCATCAAACTGATTACTCTGTGGTCATCACGAGGGGATTTCTTACCTTTGTTGAGAGTGGTGAGTTAAACTTTTCCCCGAAATTTTTCACCCCTAGTACCACTCATCTCCACAGTGTGAGAGTGGTAGACTCCCTCAGTCTCACTAACTGTTGATCTTTTTGACTTATTTCCCCTAAATAATTGTTTACTGCTGCATATCGCCACTGGGTTTTCCATTACTTTAACCTTCGCTGCCCTCCACTTCCCATGGTTGTTGAGTCGACTTCTTCTCAGTCTAAATACTGAGTCGCTTCCACTCCTCACTGTACTGTGTTCACGTGCATCCATCAGTTTAGAAGCTGTTGAGATCCACTGGTGTTTTTAATAGCAAACGGGAGATAGCACCAGTCTTCTTCTGGATGCGTGAAATCATCATATTTCGATAATTTTCTTGCTGCAAGTAGTCTTAATATTCTCAGAAAGGTCTTGTTGCCGTTTTTACAACTTCATTTACGCATAGATATACTCAAAAAAGAAAAACGCACCCAGTCATCTTGTGCACATGGGTGCAGTAGGCAATGAGCTTCATCTATTGTATGAGGGCTAGTGACAGTACCTGGCTACCCAAAACTCGATAGATGGAACAAGGCCTAAACCTGAGACCCTAAACTACTGAGCCACAGTTCCATAGATATGGACAGGCTCATGGTCGATACATGCGCTCTAGGAGGAGCGGCAATCTTTGGCCAACCTTCTTCAGCGGTAAAGAGTGAAAATATCTTGTTTCTGTTTCCACCATTGGATGCCAGGCTGGTAATCACCGTTATTTGTTCGTTCAGCTAAGATTCTGAAAGTACCCCCGAGGTGCCTTTCTGTTTGGCTTAGTCTACCCACTTGCCGACTTAAACCTCTTGCAACAACAGCCACACATCGTTTGGCTTTCACAAGGAGAATGGATAGTTTTCGGCAGAAACTATACTTCACTTCAGAGATTACAAAGAAACAATGGTTAGTTTCACTATTCCATTTAGTCTTCACTATGTCGTCCAATCGAACACCGCATAGGCGACTGTCAGTTGAGATCCAACCGAGCAGTGAACTTTCTGCCTAAGCACTTAATGCTGTACTTACGCCTACAAGATCACGAGAAAAAGCTGTTGAATTTTTAGAGACCCGATTGATGAATTTCTCAGATTCAGTATATTGATCGGTTGAGGTTACGTGAATAACCACGCTTGGGTCCTGTATCTGTCTAACAAGCACAGTACACGTCCATGGCCGACATACTAGAGAAGTCTGGCATGTTGTTCTATCAGTTCAAATCATTATCAAGAGCTAGGACAAATTAGAGATAACGTACGAATATTGAAAAAAAGACGGATACAGATTAGTGGACAAAGATATAGAACGTGGACAGTGTTCAGAGGGAAATTAAGTGCTGATAGAGTTGGGAGGACGGTTTACGCTTTCAGCCCGTTCATACCTTGGAAGGTCACTTCCTCTAGATGTATCTTAACAGGAATTGGATTAGTAATGGCAGTGTGTTACCGGAGTTGAAGTGACATCTGTTTGAGGTCGGTCGTACACAGTCTTGTTAGAAGTATGAGGCCTTGCTTGTTTTATTTGCATGCAGTTAGAAAACGAATACCACTGGCACCGGTAGACCACAAAGTAGAGAGTGTGCTACTTTAAAGGGCCGATCTTTTCTAGCCCCTATATCCTATATGAAAGACAGCATCAGAATTTTACTGCTAGTTGCATTCGGGTAACAGTTTACTGCTGTCACTTCTGTTCAGCCAGCAGTACGAATTTGCCCTTAGATCCCCATCATAGCGTAGCAATATACGCTATAATGGTAACCACTTGTTGTCTAACCACTATCCAATAGAACTTTCTAGTGTGGTAAAAGCTAAAGGGAACAACTACCTCGAACAGGAAAGATCGTCAAATCATAGGGATATGTGGTTCCGACCACCACCTCAAGGTAGCAGCTAGCGCTAGCGGGTTACTACGGTCATGAATGTGTGCGATTACGTGGGAATCTTAGGTAGAGGAAAAATGAACAATTCAAGGAAATATTCATGCCCTTAGTACCAAAGTCGATTAGGAATCAATAAGCAAAGCACACAAAAAAACAAGAGAAACAATTAAAAGCCCAGAGATTTGATGCGAAAAATAACCAGATGAAAATGTGTGGTGGATAACAAGTCAACTGAAAAACCATGACGGAATGATTTAGTGATTAACTTTAAAAATAATTTACTGTTAGTATTCAACATTTATGAATGAAAAACAAATAAAGACACACCTAATGAATTTAGCACGATCTTGCAAAGTCTCAGAGTGGGAATCAAAGTAGCGGCCCAAGTGACTTTCATTTCATCCTCTTCATCTGCTGTTAAGCGACTACACTCCACGCTACCAGTAATCACAAGTTCAAGTAAATCCCAATACACACAATTATCACTTTTAACAGCAGCACTAAATGGAAATGAACGTAAATATTTAGAAGAACGGAACCAAGTTAAATCGGTTTGATTGCATTCATCCGAATTGTTGGGATAATTGACTTGTTGATTAATATCTTCACAAATATATAAACTATCTAAGCCGTAGGAATAACAACTGGCCAAATTAGATAGTGAAAATAATTCACAGTTAGCCAAACGATTCAATATACCATGAGTCGATAAAATCTAGAAGTGAGAGAATGACACGGGGAGAAAATAAACTGAAGAAGCAGAGTTTATCACAGATACCATGCAAAAGGGAATATAGCAGACCGGAAAATTTGTTTTACATACTTGCAATTTTCGTCTGCTGATTTCAGGTATTCATATGCAGTCGGTAAAAAGAATGGCTTAAATTACGATGTTTTTGCAGACAATCATTAGCACGATATAACTGCAACACCCATGGGATTGATGCTATTAGAGAGATACGGACCCATAATGCTCAGTACTTAAGTCAGAGACAGTTGACCTTTTTAAATGGTTTTCCAAAAGCTCTTAGTTTGATGACCAAACTGCAAATGTGATAGATGGTATTTGGTTGAATGCAATTAGTAGGAAGACCTGCACAAAAGTCTTGCAATCGTCAGACAGACAGAATAAAAGTAGAACCTTGCACATGATTGCTCACACTCGTCATTAAGCATGAGACTAAATGTGTTCAGTAGCCTAACAAAAATCAACGTGTACTGCGGTGGTAAGTCTTCGTAGCTTAGTAACCACATTTCGAAATGAACAACGGAATATGATCAGGACTAAAGGTTACAAAACATGATGTTATTTACTCTCGGGCTACTATTCATAGTACTCTCATCAACATACAATTAAGTGTTTTCAGAAAAAACCAATATTTAACTAACGATCAATGGAAATCACTAGTTAAAACAACCTTCATCTTATTTGTTACGAATCTACCTACAGCTGCAATGGATAAGCAAAATACTCTCAACGGCTTGAACAACGTTAAATGAATGTCTTCGAATATTATCTTCACTTTAAAAATTATTACTTTAAGTTAAGACTAGACTGCTGACAAACTTAATTTAATTAAATGAAATCCACTCACGAGCCTTTTATGCTTTCGTACTGTAGGCAGTGAGTCACACCAATTTTGTGAGGCCTAATGATGCTACCTGACTACCTAAATCTCAGTAGGAGGAGCGTAATCTAACCCGCGACTTAACAGTACAAAGTTATCTCGGTAAATCAATGAACCACAACTCCACACTGACAAATAGACAACATGAAACAATACAGGATAGTTTATCCCGCAGCTAAGTTTGAAAGGATAAAATGCAGTTACCTGAACAATTCTATAAATTTATTAGGCGTAACGAATTGAAACGAAAACAACTAAAATTCAGGCAATCAAGATACACCTGAAATAATACTTAATAGTATTAAAAAAGAGTATAAAGATAAGCCGTATAAAAGTACAGGAAGTCGAATCTACCTTCGCTCCAACAGGATAACTGCCTATCCTACATAGTAGTGACATTTTCGATTGATATAATAGGAAGGCAGATACAGCAGTCGATATACAACTACCAATAGGATCGACTGGAAGATGACTACGGCGATTGTTATGAGCCGCTGATGAATCATCTAGCATTCCTGTATCAATAGACGTCAAGAATTTGCTGATTGTATTCAAATCCTCCATTACCGTGTCCAAAATATGCTGTAAAAAGAAAGTAATCGAAAAAAGTTCGAAATACAAATTCATAACGACTTTTGACGACATCAGAAATACAGTTTTGTAAAGCTACGTAGACGTGTAGCAAGAAACTTGATAAAACTATGCATCAGTCAATAGTGACACTCGTTTCTAACTACTTCCAGACTTTAGCATGTGCTACAGTAGTAACCTCAGTTTTCAATGAACAGACGAACATGAGCATAGGATCATAAGAAAATTTGTTAACTGTCCAAGCTACCTAACTTTGAACAATCATATGTCCTAGTAACTACACGCAGGTTTATGCACAATGAGATGAAGCTAACAGATTATATGAATAAAACTAGCTCTTCCTTATTTTAATTTACACCATTGAAAACTACTTTATTTTGTCACATCGTTGCACGGGTTTTGATTCCTGGCATATAACACCTTGTCGCACTAATATTCACACTTCATAAATTACAAAATCGTCATCTAAATACTTTTCAATGCAGTCAAATCACATTCTTCCTCTCAATTACCAATCTTGGATCTCAGACATCTAGTCTCCTGAATATATATCCCATATGACAGGATGATTCAAGAAGTCCAATTTCAAATTCAAGGGAATTTATTGATCTTAAGATTCCACAAACGACGGATGTCGGTGATGAATACTACGTTGTAACCATAAATTATCTTCACCCAAGCAAAAGCGCTTTACGACTCAACTTATTATAAAAATGAAACAGACACATTCGTTATTGTACAGCTCAGTATATATATATATATATATATATATATATATATATATATATATATATATATATATATAATGGAACACTTCTTCCATCGAGGTCCTATCACCCCATAAAAGTAGGTCAAATAGTGGGAAGACGAAAAGAAGTTACCATTCTAGTATAAATTACTACATTATGATGGGGGTTTGGAGGGGAGTCGTACTCCCGCTAGTTGGATAGGATGTAACTCCAGTAAGGCCTTTCCTCGGATGATCAGCAGTACCACGCTGGTACTGCCTTCCCAACAGAAAGTAGAGGTAGAAAAGGTCAGTCCCCAAAACAACCTAATCCCACACTCTTCCGGTCCCGGCAATATACATGCTCTCGATCCGGCGTTAGAAAAACCAAACCTCAAAACAACAATCCACGAAAGGCTATATTTGACAGTCCTCAAGCAGATGTCCCATACGCTCTGCGATCATACAAATCTTTTCCCCTTCCAACTACCTAAACAAGAAAACTAGCCTTCCACAGTGTGGAAAGCCATGAAATGTCAACCACTCGCACGCTTTCAGTACTACTACATAAGACACAATCAAATATAACACTGTCTCCTCCCTCACCTTTACCTTATAATACTAACATAAAGCCACTTGCATCTTATCCAACCTCTCACTCTGTAACCAGTGCCAACGACCAAAACCATCAAAACTTCACTCCTAGTCTCCAAAACCCCACCATCGATTTCATGTAGGAGCTTTCAACATTCGAGCTCTATGTCATATCGGTCAGTAAGCATCGCTTCTTAAAACTCTGGAACAGTGAACCATGGGTGCATGCTACCTCGAAGACGAGAAACACAGGACCCGAGTGTGGTTATTAAATTGACTTCACATGGGTATAGTAGTGGATCTTCAAAACCCACCTTACGAGTATCCAGAGACCCAGTGGCTAACTTCCGTAGACTTGCTGGTGTAGGCATAGCATTCAGTTGTTGAGTGGAAAGTGCGCTTCTCAACTCAATACTAAAGAAAACCTGTGTCGATAGGCTGTTCAACTTAATAGATCTGTAAGAACTAGGAAGGATCGTGAGACCAGACGATGCCTATTCGTAATCTCCGTTTATCCACCCACTGACTCCAGTTCAGATGATGCAAAGCATGAATCCTATGAGAAACTGTCACCTTTTTCACAGAAAGCAAAAGGTTTAGATGTGGTTATAATGGCAAGTGACTTCAACGCTCAAATAGAGAAGGTGAGACAAACTGAAAGGCATCCTGCAGATATTTACAGAATCCCATGCCAACGAACCGACAATGGTCACTGTCTGTTGACATTTTGTTCTGACAACCACTTGTTCCCGGTCGGCACTAATTTTGGGCACAAGGAGAGACACTGTCTCACATGGTGTCCGCCGACTTCAAACCAACCATGCACACAGATCACACTGCAAAAACGCAACTCTGCAGAGGACCGGGAGATGATTGTCGCTCTTTCTTGAAACCAGTTTGAACTACGATCGTGCGCCACTACGTGCTCGTGCATGTCCGCGCACTCAAATGACAGATGACAACGCCAAGTACGCTTTGAGAGGAGTAAGCCAAAAATATATCTGAAAGTGACAACAATGGTCATGCTGAGGAAACACGGACATACAATGAGTCTCCTAAACAAAAACTGGTAAAAAGTTGATAACCTACACCAGAAGGTTAGAAAACATCACTGGAATTTCACGACGTCACCTTGACTGACTGATGCAAAAAATGCTTAAAACCTGCTTTCACTATAGTGAAGATCGAAAATCACGTAAGCATAGGTTGACCAAGAGTCTTCTCCCAGACAACGAGTAGTAGTACGCGGCGGAAGTAAAACTGATGCAGAAGGTATGTGTTGAGTAACACTCACTAACTATTTTTGGCTCTCAAGGAAACCGACAAGAAGATGATGGTGAGTGGAACCATGATCTGACTTCACAGATCACCTCAGTCTACAAGAAGGGGGAGAAACCTTTCTGTGACAACCGTAAGGGAATTAGCTTGACTAATATTGTGTCCAAGATCCAAGGGTGCGTAGTTATCCGACGCCTAACTGGAGCGCCAGAACGGTCGACTCAAGAAAACCAGACAGGTTTTAGACCTCTCTGGACGACAGGTGCATCAATCAAACACTCACCCTTCAACAGGTTCTGAAACACAGGTGTACCTACCGACCAGTGGTCGACACTTGACCTGAAGGCGGTGTTTAACTCTCTCGATCATGAGGTTTCGTGGCAGTGTCTGACTGTCAAGTGAGTACCGAGCAGGTACATGACGCTTATAAAAGCTCTGCATGCGAAGTCATAGCCGTCTAACGGCTTATGGAGAGTTCCCATATGAACTGAAGACAACTAGTGGTGTTCTCCAGGGATGTCCACTACCACTGTTCCTATTTAACTTCGTCAGAGATGTACTAATGGACACAACCTTGGGCACGTCCAACGTCACAGGGATTGACCTACTCCCTGGAGGTCATCTGGTTGACTGACAGTATCCAGACAATATTGTCCTACTAAGTGAAAACGCTGACAACATGCAGGGTCTTGTGAATGCGTTGGGCAGAAATCTGAATATGTTTGGCATGCGTTTCGTTGGCACCTATCAAATGTAAGATGATGCTCCAGGACTGTTCTGCTGCAAGTACTCCGAGTTTAATGATAGGGAGAGAGTGAAGTGGTGGGATGTGTCGACTAATTCACTCACTTGGGGAGTTGCATCAGCCCGAACGGGCTGATTGCTGACGAAATCTTATCTCGGATGCAGAAGACCCATTCCGCTTTTGCTAACCTCTGCTATCTGTGGCGCTGATTGGCAAGATATCTGACTATCTATCAAAGAATGAGTAGACTGCACTGCAGTCCATTCTGTCCTGTTGTACGGCTGTGAAACATGACCATTTAAAGTAAAAAGTATGAGGTAGGCACAATTCTGTGATCATAGGTGTCTTCTCAGCATTGCTTGCGTATGGTGAAATCACCATGTTAGCAGTACTGAGGTCAGATGAAGATTTTTAGGCAAGGAAGGTAAGTCAGTCAATGAGGTTGTGAACCTTGATTAACTGAAGTGGCTTGGACATACGCCGCACAGGCCAAGCTACCCCGTACCTCGATGTGCGATGCTAGGGGAAGTTGAATTATGTTGGAAGATGGTTCAGGGTGGCGAGACCAAGACCTGATACCAGTCGGTGAAGTCTCTTACTGTTGGTCTGGGCCATGTGGGTAGATATAGACTACCTGGTTGGAGTCTGTGAGACAACAGTAATCAGTGGTGACAAGGGTGAAAGTCGGTCACATTGGCTCAGATGTATTCACTTCTTGACATCTGAAGGTTGAATATTCGAACTAACCTTTATCTTTAAATTGTTCATTTTCTCACTACTTCATCTTCTTCTCTTTTTCTATCCACCTGTTCTTTGTGTACTACTGTAAAGTGTGACAATTTGAGTCGATGCACGTGTGTGCGAGGTTCTTAGTTGATTTTGATAGTCAGTTAGACAGCTTTAAAAGTCAAATCATCCGAAATAAGAAATTCTTTCACTGACATCTTTGTTTTAGAAGTACATATGTACCAACTTGAAAGGAATAAATCCCCACAAACCACTATACTAAGAAATGCAATCCGTTGGATGAGTGGCTTGAGTAATCCCCTACTTTTAACTTCTATTGAGCACTTAAACATGACTCAAATATCTTGTTTTTTTACTAAATGTTCGGAGATTCTATCGATCGCCTAAATATCAGAACCTCGGAAATAAACGTGTTCCGAATCTCGCTTCTTATTTGCGCGTACGGTATCTATGTTAACATAAATAAGAAATTATCACGTAGAAAATGAATGATATCCCTAACACTTTTACGATGTTGTTCAGTCATTTTAAAACACTGTCTTTTTTCGCATCTTCTTTCTCAAGGACCACATAATTTGAAAACTATGAGCTGATCAAAGAATATTCGGGCATATGATCAGTCCCTAAAAAGTTGGAGAGGAAAGATGGGACTTCTAGAAGTACATCTAAGATAGAGCGGGATGAAAGTAGAGTAACAGGGCATTATGCGAAATCAATTACGGCTATGGAACTTTATGTGAATTACGATGAGTAGATATACCTGGATAGTGCCTTGAGTATCAAGATGTGAAATCAGTTGTTGTGAGCAACGATCGAAGGAAACTAGTAACTCTAATAAACTCATTGCAGCCATTTGAGTTACTGTATGACCATGAATCAGATCAGTGATTAGCATGGAATGAAGTTGGTTCAAATCAGACGGATCAACTGAGCCAGAATGATTAGTGTCAAAACCAGATACAGAAGAAGAAGTGAACACAGAGAAGCATTCTGATAAGGATTTGAAGTCAGACGATGCCATTTTATCTTCTTTCAATGATTGACCTAAAACACAGAAAAATATACCGTCAACACAATCTACAACGATATATATATATATATATATATATATATATATATATATATATATCAAGTCGAGTAATAAGAAAGCGGCAGTTAATTAGTTACCATTTGTCACAATAAAGAATATCGGTCATCGCGAACATCTGTGTTCTAGAATCAATATATGGAAATAATCTATGAGGTCATCTAATGCACAAGTTAGAAGGAGAGAACATGGATATCAACTATAGTAGGATGGATGAATGCTATGCGTTTCCCCTCGATACTCATCTATCCTCTGGTTTAATTTTTTCCTCGACGTCCTATCCTTCAACATTTCAACCAGTGCTGCACGAATATTGTTGCAGCCAATTACTGGATTTCTCTTCTCTTCGTAATAACAGATTAAAATAATCATCATGAATAACGTAGTTCAGCCATCATATGAAAGTTTTGCACTAGACAATGAGCCACACCAACTGAGTTAGGACATACGGTATTACCTAGCTGTCCAAACTCAGCCAGAGGAACAGATTTTAACCGGTAATCCATCAGTTGAAATCTTACCACTCAGACTAATTAGCCACAGTTCTATAGCAGCTCCAATCGATGAAGTTCTACTAAGGCCAACTTTTGTTTCTATTTAACAAAACAATTTAATAATTCTCTCGACAAAAGCATGTCATATTCTTTGGAAATCCTATTGTTAATAGGTAGTATGCAGAAGAGTGAAACATATCTGGCATAGAAAGCAGCTCGAGTAGATAACATCATTGCTGAAGTTGAAAAACGGATCTATTGGAATAAGTCAACTTAGTTACCTCCAGTTACACAGTCAACTAACGTTATCCAACTGTGTTCAGATGAACAGAATATCATTTAAATTTGATCCGAAATTCATATTAGTAACCGCAACCGCTTTTTCTCCTACAAAAACGTTGACAAGAAATCAATGACAGACACATTTTGGATGAAAAATGACAGTGATACTCAACAGAATATATTTAAATCTGATTACATATTGCGGAGAAACAGCTCAGTGGTAGAGCTGTGGACTGCAGGCAGAGAGGCCTAGGGTCAAAACCCGGGTGCTCCGTCACTTTTTAACCTGGCTTGGTTAACTAGTTCACTTGTTACTAGCCGGTCCTAAGCCAGGATAAACACGGAAGGTTGGGCATAGGGCTAGCAACCCTACCCCGGAAAACAAATCCAACCGCTAAAGAAACTTCAAAGCACAGAATAAACATAAAACATAGAATTAAACTTATTCCTCACTGGAATCGGAGAGGCGAAATGACACCAGTTGGTGAAAGCCTTCGGGAAGACAATTGCCTGGGCCGATGTGTCTTCTCTCCCTCCATGAAAGCGAAAGTAAACATGGGGACATGGAATATCTGCACCATGTTTGAACCCAGCAAGGCACAGCGCAGATTACAAATGAGATGAGAAGGTATCACATTGAAGCGCTAGGAATCCGCGAAAGCAGATGGAATGGAAGTGGACTCTCTAAACTGTCAACTCGAGAGTCAATAATCTACTCCAATATTGTCACCCAGATGACAACCACGAGCACACTAAGTTTTGGAGTGGCTATCATGATGTCCCCAAAGGCATCGGAGGCTCTCATGCAGTGGGAACCAATCTCCTCATCCAGGATCATAACAGCAGGGTTCAATTCAAAGGAAGGAAGGTCACAAGCATACAATGCTACGCACCTACAAATGATGCAGATCAAGAGAAGGAAGAACTCTACAGACAACTGTAATCAACACTGGACAAGACCCCACCCAAGTTGGCGACATCAAAATTCATTCTAAGGGGTGGGGTGACATGAATACCAAACTGGGAGCGGACAACACAGGAAGAGAAGCGCTCAGTGAAATAAACGAGAATGGAGAACTGTTTGCAGAATTCTGTGCATTCGACGATTTGGTGATTGCAGGCAGTGTGTTCAAGCACAAAGATATCCACAAACTGACACGGTCTTAATTTCACCAGACATCATCATCATCATCATCATTATCAACATAGGACCAGGCATTACTGCGTAACGGTCCGAGTTGCCACACCTCATATCAGCACATCAAGTAAAAAGGTAGTGAGGTGAAGGATGAAGATAAGTGAATGCAGTCAAAAGAAATATAAAGTACGAGAAGAAAGGAAAGAGGAGTGACAAAATAGTGAGATTCGGTATAGCGTTGTTAAGATGAGGATAATGTGTGTATACATCTGCGCCACTGACTTCGGTTCTGAGCCATATCACCTAGGGTCTCCAACCACTGGTTCCTCTTGTCCCGTGGACCCCAACCACCTAGTCTGCATCGTCCTACATGGCTTAAACCAACAGTCAGAGACTTCATACATTGGTGCCATGTTTTAGTCTGGCCACCTCGGGCCTTTTTCCAGCCTGAACCCACCTCAGCCAACATTGTGTGACGAGGCAATCGGTGACTAGGCATACGTAGTACGTGTCCCAACCATCTCAGTCGATGAAGGTTCACAACCTCGTCGACTGACTTACCTCTTCTCCCTAAAACTCTACACCTAACTTCTGCATTACTCACATGGTGACACCACGGAATACGTCCTATACTACGAAGGCAACGGTGGTCAAATACCTGTAACCTTCTCATGTCTTCCACTTTCAATGGCCATGTTTCACAGCCATACAGTAGAACAGAGCGGACTGCTGTGCAGTACACGCGACCCTTAATAGACAAACGAATATCACGGCGGCGCCATAGGTGGCGCAAATTGGCAAAAGCCAATCGAGCCTTTTGTATCCGTGCAGAAATCTCATCGGCAACTAACCCACCGGGTTGATCCTACTTCCCAGGTAAGTGAAGTGGTCAACACACTCAACCACTTCACTCTCTATTGTTAACCGCGGTACCGCTGAAGACCAGTCCTGGAGCAAAAATTTGCATTTGGGTGGTGAAAATCGCATCCCAAACATTCTCAAATTCCCACTCAAAGTGTTCAGAAGACTCTGCATCTTGTCAGCGTCTTCACCTAACAGGACTATGTCATCTGCATATTCTAGATCTAAGGAAAATTCACCTGTGATCCGGTCAACGTCTTTGTAATTAGGTGACGAGAGGGAAACCTCCATAAGAATATCTATGATAAAATTAAATAAGAATGGGGATAGTGGGCATCCTTGACGGACACCACTTGATGAGTATAGCTCCCTGGACAACTCACCATAGGCTCTAACATGCCCACAAGTGTTCGAGTAGAGAGCTTTCAATAAGGTGATGTACTTACTAGGCACGCCTTTCAGTGACAGACACTGCCATAAGACTTCTCGATCAACGGAGTCAAATGCCGCCTTCAGGTCGAGAAATACAGCTATTGTCGGGCGTCTGTAAGCATGCCTATGTTCCAGGACCTGGCGCAGTGTGAATATTTGGTCGATACATCCACGGCCAGGTCTAAAGCCTGCCTGGTTTTCTCGGGCTTGCTGTTCCCGAGCTCCACTCAGGCAATTTCACCAGACACAAGGACACACTAAAAATCAGATCGACTTTATCTCAATCTCAAGAAAATGGAGACGCAGTCTACTTGACACAAGGTCAAGAAGCGGAACAGATGTAGGTTCCCACCACTCACTATCTAGTGCAAGGAAAATGCCTTCCAAATCAAGTTGAAAGCCTTCAAGGAAGTTGGTGGTAGACCACAGTTCAAGTGCAACACTCGGAAACTGAAGGACGAAACTACAAAGGAAATCTTCACGGAAGGCAGCCATCAAGACAAAATGGAAGATATCGAGCAACATCCCTGAAGAAATCGATGTGGAACTCTTTGAAAGCTATAAGGAAAGAAACCTGCACAACCGTGTTAGGTAGGGAGCAGAAAGAAGATAAAGAATGGATCTTGACGGACACATGGAAGCTCGTAGAGGAGAGGAGGATGGTGAAGCAGAAGATAAACCAGCGCAAGGATGCTCAAAGAGAGGAGAAACTAAGCACAATGTATAAAACGCTGCACAAAGAAGTGAAGAAGAGTGCGCAGATCGACAAAAGACACTTCCTCGATACACTGGCAAGTGAAGCACAACAGGCTGCAGATAGGAAAGCCAGAGACCTGACGACATTGTATCAAATAACCAGGTTACAGTCTGGGAGGGAAGAGATCAACATAGATGAAACCAATAAAAGATGATAGAGGAAACCTAGTTAACGAGGAGAAGAAACAAAGGAAAGGATGGGCTGACCACTTCAAAAAGCTCTGGAATCGATCACCACCTGCACTTCATCCACAAATACCACCTGCAGTCACAGAACTACCAGCGAACACAAGCCCATCGACCAAAGTCGGAATATTGAGAGCTATAAAGCTACTGAAATGTGGGAAAGCAGCAGGACCAGATGGAATCCCACCAGAAGCACTGAATACAGACGCAGAGACAACAGCGGACATGCTGACACAACTATTAAAGAAGATCTGGAGGGAAGGAAAGTTACCAGTGAATTGATTGGAATAAGGGTTACCTCGTCAAACTCCCTAAGAAGGGCGACCTAAGCCTTTGCAAGAACTGGCGTGGAATCACTTTCCTGTCCACCCCAAGCAAAATATTAAGCCGCAGCATCATGAAGAGACTTAAGGATGCACTGGATTCAAAACTACGACCGGAACAGACTGGCTGGCTGGATTCAGGAAGTACAAATAATGTGCGGATCAAATCGCAACGCTACGCATCATCATAGAACAGAGTATAGAAAGCCAGTCAACCCTCTACCTCAACCTTATCGACTTTGAAAAGGCTTTTGACAATGTCGACCGACAAGTATTTTGGCAGGCAGATGCTTCAACACTACGGTTTTAGTGCCACAAATCTTTATCAATCTCATTCAACAACTATATGAAGTATCCACATGCCAAGTAATTCACAATGGCAAGCTCAGTGATGGTTTTGAAGTGAAGATAGGAGTGAAACAAGGCTGTCTACTATCATTGATATTCCTGATTGTAGTGGACTGGATCGTACAACAAACAGTGAGGAGCTGTGAGAAGAGGGGGATACGCTGGACTGCGGAAAAGAATCTAGAAGATTTGGTTTTCGCTGATGACTTATGCCTAAAGTCGCACAAACTTGAAGATTGACAGGCGAAAACTAACAAGTTGACAGAAGAGGCGGGACAGCGAAGACGGGACTTCAAGTGAATATAGAGACAGAGACAGAATATAGACAGAGGTGATGAAGATACCCAACAACAACAAACTCCAATCACCATCAACGGGAGAAACTTAAAGCAAGTAGCGTCTTTCACCTATCTAGGCAGCACTGTTTCAACTACAGGCGGCACAGACGAGGACGTCAAAGTCAGAATCTGAAAGACAACAAGACAGGCGTTCATTAGCCTGAAATCAGTGTGGAGATCTGCACTCAGCATAAAGCGTTAACAACATCCGGATTTTCAACACGAATGTCAAGTCACTGCTTCTGTATGGTTCAGAGACTTGGCGCGCTACGAAAGGGATTTCCAACAAACTATAGATATTCATCAAAAACTGCCTACAATGGCTCGTTACTGAAGATCAGATGGAGTGCCAGAACTAATAAGCAACAAGGAACTCTGACCTCGTAACGAACCAACCAAGAACCCATCACGCAACAAATATGCACTGGAAGGAAGTGGAGATGGATTGGGCATACACTGAGAAGGCCGACTGGGGACATCACGCGTCAGGCCCTCGAGTGGAATCCCCATGGGAAGCGACGAGTTGGACGTCCGAGGTGATGGTGACATGGAGGAGATCGTGCGAGGAAGAAATGAGAGCTTTTGGGCTGTCGTGGAGCCAGGTTCAAAAGATTTCAGAGAACAGAGCGCATTGGAGACGTGCTACTGAAGCCCTAAATTCCATTAGGAACCCAAGGGACAAATAATAATAATAATAATCATACATATGAAATAATGCAACTCAGCAATCAGGCATAAGTTTGCACACCATCCTATAAAGGTCAATATCTATTGTGTGAGAGGCTAGCGATTTCACTGAGATACTCAAACGTCGACAGGCGAAGTCTGTCTCGCAACCACATCAGGAAGTCAACCATAGTACATAGTTGCAAAACACATGGAAAGATAGTAATATTTCAATATGTGCACGAACTCTTTCCATTACAATTATTTTATAAAACACGAAATTTATATCTTCATTCACTTTGTAACACAAATTCCAATAATCAAATTGTTATTATTTGACTCACCGAGATTACGACAAAACCGTATCACATAACACAAGCTTCCATAATAATTTGCACGCATCCGCTGTGTTGATGTTTCTAAAGTTTAAAAAGAAAGAACTAACAATCAACCCTGATAAAACAATTCACTTAATAATTAGATACGTAATGAACACCAGTCAAGCAGTAAAAGTGGTTAACAATGATGATAATCCGTGACAATATCAGAAATCAAATGTAAAAACATAGGTAAAAAGTTAGTGAATCCTGCTTCCTAAGATTTTAACATTATCACGTTTGAGACAGCAGTGACACAGAAAGCTATACGCATTTACAGAAACGCTTTTTGCTTCAGATTATACCATCCCAGGTTAGTAGATCAATGAGTATTGATATACAGATAAAACCAACGTAGAACCTCGCATACAAAGGAATCGGTTCAAGTGACCACACTTCACAATAGCGTGCAAAGAACAAATGGATAGAAAAAGACTGATACCAAAGTAGACAGAGGTATATGGAATGAGAGAAAAAACTGGAAAACTAAGATTAGTGAAAATGTTCAAACTCTAGAGGGCAAAGAGTGAATACATCTGTGCCATTATGACTAGCTTTCAGCCATGTCACCAAACGTCTCCGACCACTGATTCCTATCACCTCGACGAGACCAACCAGATTATCTTCACCTCCCTACGCCGTTCAGACCAACAGTTTGAGACTTCATGCGCTGGCGCCACTTCAAAACCTCATCACCCTGAGGCTTCTTCCAGCCTAATCTTACTTGGGATAACATTTCACAAAGATGTAAATAGTCAGCCTTTTGTATTCGAGCTGAGATTTCGTCAGTAACCATCCAGCTTGAGTTGATGCAATTCCCAAGTAAGTGAAGCGATCGTCGCATTCCATCACTTCAATCTCTATCATTAAACTGAGAGCCATCTCAGATCAGTTCTGAAGCATTATCTTACATTTGATAGGTGTGAGACGCATGCTAAGCATACTTAGATTTCTGCTCAGTGTGTTTAGAAGACTGCATTTTTTCAGCGTCTTCACCTAGCAGGACAATGTCATTTGGGTATTCCAAGTCAACCAGATATTACCCATGGAGTAAATCAATCTCGGTGATGTCAGAATTACCTAGGATTATGTCCATTAGCATATCTATAACGAAACTAAGTAGGAACAGTGGCAGTGGGGATCCTTGGTGAACACCATTATTTGTCGCCAGTCCATATGATAATCCTTTATAGGTCCTTACACGGCTGCAAGAGTTCGAGCAGAGGGCTATGATAAGCGTTACATACTTGCTCGATACTCTTTTCACAATCAGACTACCACAATATCTCGTCGTAGTCGACAATGTCAAATGCCACCTTCAGGTCAATAAGTATGGCTAGTGTCGGTCCCTGGTATGCTTGTGCTCCAGAACCTGTCGAAGTGCGAATTTCTGATTGATGCACCCGTCGTCAAGGTCTGAGATCTACCTAGTTATCTCGAGTATGCTGTTCTCGAACTCCACTTAAGTGTGGGATAGCTATGGACCCTAGGGTTTTGGATGCAATATTTGTCAAACTGACCTCCTCATGGTTGTCACAGGAAGACTCTTATCCAATTTCGTAGACTCGGATTATCAATGGGGTAACCAGTCTGCTAACAAAATGGTGCTGTTCAAAGTATTGAACAGCTATGACAACGTCTTACTCGAAAGATCAATAATCTCTCAGGTCCGTTCTTTCCAAGGTTGTGCAATTAGCTCGCCTCTAACTTTGAACAGTCAGTCGATTACAAGTTATCCGATTTAAGTTCTGAAATCAAGTACTTTTGATTGTACTGAAAGATGAAAGGTTAATCAATATTTTACCAGGGCTATATCCCTAGAAAGTATCACTTTGTGGGATGTATACCGACGAATAATAGCAAATCACATATACTTGCAAACTCAAAGATATTTCACTTGATCAGTATTATCATTACCTTTCTTTTAAATCTGTTCTCTCCATAAAAGCAATAAAACGGTCAAACTCTTCCCATAGTCTCTTTAAATTTAATGCAGTGAAATAAAAAGTGGACAAACCAGATAATTCATGACAACGTAGCCTGATACACATTTACGTTATGTTATGAGTCGCACGAATGTCGGGTGGTCTACTTTACTGTCTGTGTGCCATAACGAAAATAAGTAGAAAAACAAGGTTCTAAACAGTTAGTAATTTGAAGTTTAAGCTACGAGTGAGTTATATACATATAGCTCTGTTAAAACGGATGAAAATGAGAATTTGAACGATAGCATGAAGCACTCTATAATACATCAATTTTTTAAAGAACCATACACACATACATAATGATAAATATGTTCAAGGATTGTATTCATCTAGGCGTATATAACTGACTAGAGATATTCAGTGAAACTAGTAAAACAATATGGGGGAAAACGCAACTTACTAGTTCTAACTATAGACCTAATCAACAATCCCATTAATGAAACAAGTAAAGATGACCAATGTTTATGATATGTACATTTATTTACTCCACCCGATTCGGATACATTGGACTTCATTGAAATAATATTTGATTGACAATGAAGAAATGAGCATAGAGTAAGACATGTACCACTGGCTAGTAAACGAATTGTCTGTGGAACTTCTTTTATAGCACAAATCTGTGTACAACACAAAAACAGCAAGGAAACAGAAAGAAAACAGTGTGAATATTATGCCAAAAAAAATCGAAATGGGCTCAGCAACTACATGAACATTCGTGTAGCAGGCAACAAACTTCATCTAGTATGTGAAAAGTAATGACACCAACTACCTATCCAAACTTTGGCAGATAGAGCGCAATTTAGAATAAAATAATCTATTATAAATAAATTTATTTACAGTGATACGTTTTAATTCTTATATTTCCGGCAAAATAAAAAATAATCCTTGTGTGAACATTAACTACAAGTTCATTTGTACGGAGTTCCTTTTTGTTTAGATTACTTGCGCATAAGTGACTTCCTGGAAAAGCAATGCAATATAAGCACTTCAGATGAAGTAAGGGTAGACGGTCGCTTAAGCTGACTGTTTGAAGATACAATATTAGAGTCCCATGATCTAAATTTTTTAAAAAAATTCCACTGAGACGACGACAATACTGTAACTCAGCCTAACCCTTTTTACAGTACTATAAGGTTGTCGAGGTCAAAGTAGGTGGAGAGGGGTTTGAAATCAAGATCCACTGCATGAAAGTTTAAGCTAGTGTGGCATAACTAGTTGGAGGTTTAATCGGTGGGACTTTTGCAATATGGTATGATGGAATGAAAAACTAGATACACTAGATTAGCATGTACTTGATGTTTCACATCAACAGAAGTTAGTGCATAGTCTCCAATTTCATTATCAATAATATATTTTACCACTAACGTAACTCAGCCAATAAATATACGTTCATATAAGACAACTATAATAATCGGCCACTCGAAAACAGGTAAGTGGCGAGAAGCCTTGACCTGTAAACCCCAAGCTGAAAATCGACCTATAGTTCCTATACTGTATACAATATCTTTCGAACTAAGTGGGTGCAACTGTTATCAACCTATAACCAAAAGATGGCCACACGAATACACAGATGAACAAACCAAAAAGCAATTTAAATGCTTTAATAACTTATGGCGGTAGTAAATAAGTCGTTGTTCTTACCTGAGATAATAATAGAACAAGCACATCCATACACAGAACAGGTACTGGACGAAGTTGAGGTTTACATTCTATACTGTCATTCAATCCACCATCACGTATCACACTTATCAATTCTGAATGCAGATAACTGGATACACATGGCACTAACTGACTAGACTTTTGCACTTTATTTCCATAATATGGTTGGTTAGTTAGTAGACCTAGACTGATTTCAACCGCTTGCCTCCATGCCTCAATAGCTGCCTGTTTACCAACATATAACTGTAGACCATGTATATTACGTGTGTCAATCCACTCACGAACAGCAGAAATCTGTTTGATTAGTGTTGATACTGACGTTGATGATGACGCAGCATTGAACAGTTCCAACGACGACAAATCATGTGCTGATATACTGACATCAAACACTTGTTCAAACGTCAACGTAAGTAGTCTGTTTAAATCTTCATGAGTATAGGTATCCATGTCACTACGTAATCCAACTAGTTTAATATATAAACTCATCAGGAAAATCTTAAAGTGAATCATAGTTGACAAACTTCGTGCTGCATTTGAATCTGATGTTAGTAGGGAACAGGCGACTTCTGACTTTGCCATCACCTAAAAGAAACAATTAACAGAATGGAATAAAAGTGAGAACTTTTCCAGTATTATGATTAAGTGTCATAAAATGTATCCATTGAATATTGGTCAGGTTGAAGCAACATGTGGATACCAGTAAGGTTAGGTGTAGTTTAACGCAAAAGAAGTGAGTCCTTTAATGAAGTTGTCGACCTTCATCAGATCAGGTGATAGGGAACATTTGTTACACATGCTTAGTCACTGTACACCACGACGCAGAGTGTTAACCGAAGTAGGTTTAGGCTGAAAAAAGGTTAAAGACGACTACACTAAAACTTGATATCAGTTCATCAAGTCACTTAATTTTGTTGATGTGAGAACTGCAGGGAATTATTCTTCCGGTCACGATCTGTGACACTAGTGAAAATAGGGGTAGGTGACTCAAGACGATATGGCTAGTAATCAATGTTAGCGGTGCAAGTGCATCCACGCTTAGTCGGCATGCTAATCGTCGCAATCCATTTGGCTACTTTTTTACCCACTCCTTCTTCCTTCCCTAAATGACTTTTTACGACTTTTTACTTTCCTCTTTTCTCTTCACTGCTTTTTATTCTATTATGATGCAAACTGTGGCGACACGAGCCGATACATAACATAGTAGTGACAGGTTACATGATGATATTGACTGATTGTCCGTTTTAGAATCACCTGTTATTGTGGATGTAATATGCTTCAAAAGATTGGTTCATGTATTCTAAGCCAGAAGAAATTTAAGACCATAAAGTTAGGAATACTGAATAACATCATCAGAGGTTCCAAGCGAATAGTATAGGAAACTACTGTCATCTGTGGGGTTTAAAAAAAAGACACTACACGAAAACAAAAGCAGATGAGATGTATGGAAGAGAACCCCTTTCTATAATATGTTTCTCCATATAAGTAATTACCATTTCCAAATAGTAAACAACGCTTTGAAGAATGATAATATTCAAGCAGTTCGTAGACAATCGCAAATTTAGTACAGCATTATAGCAACCAGATATAAGAAAGTGTGATGAGCTCAGTGTTTTTAATGCTTAAGTGTTGAACTTCAAACTGAATAAACAGAGTAACCCAAACACATTGTAATGCAGTCAATGGCTTATGATGTCGATTGGACAAAAGATGAATTGCTTATTACAAATGAGTCATTCGAATGATATTTAACCAGAAGCAGGTGAACTTTAAGTTGTCTTGCTGAAGAAAATTCTAAATGGATAAATAATTTATATGGAGGTTGAATATTCATGCAATGTCAAGAACTAATCCTTGAGTCAATTAATTAACTACAGTGAATTACTCTAGATTGGTGTTTGACTCAATGAAAATGAAGACACCTAGATGACTAATAAAAGAATAGTGTGAATGAAATATATTTATAAAATCCCAATATCAAAAAATAAATTTCTGAAGTTTCGTGACTGTGGAAATCGCTTCTTCACAGAAAAGTAACTCATAAGTAACCACATTTCCTCAGAAATCGCATCTGTGAACAGATATACGAAACATTTTCCAGCCAAAGGCCCAGCTGAGAAAAGAACTGAATTCGAACATTTATATTGAGTAACAAATATTCTTCACCATTTATAAACATTTTTCTATCAAATACTCACATACACCCCAATACGGTAATCTGTTGTGTATGCATCTCAGAAGTACGCTTTCTCGAAAACACAAATGTGAAAAGCGTTTTGCGAAAGCGGTTGCTGCAAAATCACCAAAACGGATAGTTACTTGTGCCCTCGAGAAAACGGTGTTTGAGTAAGGCGCACTGTTCCAGGTAAGGTTGTGTATTTGAACCAAATTGGAAGGATAAAGTTTGCATATAGCAATTGGAAGCACTTCTGATATTGACTCATAACATCAGTCATCTTCGTTACCGTGACTCTCAGACTCAGGCTATCAACTTTCTAACATCAATCTTTTTTTCACTAGCTGATTTCCTTTGGTGGCAGTAGCAGCCTACATCGATTTGACTTATCTTTTCACTGCTTTCACTACAAAACTGTCTCATCCAAGTAACTACCACACACAAATACAAAACACTATAAACAATAAATATGTACGTCTAATATTATTTATCTGAACGATGAAAATGCAATTACTTCATGAATAAGTGAAGAGTCGAACATTTTGGACTCAAGTGGATTCGATTTGCTGATAAATTCCTCAGAAGCGTTGAGCAATTGAATGAAGCTAACCAGGACGGAAGGAGCTTAAGACATGTATATAAACAAGAAAGAGAGATATGTCAGTTATACAGAAAACCGGATAAAAATCACAGTAATAAAATATTGTTTCAATTAGAGGAATTCATTTATAAATACATTACTGAATTGGTTAGGGAAAATACTACTTTATGCAAAGATTTTTGTTCATTATCAGTAATTATCCGACTACTTTCTGCTCTTATTCTTGTTGCTAACAGGAATTTGCCACCTTGACGTGGTGGTCAGCTTTGGAAGTTAAATTCCACACTGATGCTATTACCGCACCGTACCTTCTACTTGAAGCTTACGTTACGCTCAGTAAGGATAAAATACAATAAAGTCAAGTTTTGAGCCTAGAAGAAAAGTAGTTTGTGACTAGTTTCAAGCAGACTTCCCGTAGCTCTGAAGTTATGCGTCCAGATCCATATGAATGACCTCACCAATCTATTTTCTTTAGAGGGAGCTCAAGAGGAAATACATTTCCATGGTGAGAACAAATGGGAAGTGTCAATACGAAATGATAAGAGACAGATAAATAGGAGAGAATTCCAGTCAACCTTCCAATATCCTCCACCTTCAACGACCATGATTCGCAGTCCTTGAGTAGACCAAAGAGAACTGTTGCGTGGGACATTCAGACTTCAATAGGTGATTAGATATCAAGTCAGTGCCATAGATGACGTAAGTTAGCAAAAGCCAAATAAGTCTTTTCTTTACGTGTCAAGAAATTTCCTCGATCATTAACCCATTGGGTCTGATCCGAATTGCCAGGTAAGTGAAGTGACCAGTGCGCCCAACTACTTCATGAAGAGCCAACGCAGACCAGTGACGGCTCGCATTTGAATGACAAGAAACGGATTTTAAAAATTCTCAAGTCGATATTTCCATCTAAAATAGCTATATCACTCGTGAAAACGAAGAACAAGATGTTCTGGAAGCCCATTTGGTGCATTCAAACAAGTCTATTGCTTCTGGATGCTGGAGTTGGAAAAATGAAGACATTTGGCTTTCAGTCATAATATTCATCACGATTATGAATCTTTGTTGTGGAATGGTGTTAACATGGATGAATTATACAGTCCTGGAATCGTCAATGAAGTACAATATGTAAACAATTCACAAAGTTTTCATCATTATCTCAAGCAAAAAGTACAAAATGTTACAATGGAAGTATTAGCTTCAAGCTTTATTTTTCTCCAGGTAATACCTGTAGTGTCTAGATACAAACCTGGTTTTTTTGTTAATGAGAAGACAATACTTCCACTTGTCCAACTTGTAAATTTTCTGCACTTATTCTGCTGGGATGTTCCATTATATGAACAAGCAGCACTTATATCTTCCAGTGACAACGGGTAGGGATTCAGATTACCTTCCATGAGGATGAATGTAATTTGTATATAAACTTATACCTGTAAAAATGGTGTGTGCCTGTATATTAAGGAATTATTATTATTATTATTACTCTACTTCTAATAAGGATTCGCCTATGAGGTTAATCCTTGTAGAGTAAGACGAGGAGAGGGAAATCGCCACTAACGAATGCATAAAGTTAGACCAGAATGGGTAAACGGGATACCACTGAAAACCATTACTTAGAGTACACAAGTCAGTTGATACCCTCACGATAGGTTCCAACATGCCCAGAGATGCTCGAATATAGAGCGTTCAACAGTGTAATGTACTTATCTGGTGCGTCTTTCAATGACAGATACTGCCTTACGATAGCTGGGTTGATAGACTTCAACGACTCTTCTAAGTCACGAAAAACATCTATTCTCAGGCATCTAATTATTATAATAGTACCTAGAGACAAAGACACTAGGTTTCTCAAACTGATCCCCCATTGGTTAAAACGTAGAGATTTCTCTGCCTTAATGAAGACTGCGACAATCAGCGATTGGGACTAACCGAAAATCTAATGAGATTCTCATACGCCAGGCAACAGTTCGGTTAGTCTAGTCAATAATTTTTAGCCATTGTCCCAAAATTTATCTAGTGCAAGCCCATCGGAGGCTACTGTTCTAGTATGTTTCAACCTAACTATTGTCTTCTCAACTTTTGAAAGGGTTAGAGGCCTTATCTCAATGTTCCACTCAGAATACGACTTAACAGAGGACAACCGAATATTAGATGCTGGTTAGGTGAGCTGTTTGGTCAAGAGCAGTAGCATAATAACTAATTTAGGACTTAGTAAAAACAGTAACATGCTACAAAAATTATTAGGAATATTTATACGAAAGTTTCAGTGTTTAGATTCTGAAAAGTAACAACTCACATTCTCGAGACTCATTGACTGACGGAACAAGAGAGTTATCGAATAGAAGATCTGAAAAGATAAACAAAGAAAATAAAAATGTTCCGGTTACTTTCAAGTGTATAGCAAAATGTTACAAACAGTAGAAGCTAATACGGATAGTAAGCATGTCCAGTAGGAATGAAAAATTGAAATTAATCCAAGATTCAGGTTCAGCTGGCAATTGTATCGCATAGCAGTTTGCAACGGTCCTACTGCCCGATTATGAAACGTAACCATGATCAACTGAAAAGGTTTCGTGCATCCAATCACTTTAGTCTTTACAAAATCGCTAGCATGCAAAGGAATCCCCACATGAGTAATCGAGTGGTTAAGTGAAAGTGAGGGTACATCAATCGATGATTTGAAATTGTGGCAACTAATTCGGCCTGAAAATGTATTATGTACACCTGTCTTATATCTACTTCAGTGCACAGTGTTATTTAGAAGTGAGATATGTTCTTAAAAAAAGCCACTTGGTGACAGAATGATATGGTGAATTGTTCACGTCCAAAATTGGACGAAGAGATTTTCTTTGTGGACTTTCGGGAGACTATATAAGCGAGGAGTAATAGAACCAGAAGGTCGCAACTGCTCGAATAGTTCGGGGCTGATGATAGACTCATTCTATTGCCAGGTGGCTGTCTGACGTCCTTCAGCCAGTCAGAAAACAGCTAAGCACGCATAGCTTATTGGATTCTTTCGAATTTGTCAACCCAATTAGTAATGTCAACATATCCGGTAAGCGAATGTTTTCTCTGGACGCGGTCTCGCTCTTCACCTATGTCCCACTCACGGAAACTATCTACTTTCTATGTGAGTTCATTGAAGATAATAATTTTCAAGTGAGTATCCCAAAGCACTATTTAAAGGAATTGCTTCTAAGATGTACTTTCAATGTGCAGTTCAAATTCAACAATGATCTACATAGACAAAAGGATGAGGTTGCTATGGGGTCGCCACATGGACCGTTGCTGGCTGATTGCTTTATGGCGAAGCTAGAGAATAGTGTGCTGCATTCAACAATTGATAGCTTCTACCTATATAAAAAATATATGGATGACACATTCATCATAATCGATCAAATACAGATATTGAGACTGTAGTTAAGAAGTTTAATGATGGTCACCCATCAATCAGCTTCACATCAGAATTTGAAGAGAACTCGGAATTCCATTTTCTCGATGTTTAATTGAAACGGAGACCAGATGGTTCTCTTCAGCGATTAATCTATAGGAAGCCTACTTGGAACGGACAATATTTGAATTTACACAGCTGGATGTCTTTCAGAAGAAAGAGGAATCTAATCCATTCTTTATCTTCAAGAATCAAAAGAATCTGCACGAGTGATACTATCGACGAAGAATTAGATAAACTAGGAAAGATCCTCATGCAAAATGGATATCCATCCAGATTTATCGATAAGAACTTAAAAGTAAATCAGAATACGGAGCGAGTACTCATAGTTCCTAAGAAGACCTTGTTTATGAATGTTTTTTTCAAAGGCGATACGGCAGCAGAGATCCTGAAGAATCGGCTGTCCAGATCACTGAGGAAGACATTCTTCTCTGCAAGACTGCCGATCAGCTTCTCTAGTCAGCAACTCATTCCGGAGTGCGTCAGGGACAAGTTGCCACTTCGGGCCATCTCGATGTGTGTCTACAAATTTACTTGCTTCTGTGGAGCTAGTTATATAGACCGCACAAAGAGCACGCTTTCCAAACGTATCTCGGAGCACTATGCTGCATGGTTGTCGAGGAAAGAATGTAAATCAATTAACAGTTTAATTCTTGAACATTTGGTCAACTCTGGACATAAAGCTAGACCCGAATCCTCCTTCAATGTCATGTATCGTGTCAGATGGAATAGTTCAAAAGCAGTACGCCTTCGACAGTTGTGCACAGTGGAGGCACTGGCAATTCATCAATTCAAGCCTGATCTCTGCGTGCAAAAGAAGTATGTTCAATCTCTCATCTTACCATGGTCTTAACACTTTCATTTTTTTCGATTTCATTATAGTTAATTAGTTTATTATTACCACCTTCATTATGACCCTTGTCTCATTCTTCACCTTCTTTACATCCATCTACCTATCAAGTGGACACTCAATATTTGCGTTTATCTACCAACAATTTTCACCTTGTCAAACTCCTCGCCTTCCTCGATATTTCTACTGTCTTAGGTTATTATGCAACTACTTTGCATTCTTGATTCCGGTTGTTTAGCACTAGGTTGATGATGTAATTATACCTTATTGTTTTATAATAGACTGTTATATGTTTATGATATGTATGAATACGTTTGTACAGCTTTAGAAAATGATATCGTCGAAAAAGAAAATTTTCTTCGCTGAATTATATCTTTTCTATGACTCAATGGGCATGTTTCGCACTCGCTTGATAACTTCGTTCGTTACGATCTTTTCCACTAGGAAAAGATTTCAACACAATTATTGCTAATGACCATTCAAGAGTAACAATTAACAAACAACATATACTTACCACCAAGGAACAATTTCAATAGACGAGTGACATAAGAACGCTGATTAGCAATAGCACTAACGCGTATTTCAATTGCGTACAAACGAAGAATCCAGTTTTTACGATTAAGCGATAAAGCTTCAACAACTGAAAAATAAAGTTGATTAGAGTGTTTGATAGTTGAAAGTATGCGATATAAGAACGAATATAAGCAATATAAATGAAAATATATGAAAGGGGATGAACATGACTAGTAGGTACCATATGGAATATAGTGTTGATGCATTTGTTTTAATTTAACACAAAATACATACACCATGAACACCGTGCCATGTAGATTTTTGATAAAGTAAAGTAACCGGCAACCCTGTAGTACGATTGGTTTCATCCTTTGGCTAAATCGTTTCTGAGCTCAGTCTAAAACGAGTGTTTAGATCACTTAGATCCAGTACAGCGATCACTGTTGGTCGGAATGATTGGTCAACAACTATTCACTTGATTTAGCAGAATATGCTATACAGCGTTAACCCTCACGGTCGTGAACAATCATAGTGCTAAATGTATTTTTGTGATCTCCAAACGAAACCACGTGAATTTGAACAACCCGATCTCACCTACTTGCATAATTCTCATGATGAACTCAACAGTTTGCAACCACTTAGTTTGAGTTGGCACAGTATTATCACCGAATCATATATGCTAAATTTATTGTCTCAAAAAAAGCATATTAGCACTTTCATACAATTAGCAACTTGCGAGGAAATCAAATCTATGCCACGAGAAAAACTAACCTGCTTTCTGTCGAGCAGTAAAACTTTCACAAATATTTCCAATGACACTTGAAGAAAAAGGCGAATGGCAAACATCTAAATGTAAGTATTTAGCTAATAAATCATGATTGCTGCGAAGAAAACGTAGCAACGGTTCTGATGTCAAAGGATTTGATCCTAATCGGTACAGAATTTGCCAAATTAGGGCAGAATTCCAATGCAATGTACAAGCAAATTCAAAAGGTAATGTTGATGCAGACTGTAGCCAATGGGATGTTGTGTCTATTAGATCAAGCATGCTATGAAGACATGTTCTTTGTTGATCAGAAATACCAGCATCCTGAAGTGTTTAAAACAATAAGAAAAATTATTTGCTTCTATCTACATGAAAGTTTACTCTTACTGGTTCAGAGAAACATCCCTTGTGCAGAGGGTTAAGCAAACAAGTTACAAAGAATTTGAATGAAAACTCATTTCATTAAAAATAGAGTAATGGATTCCATTCTAGATAATTCAATACAATGTAACTGCAGTTGACATTTATAAGACAAACGGATTTTCATGTTCAAATAGTTTACAGAGATATGGACAGAGAACCAGTTTATTAGTTGTCACACTTTAAGCTCATTCAAATCCTCATATGCATAACTGCGTCAGCTAGTATGTTATTGCATATATGTCAATTGAATACACTCTAAAAAATTTTGCTGCTCTACTTTTACGAAAACTCTAATTAGATTTTACAACCAACCAATCAGAAAAACGGGATAGGTAGCTGAATGATAAAAATTCACAATGATGGTAACTAGAAATATGTGAAACAACGCATAACTAGAAGTAATTTGGTGACTGATGGCTCAGATTATTGACTGTGTGAATTAGGGTCATACACGGTTCAGTCCCAAAAGATAGAAAATTGCGCGCAAGTCAATGGGTTGAATGCAAGCTGAATAAGGATACGCTTGGTTGACTGAAGTAAAAGGCACAATATTCCTGAATTCAAAAACCACCAGAATAGATAGCCACCTATGATTAAACATTACTCTGGCATCCCAATCGAACTAAAAGAATGAGGACTAACAAAACTATTGTCACAGGGCAAATGTGATAATATTTTTTAGATATCACTCGCAGTGGATCAGTATTGTTTAACAAAAAGGTTTACCTTCTGGTTGACTCCACAGAGTGTGACACCAAACCATTCGGTCGGATTTCACTCGAGACAATTCTGACAGTGACACCAAACAAGTTCAGTTTCATAAATGTCGCACACGAAGACATATAACAACAGTAACAACGAACGGCAACAATTAAGAAAAGAATAAGCCATAAATACACTGAGAAGGATATCTATTCCATTACATAACGGTGAAGGTGGCCACCACTTTTGTTGTATTGAAGTAAACTGAATGGGATGTAGCACAAAACACTAGCGTTGAGAGTCGAAAACTCACTTTACGGAACTGTCATCATTTTATTCATTCAATGGGAACACCATCAGTTACTGTGATGCAGACACATCCAGCTGACGAGTCCCAAGTAGGACAAAATATGCGTCTTGGATTCTACTGCTAGCTACCAAAAATGAAATTATGCCTTTACATATTTCTGCAGTGACTCCACCAATGCTAGCCAATTGAAGTACTACTGTGAGATAAGGTGTGCTTGTCGTACTCAGTGTCTGTTTTCCAAACATATTTTCAGACACATAAGAACAAAGGAGAGAGCAGTGCATCTCACAGCTCCATCTTAAGGCATTTGATTGATTCTGACCACCGAGTAAATCCAGAATAGAACTTCACTGCCATGTATGGAGTTCACGCATATATCTTGGATTACGCGAATCTATACCATTTTCAAACTACCGAAGTCAAGGCAATTAAAACCTGAATGCAGTAATTACAATAAGCTTGTTTAGTCAACTGATTTACAGAGAACTCTTGAACATCTTATCTCCGAAATCATTCAACTTATTAACTAAATACCGCTTCAATTTTGACGAATTTGTGTTTCATTACTGTTTATGACATTATGTAATTCTTTTTACCATCTCCTAATCTGTAATCAAAAATGGATTTTTTTTTGGAAATATTTTATGAAGCATTTCTTTCCTGTTTTCAAGCAATTGAAATATTTATATGCGATTGTACAGATTAGGAATAAACATCACCGGAATTTTTTTTTTCAAATCTATATGAACAGAGTAGTTATAGATTTACCGTGCATCATATTCAGTGTTGTAAATCAATCTGATAGCTGCTATTAATTTTTTTTTCCAGAAAATAGTTTGGTGGCTTAGATACTTCACTTTTAAACGGTACAAAGTTCAGAATTTGAAACTTATCTCATCTGTTCCTATTTGTGCAATCGGGTAGTTTAATAACCCCTTAAACAACAAGTATGACTTATAGCCTAATGCATAAAACTTGTTCCAAATTCCTAAGTTATATTAATAACTATAATTTCAGAAGTGACTCGTACGTTAAAATCATTGAAAAGTACTTTGTCAATGAAAACAGAGTACCCAGTAAAGTTGGTGCAATATAGTTTGCGTATAAGCACACTAAAACATCACTACTGTATGACATAATCTTCATGTGCATACTACTGTTAGGATATTGTAGGTCCACACATTAAGTGATCGAAATGTTTTACACCTGTTGTAACGAAGTTTGTCAAAACTCAACCTCGAATGATACATTTTAAAGAAGCGTCGACAGAATAAAAAGCTCTATAACCCTTAATCCAAAGAATATAGCAGCAGAAAACGAAAGAGTAAAGCTGATAGATGTTAGTAACAAAACTTTTGGTAACCAGTATCAAAAGATAAATGAAGTTGAAAATACGAGTAATTGGTTGCGTAGATCTGCTGAGATCAATTGCAAGGTTAATTATAAAAGTATATATATATATATATTATATAATAGATAGTTCCAAATTTTTATGTCATTTTTTATTATTCATTCTATCAAATCACAATTAACAGCATGCGAAATTCAAACTGACTATACCTGCAAGTTTGAACGCGAAATAGCCTTACAACTATCAAAACGAAAACCACACAACCAATGTGCAAGATTAGGTGTCGGATGATCCATTACCGCCAATAATATTTGAAGGAAAGATACTGATATTGGTACTGTATTAGAGTCCGTTGTAACCTCTTGATTAAAAAGTGAAGAACAACATATTTGATAAGCGTACATCGACGAAAATATTTAATTTTGTTCGTAAACGAGACTAAAATTATCCCCATTCAATGAAAATAGATGCAAAAAGACTTCCCCCACGATAATTACAATCCCTATTAAGTATTCTCTAATATTCGGTATCTCATCCTAAATATTTAGCCGCAAGGCTACATGAAAGATATCGAAAGTTACTTCATATATTAATACGTATTTAAACAAGTAATTTCTAATGAAGTTATCAGGCTTCCAGTCTGATACACCCTAACCCCAGAACCCTGAATCAGTTCAAGCTGTCATCATTATTTTTGCAATTTTTATTGGTTTTTTGCTAAACTGACAAACATGAAAAAATAACAATATGACCACTTCAATTGTATACGAGCTGGAGAAATCTGGTTACCTTGTTGATAAATTTGTCTCAGACGGCGTTTTAAGCAGGAGAAGTAACTCAGTTGATGAGGTTGTCAACCTTCATTGGCTCAGGTGGCTAACACATCTATTACGCATGTATAGTCGCACAATGTTACCTGAAGTAGGTTTAGATTGGAAAAAGGTCTGAGGCGGCCAGAATAAAACGTGGTGCCCGTCATTGAAGTCTTCAACTGTTGATCTGAACTATGTAGGGGAATGTAGACTTCCTAGTCAGTGTTCGTGTTAAAGCAGAAATCAGTGGTTGCAAACTCTGTGTAACATGGGTCAGGGTCGATCTCAGTGGTGCACATTATCCTCATCGTAATCCAATATTTTCCCATTCTTCTTTACTTCCTTGTCCTTCATCTTAGTGCTTTATTATTTGATGTGATGATATGAGTTGTTGCAACTTGGAACGTCCCGCAATAACGCCTGGTTCTATGTTGGTTTTGCCTGTCAGTAGGCATGCTAAACACATTCAGACTTCAACTCAATGTGTTCAGAAGACCCTGCATTTTTTTCAGCGTCTTCGTCTTATAGGACAGTGTCATCTGAGTACTCCAGGTCAATTAAATGTACTACAGGAAATACGTCAATTAGTGAGAAGAAAGAGATCTTCAAGAATATGTCCCTTAATACATCTATGAAAAGTAAAACAGGAACAGGGATAGTGGGCATCACTGGGGGGTGGGGGACACCATCGGTTGCTTACAATTTGAAATGTTTACATACTAAAACCAGCTGAAATTTACAGACAATGATGATGGGAAATATCAGTCAAATTAAAAAATTAACAACTTCATATTTTAAGATGCTTTAATTGTACTTTTCTGTTACCAACACTATAGTAGGTGAAATGGGTTTGAAACCATGACCATGTTAACAAATTTAATTCCTAAATCACTAGGCTATATATCTGATAATGCTGTGCATATGATTTCGTAGAATACTACAATGTGTTGATATCTAGTTAGACGATCAGATGGCTGAACCAGCTAATACGTATGTTTTCATGGCCGCGATTATTATTGTTCTAATGCACTCAAATGGTAAATATCACCAAAGCCCAACACAATAAATATTAAAAAACGGAACTACTAATCAACTTTTATTTTAAGTAGAATGAAAAAAGTTCTCTGTTACGTACAAAAGCAATTAAAACAAAATATCTACGCTTGGTTGTCTGTTCAGAGTTCACTGAAAGAAAGTCCTGAAATTCAAGACTTCACAGCTACAATGGTTACCAATAAGTGTGTTTTACGTAGTCACAAAGTGATGCGGGCTTTAACCACCGATATAGCATATATTTCCTCGGAGTACTTTGGTAAACATGACCAACAAGCAAAAGACCTACGTCCAGTGCTTCATGTTGTTTGAAATATAACACTAAATGAAACGACACAACATATTTTCTCCTCACTGCGCACAGGAACGATAAACTGTAAACAGTATTTAGGAGTTGTTAGTCACATCAATTGGTATCGTCCAGTAACCGATTCACATAGCTAAGTATTATTGATCTACAGGTAGCAAATTGTGAATCAACCATAGTGTGGAGATCAAATAGCTAGCAGGCAATGAATGCCTACCAAGATATATATTTCTATCTATTCTGAGTGATGATTGAAGGTGAAGTGAAAATTTACACCACAGCCGTATTCGAACTGACGATCACCAGGTTTCCTGCCCGATGCTCTACCAACTGAGCTACGAAGTCCGACTGCTGACCACATTTCTAGTTCACTTCAATCACCAAAGGTTTTGCTCGACTAACATGTGAATTCGTGATGCGTTACCACCGCTTGATTGTACTCACACTGGTTGCCTAGTCAGGACTTCTCATTCCAATCTAAATCTAACTGAATTAAAGAGGTGGAGCATCATATTGATTATCATTTTGACTATCTGAGATAGCCGCGGTTTGACAGACTAATATTGATACTTGGCGGTGATTGAAGGTGAAATGAAAATTTGGACCGCAATAAATAGGTAACACGCCAATTGTTCCTTACACTTATTTATTATAACAAAAGGTCTGCAAGGAAGTAAAGGTACCTGCCGATTGGAAGAAGGGTTACCTTGTCAAGTTGGGCGTCCAAGGATGACATGAAAGAGATCGTGCGAGGAGGAAATGAGAGCTTTTGGGCTGTCGTGGAGCCAGGTTCAAAAGATTTCAGAGAACAGAGCGCATTGGAGACGTGCTACTGAAGCCCTATGTTCCATTAGGAATCCAAGGGACAAATAATAATATTATAATGACCATGACAAAACAATAAGATTAATGAATAACTCACGGTAAAACCAATCACCGAATGCTGTAGTATAATAATCACTGTTAATCATAATTCGATTATGCGTAATCCGAATATCCGACCAGGTGGAAAAATATGTATTCACATATGATGCCCAACGTTCCCAAGTGAGGTTGGGGAAATACCAACTTGTTGTCTGTGAAGGAAAAGCAGCATCCACTCGAGCAGCATAACTTGCTGGTGGAGGCAGTCTAGCTGAAAATGTGCCCGTAGTGCGTAGACACAATCCTCTGTCATCATAATTATCTCCATGAAGCCATTCATCTGTGAATGCGAAATAACCTTCATTGTCTAAATTATAAGTAACACATTGACTATCAGTCGGATTCAGTGTTGTGCTGTTGGATAATGTACTAACCGGCCATTTAATCAAGTATGCAAATGCTCCAAGTAATTGACTTCGTGTAGCCTGTTAAATAGACGAAAAAAGCACATGTAGACGAAAACGTATATTACTACAAAAAATGCATCATTTCTTAGGTTAATGATGAAATACGTATTGAAACTTGAAATAACCATAAAATTTACATAATCGTATTTTCCTAAAAATAATGAGAAAAAAGAAAACAAATTTTGAGGCACACACTAGGACTTACGACGCAATTACTTTAGGGCTCCTGACAAAACTGTTCTGTGAAACAGACAACAAGGAAATAGACGAAAATGAATACGTAGTTGTGTCTACTTAGCCGTGTACTTGCTTGAACTAAACCCCTGGTATACGCACACACCAGATTATCATATAATAGACACTCATTTATTTGAGATTGTGTCCTACATGTCTTTCTCTTAAGAATATATATATATATATATATATATATATATATATATATATATATATATATATATATATATATATATATTATAGATTAAGTTTGCAAAGGAACGCCTTGAAAAAAAGAAAGTTTTTCACATCATAACAATAAGTGCAGTGTTTGCAAAGAATGATCAGTGATTTTGACTTATAAATAAATTACAACAGAAATCAGAATCCCTCTTCCACTAGTATTCTCACGTAAGGTACCCCAAAAGAATTCATCGTTTGTGTTTGAATACACCCGTTTTTTTCTTAAAAACAGCATTGTTATTTTGTGTGAACACTACGACCTTTGATAGTCAGTGTCAACTACAGTTAGGAACAAATAACAAACTGTTAAGCTATTCCAATACATTAGTATGAGTAAGCAAAAACTTCATTCTAAATTAATTCAGTGACACAGTTTCCAAATCGCAACCCTCTAATAGATGTTACAGTCTTTGTGAACAACCTGTCTTCCAGAGAATCATAGGAGTTTGAAGTGAAAATAAACAGGTCATCATAGTTTAAGAAAAGCAATTTATTTCACATTAGTTTTGTTTGTTTCTCGGTGGAGCACACAAAAAATAACCTTACCTACTTGTTGATTGGCCTTTACTCATCAATAAAGAAGCTAAAGTCAGAATGATGAAACGATCGACAAATCATTGGGAAAACATACACATTGGTGTATTAGTTCAGTTTGACACAATCCATACCAGAATGAGAAAATGTGAACAAGAAAAAAATAACATTAGAGTAGACTTGTACAAGAGGAGAGAGAATAAATAAAGTTTAGTGAAGATGTCCATGATTTCGACAATGACAAGGAGTGACCAATTTTGAGCCAGAAATGACTTAGGTTTGAACTAGGATTCAGTCAATAACCAATGCATTACGTTGGGAATCTTCTCCCACCCCATCAGATAGGTGAAGTGGTCAACGAATTCCATCACTTTACTTCCTATAATTAGACTAGAAGTTGGTGCAGAATAGTTCTGAAGTATCATTTCACAGTTGATGGGTGCCAAAACGCATATCGAATGACAAATGGGACTAAGACAGACAATACGAAAAAAAACCTGAGTCATTGCTAAACCCATGTTGGTACACAACCACACAATGGGATAGAAAAAAGTGAGATTTAAAGATTAGTATAATCTGGAAAAATATGCAGATTGATCATTAAATCGACCAGTGCACTTGGGAGTTACTTAACACGCACCCAAAAGACATACTATATTCGACTCTTAGCATAAGTGGAGAATGTACATTTATAAAACTATAACAAATCACATATCTGATTACAATGATATGATTACAAGTAATAGGTTGTATTCGATACACCATCCAGTGAGTAAATAATTCCATATAGCTGTGCGTCTATATGACAGACAGGTAAATTCACTGTAATAATTTATTCAACTGATGAACAGGATATCTCATGAAAAAAGGTCAAACAGTTAATAGAATGTATCATACTTCATCAACTGTCAGTAACGCCAACAGATCTGAGTGTGGTTTGATAGACGCCGCCAGATAACCAAGGATACTGACTGCACAGGATGTATGGTCTGGTAGGTAATCTGCTAACATACAGTATCTAAAACAAGAACAAAATAAAAACGTCAAAACAGGCAGTACACTTAGAACATTTAGACAACACATAATAGTGATAGTAAATACGACCATATTCAAAGGTAGTATCACCACTAGTTGGATAAGTGGATACTATTGTCAAACTAATTAGCACCTTTACTCCGTCCAATTTTTTTTCATCTGTTGTATGCCTGAGAAGCAAACACTTGTCAGTCCTTCATTACCCCTACCTTCCCCGACCCATAGTTCAAATGGTAGAATAAACAATAGGTTAGCTGGAAAATAATGTTTATATTTCGACTGTACGATTAGTTTTATCGAAAACTTATTATTATCCTCTACTCATGAATAAATACCTTTAGGATCAACACCATGCATGAATCAAGATGCAATATAATTAAGCACAATAAAAGTAAACATCATGGGCCTAAAATTCCATATTCCCATATTATACCAGTTAAAATAATCACTTCTTGGCCAAACAAGCTCAGTCTATCAGCTGGTCAGTATTATGACGTGTAGAATCACCGCCTAGATCCTTCAAAAAAGCCTAAAATCCTTACATTCCGCATTGACTAGTGCAATCTTATACCCTATTTGTTTCCTGTAAATGTCCCAAGGACATGAGGATAGCTTTTGGAAACAAAATATTTCCACTACTTGTACACTCACGATTTGCTAAGCTCAGATACTGAATAGTGGACTATTGTGAAACTGTGGCTCATCGGTTCGAACTTCACTCCAACTATAGAGGTTTTAGCAGCCCGCACACAATAGGTATGAATTATTGTTTATTGGCATCAACATGCACGTATTTGCTGACATAGGGCTGTTTTCAAACCGCTTTACACAAATATTGAACGCCTTTGATGTGCGAATCAAAATAATTATCACTACAGCCAGGGAAATATAGCTGTGTGCTATTCCAACACGCAATTGAGTAATATATATTTTCAAGATAAATGATATGACAAAACTAAAGATGGTGAAAAATATTTGTAGATCAGCAGGATAGTATAACCGTGAGACTTTTATTGCTGCTCTAGGTATTTTTTTCCATATTCCTTTTACTTCTATTGTCGATGACTTCTGGTTGTACCACTGTAGAATATGTCAACTCCAACCGGTAAAATTATTATCCCATGTTCCAGTTAGTCTTTAGCATAGGCAGGAACTAGGTATTCAATAAACTTTTTAGGATGGCTTTGTACTAGAATAATATGCATAAATCCATACTATATAAGGTAAGAACTTACTTCAACAACATTGGAATAAGATCTGCCCTTCCAGATCCACTATTTGTTGACATCAGTAAGCGTGAAACGTACACAGGCAGAACAGTGAGACCAAAAGACGGTAGATTTGGAAGGGGAACAGAAATATTTGATATAGCTGTCTGTGCAGATCCCATTCGAGGTCTAATCATCAGAAGAAAACACAATTCAAAAATACCAGCAACTACGTGAAATTTAATGCTTATTAAGAATATGGGCAATTATAAGTTTTCAACATGTATTCAATAAACATTATAGGATTACTACTATCACTGTAATAACTTACTGGACGTTTGTTGCTATGCGTCGAACAAATGTGACCAAGATATCTTCGCTTGCAAGAAGTCGACGAATAAGGCTTAGGCCAGCGTAGGTCGCACGTGTCATCCCAGCAGGTGGTCCATTTGGGATAGGGAATTCAAGATGTCGGTGTAAGCCAACCTCTAAAAGACCAGTAACCTAAAAATGAAAATGTTTTATAGAAAACTCTTCAAGTACACATGTACACGTTAGTAGGGGATCTGATACAAAAAATATACAAAGGAATTTTGATTACATCATGAAAATGTTGATCTTTATCTAGTAAATATATAAGTGAAGCATTACTCCTATATACAGTCAAAACGATTTGCATTTGGATTCAATGACCGACTAAACAAATAGATCTGTTTATCTCAATACTGTGCATAGGTAAAGATGAAATTATACAGTTTATTCGACTTTCTTCGTGTCATGCAATGACAACTAAAAGCTAGAATTAAGTAATTAGAGCTAGACAAAAAATTTTGGCGGGAAGATAATTCAACTTGGAAAACTAAGTTGTGTGAAGATTCTGAAAAACCGTCTCTGAGAGTAAATAGAATGATGAACAGTCTAACTTAATCCGTAACAGGTTCGAGCCATCATAACTGTGTAGTGGTTCATGGAAGTAGTCCGTTGCTCATGTCAAAGTAGGTGCAGTGGTATTCGGACCTGGAGGTGGAATACTTATGCTATGATTGTTGGAGCATATTTCACGCATGCTACTACAACAGGCCTTCATACTTAGTACCTTTCCCTGCTGCTCAGAATAGGTTGAAGAACGGATACGTCAACTTATAGCACAATAGTGCAGAATTAAGTAGTAGATGCGAAAGATTTTTTGGAATAGCATAAGTGTTTAGGCAAACAAAGAGACAGATACACATAGCGGCACGTAAAAAACAGGTGGGTTGAAAAAGACTGATATCAAAGCAGACAGATGTGTATGGGAGAAGAAGGAATTTAACGATCAAGATTAGTGAAAATATTCAAACTTTGTAAGATGTCAAAAAGTGATTACGTTTTCCCCACTATGACCGATTTTCAGCCATACCACTAAAGGTCTCCAACGATTGCTTCTTGTCCAGATGACTTCAACCAGACAGTGGACACTAACGTATACAGTTCAGACTAACAGTTCATCGATTGTTTTTATGTTTTGTTTTGGACTAAATAATTAAAATGACAGAACCATAATCTTAAAATACCGCTTCGAACCAGGAAAATAATCAATTACAAAAAGATTACTACATAAAAATACAATAGAAATTATGATTAAAAATAGAAGCTATTACACTACACAATAAATAAATCTGTTACCATTCTGAATAAAGATGAATCAGTTAACAGTTGAGCAGCCAAATGATAACCAGGATCACTGTATGGCCAACCAGCAGGTAAATGCAACTGATTAATCAACACCTCTGATGTGGCTGTTGTTGTTGGCGTCGTCGTTGTGGAATACAGATGACGACCGTGAATTTGTTGTTCTTTACCCATTTGAAATAGAATAGACAATAAGCATGATGGCCAATCCACTGACTGTTGGATTTTTCCACAGTTCACATCACTAACAGGAGTAGAACTGGAAGCAAACAAAGAGTCCAAATTATCGACATCTTTTTCATGATTTGAGGTCATCAGTGTTGTTATCATTACTGTTGCATTGTTTAGCCGATTCAAGAAGTCGTTAACAAGCCCATCGAATAAAACTAAGCAGGAAGCAGCAATATCCCACTATGAAAAATAAAATTATGCAAAATAATAAGGTAGGAAAAACAACACTTTTAATTTAAAGTTATCAACAATGATGAAACCTCAAGTCCCAATTCTATACCTTCATTAGATGACAACAGTCTACATCTCTAAAACACATCATACAAGAATTGTGATATTGAACATGAAAGTTATTTTCTAATGACATCCCTTGAAGGTGCGCCTTTGGAAGATTTCTGGGTAGATGAAGCAGGATTTGAACTTTTGAATCACCAGTTGTTTGATTAGACCAATCAGCTTGGGCTAAAACACTCCAGAAGCCCAAACAAATAAGATTTACAAAAGTGATGTTTACATAAGGCATAAGATCACTGCCTTAATCTCTACTCAATTCAAACGCTCAACTTCATATTTGCACGGGATTATGTCAAGTTTACACCATATAGATATTCGTATCTAATAACAATCATTTCACTTAGTTCGACGGTATTACAGCTACCAACTTGATAACCACTTCGATTAGCGATTTGTTTGGAAATCCTATTGTAATACACTTTAATTTGATTACCAAAAGTATGCTTTTAAGTATTTAGTTCCTGTCGTCATCTCATGTGCCAATGAGCTTTTCTCATGGGAACCAATATTTGGTCAGACGACTGAGTTATATATACTGTTTGACTGACAAAATCAACGTAGAACCTTGCACACAGATGCATTGGCTCAAGTTATCAGACTACACAGTAGTACACAAAAAGCATGTGGATAGAAAGAGAGTGATATCAAAGAAGATGAATTAGTGAGAAAATGAACAATTTAAAGATAAAGGTTAGTTCGAATGTTCAACCTTCAGAAGATGTCAAGGAGTAAATACATCTGCTCCAATGTGATCGATTTTCACTCTTGTCACTAAGCGTCTTCAACCACTGATTCCTGTCGTCTCGGAGACTCCAACCATGCAGTTTACATAGCCTCACATGATTCGGACTAACAGCCAGAGACTTCATCGACTGGTGCCAGATTTCGGTCTGGCTACAATGAACCCTCTTCCAACCTTATGCAACTTCCCCTAGCATAGTACGTTGAGATAGGAGGTGGATCGAGATGCGCGCTATATGAACATATATACTGTAATTTTGGGTGGACAAACAAACGTGGTGTAGACTAGCACCTACCAACCACATTGAGATGTTTATTACCATGAACCTAAACCTATTTCATGTTTGCAAATAAGAACAGTTGTGAAGTTAGGAGGAAATGTACCGAAAAGATATAAACGACGAAATGGAAAGTGCGTATTACCGACGACCTACGACAGTAAAATAAAAAACAGTTGCGAGCTTTCAATGTACAGCAGTCTCGGGAACAGTGTAATTTGCCATCCTCGAAACGAAGTCAAATACAAACTTAAATAAAAGTAGCAGAACCAAAGAGTAATACGGGGATATATATCTGAATACGCCACAAATCTGGGTAAGTTGTAATTGGTAGATAAAATAGTCATCTCAGTCGATGCAGCTTAGAAACTTGAAACTTAAAATTTCCTACTCAGTGTTATCCTGACATGTTGATACGCTCATACTGGGCTACCCACTTTTCATACTGTCACATTTCAAATTTGCTTACTACAAAAAGCGACAACGATGAATCATATAAAGGGATACCTGACCAGAGAGAAGATACAGTGAAAACGGGTGGTTCAATAAGGTCAGACAGTTATGGAGTTTATGCAGCTGATTGAATCTGAATTTAAGTAGTAGCGAAAAATATTCGAATGTATGAGTAAATTCTTTTACGGCAGAAAACTACCTCATTTCTGAATTATCCATAACATAGGTTAGCAAAGACTATGAAGATGGAAACCCAGCTAAGCAAGAAAATGTCACATAGAAATAAAAATAAAAAGGTAATATGGTTCTTTTCATCAGCTGCTTCATGTAGGAATCTCCTTTCACAAGACAAGTATACTTCAATATCCTCCTATGGAATGGAATCAGTGAAAACAGGAAAAATATCAAATGCTGATTTTAAGTTAACTGATACAAATGGACATCGGGAACCCGAAAAAAAAGAATGGTGGATAAACTGATGTTAAGTTACCTTGAACAAAAACCTGCAGCATCACTCAGTCACTGTTTATAGATTAAATTCTTGAAAGTAAAGTTTGAAACGGAGTTGTGTTTGACAATGGCTAGTTATACGCTTACTCTGATAAATAAATAGATAAAAAGCATAATGAAAACCTTGTCTTTCTATGCATATCTGCAAACTTACACGTTCCACAGGATTACGATACGCTCTCATAGTATGCCTCAAAAAGATTGTATTCGTGATAAAAGAAGTTATTGAGACAAAAGGATTGGCTTGCATAACATTTCCACCACCAGATAATCCATATGAACTGATTTCCTTACCATCACTAGATTTCAAGGAATTACTAGCGATAGGATAATTAATCAATTTGGGTAGCATAACTGTCATCAATGTAAGGAAGGCATTTGTTAAAGGATATTCTTCAGCTCTTGGCTCCACCTCATCCATATCAGTCTAGAAAAATGGAGTGAGAAAAAACAGCAATTATCAAATAGACTAGAAACAATCAACCTACATTACAAACAGATGGAAGGGGAATTATATACTTCTACGAAATTAGAAATTTGGAACCAAATATTTGATTCTTTAACATGGTTTTAATTCATGAAAAAACTTTTTAAACTTTCTTAAATGTAAGTTTTTAAACAGAAACCCCAGTGTAAATATGGGTAACAGGAAATGCACGAAACATCGTAATTTATAAACACTATAAAGTGAAAAAACGAAAAATAACAATGAACAGGCAGTCGGTTGCACAAAACACGTCCAAAAGAACTTTCCTTGTATGTGTTACTTTTCATAGATAGGTGACATAAGGAAACTATAGAAAGATTGTTACTGGTTTCAATTCTGAGCCATATCTGTTATCGTATCAAGCTCACGACTACTATGATTTCTCGCATTCTACCAAGAGAGTCGTGAGGCACCTATAGACAATAATCCAATGCAATTATCTTCCGACTGCACCGATAGAAAACGAACGGTGAATGGTGTAGGAGCTGCTGGAAACACATACATAGCACATCGAAACCACTAAAGCTGGGGTTTCAAAATGACGTCACATCACTCAATGAATGAAGATACTTATCAATTTCAAACAATTATTGCCCCGCTTCATAATTATTTACAACGTTTTAACCGGATGATCAAACAAGTAGTCGTAAGAAATCATCAATTCAGAGAGGCAAGATACGGCAAGTGTAGAGCAGAAACTCCTGAATTGATCCGTAGTACACCCGGAATTTAGCGAACAGGCTAATGTTGTAACGGTTCTAAAGATGATCTAGGCTGGAATGCACCACCCGCCGATTAGCGACTAGAAACCACAGAAGCAATACCATTATCAATACTCAAACGACTCAAACATTTCGACTATCGCCAACGGTGAGCGTGCAAGAGTAGACGCAAGGTTTCTGCGAATTTTGTAAAAGTACCTATCAATTTATGGGTACGAATCATATTAACCGCCAACTGATTAACTGAGACTTAGAGAAAAGTATAGCTAAAGTATTTATTTCCTGATGAACTGATTACTTTGAAAACAGATCAATGCTACTTCACTTACTGTTTTGAATCGCCGAAGCCTAAAAATAACTTTAGTTGTTTACATTTTCCAAAATCTACCCTATAGATCCTATTTCAATTCGTCCATTACACATATAACCCTGTGAATATGTTATTCAGCTAATAATTGTCTTTTGCTGTGTAATATACCTAATAAATGAATTAAGAAGAAACTATGTTATGTACCATAGTTATCAGATTCTATATTCATTTTTCCTCAATTAGAATTTGATTCACAACTTCCTCTACATTTCATGCACTGTTTATTGTTACTGCTCTATATGTGAGGCTACTTTCCTAACGACCTGTCTTTGCTTTTAATATTTTATGTCAATCATAAGAGAATTATAACTGCATATCAAAGACTGTGGTGTACAAATAATTCAGATTCTTTATATTAAATAACTCGGTCCAGTCCAATCGTAGTCTTGATGTTAGCTTCGCGGAGTTGAGGAGAAAAAGTTGTTGTCCATTCATTCGTACAAACTAGGTTTTAGGCTGGGAATTTCAAATCATTACCAGTTATATTAGTTACCTGCTTCATAATAAACACAAGTAAGCGAAAATAGTTTTTTATATGCGACTGTTTCTCCTAAACTAATCATTTTATTTTCCATTCTTCTGTGTTCTTTCCTTCCTATCTCCAAGATGCAGTTGTATACTTTTGCGTGCCACATTTCTTCGTGTGGGTGGTGCACTGGTTTTATGCCACAACAAACACACAATTCCTGGTGTGCACGACACAAAAATAAGGACAAGAAAGATTTAACCTAGTGCCTATGTCTTTGATAGGATATGTTGCTAGGAATGTAGATGTCTCCTAATTATCCTCCATCTCTATTAGATTCTATAAACAAACTCAGTTTTAATCATCAGGTTTCGATTCTCAAATTTCGCCCAGTGATTTAAAGCCTTCCCAACATTTAGCTTTGAACATGTTCAAATCATCTAGTAAATGTGGACAAAAACTGCAACTTCCCAGTCCATCTCTTCAAACAGTAAATAGTGTGCCGGAAACCTCTGAATCTGCTGAAACTGGAACATGTGCAAATCAGAGTGACTGATATATTTCGACGATTTTGAATTTGACGACTTTTGTATCAAGATTCAACCAAAGAAAATTACTAATACTGGATCACCTACACAATCGATTCTGAACTCTGTTACGTTATTATCGCCTTCCATATCATCATCAACTCAGAGTAACGATTATAATGTTGCTGAGCTCAATTCCAACTGCAACCAAGCGTCTAAAGTCTCGCATTTACCTAATCGATCTCATCCATTTGGGAAACAATGTTGTTTTATATACTTAAATTCTACAGGTGGTGATGATGTAGTTAACTGGTTCTTGCCCAACAAAACACGTTGTTTACGAAAGCTCGTCAAGCACATGAAGATAGTGGGTGCGATGAGCTGATCTCATCAACAGATTTTGCATCTGCAAACCTTACTGTGATGACATGATTGAAGAAATTTTAACTCCCGATATCGTTCCAGAAGCATGTACTGGACTTTGAATCGATTACCTCCCCCCCCCCGTTCGTTATTCGAACTCACACAATCATGTGTTTATAGGGAGTCGTCATCAGAGGTTATGAACATGCATCAGCTCAGGTGGCTAACACATCTACTAAGCATGTCTAGTCACACAATGCTAGCTGAAGTACGCTTTAACGCTAGAAAAAAGATAGGGGGGCTCAGACTAAAAAGTAACACTAGTTTTTGAAGTCTTTGACTGTCCTCGTCTGAGCCGTGTATGGATACGTAGACTTCCCGGTTGGGGCTCACGTGAGAAAAGAAGTCAGTGGTTGGAGACTTTAGGTTATTTGGCTCAGAATCTAGATCAGTGGAGCAGATGTATCCACCCACTATACTTGTCTTCACCGTCTTGTTCCTTCATTACTTTTGACTGATTATTCTTTATTTGCTTACCTTTCATATTGGTGTTTTCTCGCTTGATATGTTAGTATGAGGTGTGGCACTTTGAAGCACTACACAACAAGCATAGGTCCTATGCTGATTTTGTCTTGTATCTAGTGACAGAGGAGAGAGAAAATCATATGTCGCAGAAATGCATTGTCTATATTAAGAAAACACCTATCACTAAATTGCAACTTAACAAGTCAACTGCAAAGCGATTAAACGAATACTGAGACCCCATTCCACTCTTTAGATCACAAAATGAGACGAATGCTTGAAAACTGAAGACTTTAAAACTAGGACGGTCCGGGGATTCTATGGTGCTTAATCTTAGCTAGTACTTTGGTCGTCATCAGATATCTTCAAACCTCATACAAATTTTACTTCAGTAAAGGTAGGTAGATAAACTAACTTTCAATGTTTTGAGTATCATAAATCTACAAAAAAAGCGCTTATCGCTAGAAGGCATAAAAAACATGTAAGTGCATTACTTTTTAAGATATAATAAACAGTATCCTATGTTAAATCACTACGAATCATTGACGCTACAAATTTTTATCGAAAAATGAAGACCTGTTTTATTTATCTAGCACATATAAACCCCACTTAAGGTATTCAGAATTCGCAAAAACCAACTAAAACAGTTGAATCGAAGGGATGAGATTTCTATTATGTACCTGTATACTCTTGAATAAGTTTAAGTCAGTAACGATTTAAACTAGATATACTTACATTTAAGCCATTAGTAGATTGAGGTTGACCACCAGAACGTATGATTGTAAACGGTAAAAGCTGAAACAGAAAAAGTGTTTTATCATATCAACGAGGAAAATTTGTGAAAAAGTACAGTGGAGCAAAAAGACGTGTTTACAAATAGAAACGCCTATTAACTTTTAATCACAAAACCTATATTTGGACGCTGAATGGACAGATTTTTAAAAAATCTAGAAATTGCTATGAAGGACAAAATCCCGACATATGATCAGCGGTGCATCAAGTTTTGTCAGATTATTTCAATCGAACAGTTGAGTAAATAACTCAAACTTCTTTCTACTTGTAACACAGTAACCTGATATTAATACCAGTCCTTTCATAAGTGGCTTGCTACCCCATGACCGGAAAAATCAATGTACAAACCTGTAGAGAAATGCATCAGTTCAAGTTGACATATCGTGACAGCACACAAAGAGAAAGTAAAGACAAAAAGAATGGTTTTAACGTAGACTACAAATTATGAGAGAAGACAATAAATGAATAGTTAATAAAATGGTATGCATGTTATATGCCTACTTAGTGAGTGAGAACTAAAATTATTATCATCCACTCATACCGAAATGATGGGTGTATAAATGTGTGACTCTAGAATATGAAAATATGAGTAAACTATGTAACTAACCTCCATTAAGTGAATATTGGGACCAATTAGTCATTTTGTCGAAGACTGTAACCAAACGGTTTTCAAGACGTAGAGACTGACTAATGGTGTCGTTTGACTCTATTAATTCGTTCACTTGAATCAAACCATATTGGACAGCAATGTAATACACGCAATCATATCGAAATGCACAGTGTAAATGTTCGTGTAGTAAGCGATGAGTCACGCCTATCGTGGGAGGGCAAGTATCATTACCTGTCTGCCTAAACCATGCAATACATAAACTGGATTACTGCAGGATTCGAACCATCGAATTCCGGAGTTACATGCCCCATGTTCTATCAACTGAGGTATGAGACCCAGCTCACACAGAGGATTTGTCTGACTGCTATGTGAATCCGTTGCTTGTGTCTGTTTCTTCATTGTATTCACACTGGATGCGCAATCAGATCTTCTCATCCAAATCAAGATGATTTAGAGTGATGATTATTAGTTTGATCATATGAGATTGTCAAACTAACTGAAGAGAAGTTATGATATGTTCAGCAGCTGGGTGTCGTAGCTCAGTAGGCAGAACACCGGGTCGGTGGCCCAGAGCCCATTAGTTGGAATCTTACAGCAACTCAGATTTTCACTTCACTTTCAATCACCACCCAGTATCAATAATACGATTCTGCTAAACCACGGCTATCTCGAATGGTCAGACTGGTAATATACAATCAATCGTAATAGTGAATGTTTTATAAAGGTTCACGTTTCAACAACCTAATCGAATTCCATGATAAAGTGTGTGTACGAATAAAATGAACTGCTGAGTCAACTAAATGTAGATCTGTGAAACACGGTGTCTTGTGAGTGCTAAAATCTATCACTTTATCGAGTCAAGCTGAAAATCTAGTGGATTTAAGTAATATATTTAGAGGCATTACTGCTGAATATAGACTGATCGAGAATAAAACAATAACCAGATTACTATGTTGTGATTAACTTCAGTATTAGGGCCGATACTAATAGAGCTCAGGTGTAACTAGGATAACAAAAGTGAACCATCTTTACATGACGTAGAGAATAAGAGATAAGAATTACGAAGGCTTGTGGAGATGCAGATACATATTTTTGCGTACAACTATGAAATCTGTCGTCGATTAATCACCTGCAAAGGTATGACACCAAATACATGGAGCCGTATGCCAGTCGCATAACAAGAGATTTCAATCAGTAGCGGGGCGAGAAAATCAGATGAAATATCTTTTGATGAGCATTATTCTACTAGCAACCGCTATCCACACTTATCGGAACTTTGACAGCACTAAGGAGAACCACACAGTAACCCAATAGGATAACAGACAATTTTTAAACGTGTATTACTCAACCTATTTATAAATAATCTTAATTGTTTCCAAAAAAGGAACAAACTTACCTCGGCACTAACAAAATGCTGCCATAATAATGGAACATTCTGTTGACTTTTACCCAGTTCAGTAAGAAGATACAAAACATCGGCTTTCAAATCCAAAGAAACAGGACATGTGAGGAAACCCATGCACATTGGTACCACCTGCCACTGAGGATTGGAAATGAATGCTGAACGTGCAACGGGATCCTGATAAATAAAAAAAGAAGTAAAAAAAAACCAGGGCAGTCAAATTGATCGGATGATTCAACTCAGCAATTCGATACAGGCTTTTAATGTACTAAACCGCCAGCTACACTTCATGTTTAAAGGTTTAGAATGTAATCACAGAGTTCCCCGGACTAAAGTAGTGGGTTTTCAACGCATGACCCAATTCCTTAAAGCTGAACTTCCAAGCCGCTAGGCCACACAGATTTTAGACAGCTCTAAGTACATATAAGTACTTCAAAACCAACTAGTTAGAGTTTTATGAAACACGTTAAGCGATGCACAACATTTTCGAAAGTTCAAAAGTAGTAGAGACCATTGATATAATAATAACAGTAATAGTAGTAATAATAATAACTCAAGTCGCTACGTGTCTACGCACTAGGCTTTGAGCCACACTTGCTGTATGAGCTTATGATACTACCCAGTTGCCTAGGTCGAACTTGGTGAAGTGTTCGGACCCAAGACCCATTGATTGAAAGTCGAGTTCTTACTCCAATGATTCATATCTTTACATAGACACCACATAAAAATATCTCTGAGCCAAATTTAATGACCTGAGACTGTATTTCTTGCTGTCGATGATGACTGTCTGAAGTAAATTTTGTGATGGCCAAGGAATAAACGACAACGCAAATTCACTGAAAGATGAAATGAATGCTCAGTAACAAACCAAAGATATGCTAGTCACTATTCGCAGTACAAAAAGTAAACTTGTCATCATGTACAGTGTACATATGCCAACTACACTAGATTTGACTGGTCAGCTAAGTGCATCTTTTGTTTGATTTAGGATTGATAATTTCAAAAAACCAATTAGATTCTGAGGAAGTGATGTACTGAGATAATAATAAATGTGATTATTAGTATAAATGCTTAATTAATTCGGTATTGGAGATCTAGCTTAGAGAAAACTTGAGTTGCAAATATTCACATGTATTTTATAGAAAAACCCACCATACGACAGATACGAGCAACCAATCTCAAAACAGCCTGTAAACCAGCTTGTTCTTCAGGTTGAATGGAACGTGGTTGAGTGACCACTGGTGCCGTTGTGGAAAGGTCAGTAGCACCAACACCCTTTTTACCAACATACATAGACTCCGTTGCTGATCGTGGACACCCTGAACCTCTAGGACGAGATGCAGCTCCATCACTATAGTAAATATGAGGATAAAGTTGATTTGATGCTTGAAGTCTAAGATTAACTGGCTCAGATTGCATTACCACTTGCTTCATATGATTCAAATATTGACGAAAACTGTTAAAAAAATGATCCCAAGTGATCAATGAAGCACCACGCCCTGTTAACAAAATTAGTAAAATGATATTACAAAATACCACTCAAAGGAGGAAATTTCTAAAATATGTCATTTACTAAGGAGAAATGGTTAGTTATAAATGTTTGTCAAATTCACGAATATCACCTGGATGCACGAACACTACTGAAAGATATGCATTATTCTTAAAAATATATTTCTAAATATTTTCTAACGAGCAACTAGAAGAAATACAACCAAATAAACCATCCTTAACTACGAATCTCTAGCAAAGCAAAATTTTGTGCATCTCTATAGAAGAACAGCCAATGGCGCTAGCTAACTATCTGGACCAAAGCAGATAAAGTGAGATATGAACCTGGTATTCTGGAACTCCTCGACGGTCAATTTTAAGCGTTCAGCAGTGTCCAGTTAGTATCTTACCATATCTACTTCAATTCAGGTAGTTGGTTGGTGATAATGGTTGTCAAATGCTGTTCCCCATAATGTACAAACTTGTACATCATCACTTGGTTCGATTACGAGTAACTGATAAGGAAACACTTGGAAATATCCTTCTCTTTAGAAAATCACTATACTTTAACTCTTTGGCAGGATTTCTTGTCGATTGCCTCCAGTCAATTAACATTCACCAAAATGGATAGTAATGGTGAGGCATCCAGCTTGATGGCTACATTGCAAAATGATCAGTATAATTCGGTCAGACTCAGGAACAGACAACTTGAAACTAGTTGCTATCCAGTGACCAATCAATATATGTTTGATCATCTATGGTAAATTTGTATTTCACTAACCTAAGTAGCTGGTTTTCAACCAATAGGCTATGACTCAGAATCATGCCTGGCCTACTGAGGGTCTGAGCAGTCAATTAGTATCAGCATTCCGCACAAAAAATGTGTGACTCACTGCCTGCTCCATGAATTTGAATATGGTTCCCGAGTACAGTGGAGACTATTTACTGAGAAAAAAATACTACTTAGAAGTCAGCAATACATAGAGAACAAAGTAAGCGGAACTCGTTACGACACTATATTACACGTTATGAAAAATTTGCATACAATACTGACACCTTAAAAACATACATATTTTCAAGTTTGAATGGTGCCCATCAGTGAAATTGAAAACCATAACACTTTTTCGATATGAAAGAAGAACAAGTAGTTCAGCGAACAGTCACTTTTAGATAGCAAACCTGGTCAAAACTCGAAAAGTTTCAAGCAATCGTGAAATACTGTCAGCCTGTACACAATAAATGTGCTTCACAGTTGAGTACACGTAACTGAACTCGGTCTAATCACTGTTGAGTAGTACCACAAACAATAAAAGCGATGTACTTTGATAGATATATTTTCAGGGATTATTTCTCGTTCATTAAAGAGGCTTCAACACAAGTTAATTTACAGAATTACTGCGTGATTATGATTGTAAGCAATTTTGCTATCCGTTAAGTAATGATTTTATATCTTACTGCTCAGAAGTTAATTACTTAGTTTTGAAGTATGATACTCTTTTTTTAACTTGAATAGCTTTGTTGAGTGTATTTGTAATTTAGGTATTATGAACTTGTTACCCATGAGTTGTAAATTAAAGCGTGAGAAGAGTTACTAATATGGTTCAGTGTAACCAGCATGCTATAATGTAAGGGTAGATATATTGAGATGATTATATCCGAATCCCAGTACAATTTTGTTTGCATAACCTGTCTTCATGCCTGATAACCCTAGTCAGTATATTCGACGTCACGGGTCAAACCACAAGGTCCAGGTGAAAAAAGTTTTTGCTATAACAACCGCATGATTTTACTTGTCTTACTTTATTTCTGACCGGTAGCTGCTATCTTGACGCCGAGGTCGGGCTTGCATGTCACAGTGACCCAAGGAACTATGCTAGTGGGAACAACTATTTGCTTCAGCTTTTTATCATACCAGAAAGGTCCGTTGGATAACGGCAATAAAATAAGAAGCAAGTGACTTATTGTGGATTGCTGGGTTATGATGAGGGTCCGATGGCGACGTTGTACTGCCAGTTGGACGGGGTGTGATGGCAGTAAGGTGTTTCACGCAGATGACTAGTAGTACTATGCTGATGCTACCTTCTTTATAAGATGGAGGAGTTGCAAAAGACCGGCCCCTAAAATATTACACTTCTGTACTCTGTGGTTTCCCAGTACCGATGATATAGGTTTTCTAACTGGATCCAAATCCATCAAAGTAAAGCCTCGAAATTCTCATAAGGCCATGTGTGACCCGCTTAAAGTAGATATCACTTCGGCTCTGCGGTCACACAATGCCATTCATAGTCGTTTAGTAATCATTCCGTTCTCATTAGCACCAAAGTCAAAGGTGTTTAATAATAATAGTAATAATATATTTACTTTATTTAAAACCATAATTATGTTCACAGTACCGAATTTTCACCATTTGATAGTGCATCAGTTTTACTTGCACATTTTTCAAATATATATTTAAAATAGTGCTGTTTAACAATATATGACAATGAATAATATGATTGCTGAAATGCTTCATGACTTTAGGGTTGTAATAACTATTCTCTATTGCAAAGCTGATTGATAAGACTATGTCTGACATGATTTTCTTCACATATTACACAAGCTAAATAGGGTAGGGTTTGAATTCTTGTACGTGCATAAATTTTAACATATTTGCTTCCTATCTTCCCAGAGGATAGACATGGAAAGAGGTGTAGATGCTGAAGATGCCTGTCATCAGACAAAAAATTTTAAGCCAGTGGTCTGCAAGCGTTCAGATACCTATCCATGACATCATTTACCCGCACGGTTAGTGGTGTACCACTTGCTCCACCAACAGTCTTCAACATCCTATGAAATATGCAGTATTCTTTTTTCCGGAGTCCAGGAAAGAATAAAAGGGAATAATAAATAAGTATAGGCCAAACACAGAAATTAGTAAAAAGTGTGAACAGAGGCTGAGTTATGCCAGACAGTTGGAGGGAAGGATTTTTCTGGATATCAGTAAGATATGAGGAGACCAAGAAAGCTCAGAAGAAAAGCATAAGTTAAGATGCATCACTCTTGTTACATTCCCTACAACAAAACCATCTATAAGACAATAGCCATGGGACCTGAAGTAACTCAAAAAGGTCTTTCTCACGACATAAGCTAAAATTAACCGTCTGACATTTGGGCAGTTGAGTGTGAGGCCATTTAAGGAAGACCAGTGACCAATGCAATTTAAGAAGTTATTAAACTTAGAACAATCTGAAGAGCAAATAATCAGCACGGATACTGTTAGGTAATCCTAGTATTGAACAAAATTGGCTTCAGTTGAGGAGGGGAAAAGTCAAACACCACCTTTAGGCACACCGGCTTCACTAGGTAGGCTTCCGTCCGTGTACAGTGTAACGTCTTTCCTCAGAAAAATTAGAAACAAGTCAGTTTGCTATCATATCGAGATTTCATAGGTCACTAGCTCGTACTAAAATCCAAACCGTGCGTGTATGGCGATTGTAAACATTCGCCGCAAACAATATCAGCATTCGTCACTTCAGATAACAACTTTTCACACGTCCCATTAAAATTTTTCACTTACCATGTAAATAACTATAATCAGATATAACGAAGAAAATCTTTTTTTAGAATCACAGTGGCTACAGAAAGTGCATGCACACTTCATTAATCGAGTTAATATTTCGGATCTAAAGTGCTTATGTCCAAAATCACTGGTGTAACTTAACAACTACGTTCTGTTTCGTGCACTAGACAATATGCCATACCTATTAAGTGACGACTGATGGTATTACCTAGTTGTTTAAATATCGGTCTGTGGAGTGGGGTGGGCTGGGCTGGGGTTCAAACCAACGACACAATGAAAGCCAACTGAATAAACCAAAGAACAACAACCCCACGTTAATGAATGGTCATAACTATAATAAGTCCACAATACGAAATTATTACAAATAAACAGAGAATAAAGAAACACTTTTACTCAACTAATTAAATTAGGACACATACCAGGATTGGTAGCATTCGCCTTAAGAAGACTGAAGCAGAGTCCTGCAGCGCTTCGAGAGCAGCATAAACCATGTAGCACACGTAAATACGGCAAAAACAAGCACGGTGTTGTAACCATATCTCCAGCTAATCGCAAAAAACGCATAAGTGCAGCCTATAAAATAAAACATTTGTGAGATGCACTTAAAGGTTGAAGTGAATCCAGTTAGAATCAAAAGTAGAATATGAAAGCAATCAGGCGATATCTAGTGGTTTTTTCAGAGATCAATTATCACAAAACAACAGTTACATTGTCCCTTCAAACAGAACAGCCGGCTAAACGCTTATCAGAAAATAACAACAGTACTCATCCTCAATAAAAATAGCGGGATAACCAGGCTCCTACATAAAGACAGCTTAAGACAGTTGGCAACCTACACAAGAAGCTAACAAACATCACTGGATTTTCGTGACGTCACTCTAACTGACCTATGCAACAGAATGCGTAAACACTGACCTTACAACGACGGAGCCTGAAAACCACTAAAAAAAGTGTGACCAACAACCTTCTCAGAAACTGCGAGAAATCGTAGGCGGCCAAAGTCAATCGTATACAGAAGGTATCAGCGTTGTCTAAACTCCACCAGCTATCCTGGCTGCTTAGGACACCGCCAATAAGAAGACGATGGTGAGTGAAACCACCACCGAAAAACATGGGACGCTGATAGTCTCCCATAACAGGCGACTAGAACGTTGGGTAAAACACTTTAAAGTCCAGTTCAACTGATTCTCAGTAACGCTTCAGTTGCCCAACATCCAGCATGAACCTGAATGGGATGTAGATATCGATCTATCGACACTCCTTGAAGTTGAGAAGGCTGCTTCTAACCTTAAACGATGCAAACCAGCAAGACCTGACAGTTTGCCACCTGAAGCTTTCAAGAATAGAGGTAGGGAATTAATAAGTAACCGGGGTACTCGGTAATATGCTGGCGTATTGGAATGAGAGGTAGTGCTGTCCGACTGGTCTACTTCACTGATCACCTCAGTCTACAAGAAGGGGAGAAACCTTTCTGTGACAACCGTAAGGGAATTAGCTTGACTGATATTGTGTCCAAGATCCTAGGGTGCGTAGTTATCCGACGCCTAACTGGAGCGCCAGAACGGTCGACTCAAGAAAACCAGACAGGTTTTAGACCTCTCTGGACGACAGGTGCATCAATCAAACACTCACCCTTCAACAGGTTCTGAAACACAGGTGTACCTACCGACCAGTGGTCGACACTTGACCTGAAGGCGGTGTTTAACTCTCTCGATCATGAGGTTTCGTGGCAGTGTCTGACTGTCAAGTGAGTACCGAGCAGGTACATGACGCTTATAAAAGCTCTGCATGCGAAGTCATAGCCGTCTAACGGCTTATGGAGAGTTCCCATATGAACTGAAGACAACTAGTGGTGTTCTCCAGGGATGTCCACTACCACTGTTCCTATTTAACTTCGTCAGAGATGTACTAATGGACACAACCTTGGGCACGTCCAACGTCACAGGGATTGACCTACTCCCTGGAGGTCATCTGGTTGACTGACAGTATCCAGACAATATTGTCCTACTAAGTGAAAACGCTGACAACATGCAGGGTCTTGTGAATGCGTTGGGCAGAAATCTGAATATGTTTGGCATGCGTTTCGTTGGCACCTATCAAATGTAAGATGATGCTCCAGGACTGTTCTGCTGCAAGTACTCCGAGTTTAATGATAGGGAGAGAGTGAAGTGGTGGGATGTGTCGACTAATTCACTCACTTGGGGAGTTGCATCAGCCCGAACGGGCTGATTGCTGACGAAATCTTATCTCGGATGCAGAAGACCCATTCCGCTTTTGCTAACCTCTGCTATCTGTGGCGCTGATTGGCAAGATATCTGACTATCTATCAAAGAATGAGTAGACTGCACTGCAGTCCATTCTGTCCTGTTGTACGGCTGTGAAACATGACCATTTAAAGTAAAAAAAATATGAGGCGGGCACAATTCTGTGATCATAGGTGTCTTCTCAGCATTGCTTGCGTATGGTGAAATCACCATGTTAGCAGTACTGAGGTCAGATGAAGATTTTTAGGCAAGGAAGGTAAGTCAGTCAATGAGGTTGTGAACCTTGATTAACTGAAGTGGCTTGGACATACGCCGCACAGGCCAAGCTACCCCGTACCTCGATGTGCGATGCTAGGGGAAGTTGAATTATGTTGGAAGATGGTTCAGGGTGGCGAGACCAAGACCTGATACCAGTCGGTGAAGTCTCTTACTGTTGGTCTGGGCCATGTGGGTAGATATAGACTACCTGGTTGGAGTCTGTGAGACAACAGTAATCAGTGGTGACAAGGGTGAAAATCGGTCACAATGCTGAAGGTGAATTCACCGTCTTCCACCTTAAGTTTCTGGACATTTTCAACAAGGATGATTTTTATATTCCTTTTTTCCTCATTAATCTTTGTCTACTTTGACATTGGTCTTTTTATATCTGCCTGTTCTTGATATATGACTGTTAAATGTGAGAAGTTGAACCGATGCACATGTGTGTGACGTTCTACGCTGATTTAATCTGTTTCAAGTCTACTTCTAAATTTATAAAGTTAAAAAGCATATTCTGACCGGATTTGTTACGGCTATTAGTTTTAGCTTTTAACTGATGATAAGGTTTTAAAATAATCACAGCACCTTCGGCCTTTCTATCTGTCATCAAAGAAATTTGCTTGTTCGTCTACTTCCAAAAATCTGGTCGATTTTAATACTGTCCAATTCCACTACTTCTCCAACTTTCTGCACAACGTGAGTAAGCATGACTTCCTTATTTCACTCCCACCTTTTATGTTTTTACCGCAAAAACACAACACTTCTTCCTCATTGTCATAATTACACACATATTTGTTTGAAATTCTGCAACCTATTTCAACTACTAGGAAGTATTCCACATACATTTTCTATACAAGTTACGACTGAAATGAAAAAACCAGAAATGAAGATTATGAACACCAAAGGGTATGCTAAACTTCGAATGACCCAACTCTAAGTGGTGTACCTCAAAAAAGACGGCATCTGCTCACTACTTTTTTTACAAACCACTGTTTACTAATCCACAACAAATTGTATAGCTCTTCCACTATAATGTAGAATTAGTAAAATAGAGTAATCAGTTGACTTCAAAATTCTTGACTTTCCATCCGGATGTAGAGTAGCTGTTTCTAAATCAGTTAATTAAGGGTTATATAAAAGAAATTAATTTCATGTTGGTGCATTGGAGTTTCTTTTTAATGTTCAAATATTGAAAATCATGGAGTTATCAATACCTATCAAGTCTCAATCTAGAGTTTTTAGGTAGTTGATCAACACAGGACCGGCCAATACTGGGTCTTATAATCACTCAACGATGGCCTCTTCGATAGTGGAAATAAGAACTCTTTAGCGTCAAGGAAAGTGTGTTAACTTTTGAACAACTAGGACCGATCAAATGGTCAATATTCTTCCCTTAGACAAGCACGGGATATAAGTGAGAAGTATAACACTAATAAACAGTGAAACGACGATGTGAACACTAACCTGTCGAATATTATCAAGTTCTGCATTACGTGACCGAGTGCCATACAAACTGAACTTCCGCCTAGGAGATTTATTGGTTACGCTACTCGATAGCAGGTCACCTGATCCCAAAGCTACTGGCGTAATGTTAACCAGTTCACCTACAGGCCACCAATATTCCAAGGCTAGCCGACCGTGAAGACGAGAACCAGGTTGATTATACAGTTGGGCGATTAAAAGCAAGAAGTTTGCAAAGCCATGCCCAGTGGTTGATGGATCGAAACCTGTAGACCTGAGTAAATCTTCATCACGCAATCGAATCTCCTTAACTCGAGCTGTCATGTGGACAATTAGATCAGTAATAATGCAATGCATACAATATACCCAAAGCGTCTAAAAAGAGAATTAAGATAAGTACTCCATTATTCGCGTGACAAAGTAAGACAAACGTTATGATTAGCACTGTAAATGGTAAAAGAAAAAATAAATCAACTTTTTAAACGAAGTATCTAATGTTTGCAAGGTTTCATATGGCCAGAAAGTTTTAATAGTAACGTCAGATCCAGAAAACGAAATGGAAAATTACTAAACATAACATACTACCATATCGTATTAAGCCTATCACAATTTCACTTTTGAATACAAAACTGACACAAAGAATGGGTGCAACATATTTGCTATTATATTTCACCTCAAAGTTTAATAAAGTTGTGCGAGTGTTGAATACTTCAGAGTTTAATGAACAGGATGACCGCCTACGGATATAGGTGATGTGAACTCAACTTTCTCGCGATAAGTCAACAAAGTCACTGTTTCAATAAAAACTTATCACATGCTCTTCATTAAAATAATTTTCAGACACTCATCTAGAGTACTTCGATATCTCAAAATGTTTGGATAACACAAAGTATTCTTTCAGAAATAAAAACGTCTGGGGAAAGTTATCAAAAACAGTCAAAATACTTGCATAGTATAGGCAATCACGTTGAAGATTCCCCATATACGGCAAGAAAGTGATATTAAACATAATAAATAAGTAACCAATGACGGTTTATGTTACAAATCTACGAGGCGAAAAGTCAACGTGGATTATGTAAAACATCACGTATGAGTAAAATCTACACAATTGGCAAACCTTGTGAAATGATAATCGCGACTATGATACTTCAGGAAGTTTCATGCATAAGTGAAACAATTTACGTCCTAATCACGTTTGTGCAGTGTAATATGTTCATCACATTACCCAACCGATTAGCTGCTACATTGGTGAGGTGAACGGGTTTGCATATCACAATGACCCAAAGAGCTACAGTGGCCGGAATACTTGTTCCATCGAGGTCCTATCACCCCATAAAAGTAGGTCGAATAGTGGGAAGACGAAAAGAAGTTACCATTCTAGTATAAATTACTACATTATGATGGGGGTTTGAAGGGGAGTCATACTCCCGCTAGTTGGATGGGATGTAACACCAGTAAGGCCTTTTCCTCGGATGATCAGCAGTACCACGCTGGTACTGCCTTCCCAACAGAAAGTAGAGGTAGAAAAGGTCAGTCCCCAAAACAACCTAATCCCACACTCTTCCGGTCCCGGCAATATACATTCTCTCGATCCGGCGTTAGAAAAACCAAACCTCAAAACAACAATCCACGAAAGGCTATATTTGACAGTCCTCAAGCAGATGTCCCATACGCTCTGCGATCATACAAATCTTTTCCCCTTCCAACTACCTAAAGAAGAAAACTAGCCTTCCACGGTGTGGAAAGCCATGAAATGTCAACCACTCACACGCTTTCAGTACTACATAAGACACAACCAAATATAACACTGTCTCCTCCCTCACCTTTACCTTATAATACTAACATAAAGCCACTTGTATCTTATCCAACCTCTCACTCTGTAACCAGTGCCAACGACCAAAACCATCAAAACCTCACTCCTAGTCTCCTAAAACCCCACCATCGATTTCATGTAGAAGCTTTCAACATCCGAACTCAATGTCATATCGGTCAGTAAGCATCGCTTCTTAAAACTCTGGAACAGTGAGCCTTGGGTGCATGCTACCTCGAAGACGAGAAACACAGGACCCGAGTGTGGTTATTAAATTGACTTCACATGGGTATAGTAGTGGATCTTCAAAACCCACCTTACGAGTATCCAGAGACCCAGTGGCTAACTTCCGTAGACTTGCTGGTGTAGGCATAGCATTCAGTTGTTGAGTGGAAAGTGCGCTTCTCAACTCAATACTAAAGAAAACCTGTGTCGATAGGCTGTTCAACTTAATAGATCTGTAAGAACTAGGAAGGATCGTGAGACCAGACGATGCCTATTCGTAATCTCCGTTTATCCACCCACTGACTCCAGTTCAGATGATGCAAAGCATGAATCCTATGAGAAACTGTCACCTTTTTCACAGAAAGCAAAAGGTTTAGATGTGGTTATAATGGCAAGTGACTTCAACGCTCAAATAGAGAAGGTGAGACAAACTGAAAGGCATCCTGCAGATATTTACAGAATCCCATGCCAACGAACCGACAATGGTCACTGTCTGTTGACATTTTGTTCTGACAACCACTTGTTCCCGGTCGGCACTAATTTTGGGCACAAGGAGAGACACTGTCTCACATGGTGTCCGCCGACTTCAAACCAACCATGCACACAGATCACACTGCAAAAACGCAACTCTGCAGAGGACCGGGAGATGATTGTCGCTCTTTCCGGAAACCAGTTTGAACTACGATCACGCACCAGTAAGCGCTCGGTCATGTCCATGCGAAGTATTCACTTCTTGACATCTTTTGAAGGTTGAGTGTTCGAACTAACTTTTATCTTTAAATTGTTCATTTTCTCACTACTTCATCTCAGATATCACTCCTTTTCTATCCACCCGCTCTTTGTGCACTACTGTGAAGTGTGGCAACTTGAGCAGATGCACTTGTGTACAATGTTCTACAATGGTTTTGTCAGTCAGTCATCATATTAACAGAATTTCTTTCATGAAAGCTGGCCGGCCTATTCAGCAACTTAATATCCTGAAGTTATGCTTTGTTATAAGCAATATATCAGAGGAATGCATCATAGCAGTATTCGAAAACGAGAACCAATCAATCACCATTACGTGACTGTAATTAGAGGTTCATTAACTTGTTATACTAAAGCCAAAAACATACCTCACGCTCAAAATTAGGAGTATTCAAGACATTTTTTCGAGCAAATTCCAGAGCTCCTGACTCGATGGCTGAAGCAGCTTGTAATTCATCTTCCTCATCCCCACCAATTCCAAAGTCTTTTTCACTTATTGATGTCAGGACATTTTCACTAACCCCAGTATTTGGTGCAGAACGACTGACATCTACATTTCGACGGCGGCGCAGTTCAGCACGTAAGTGACTTGTCTTTCGAAGGCACAATGCCCATGACAATCTTATTAATCCCAGCAATTTCAGCTGATGTGAATCAGTTTCATTAGAATGGTTTTCACAGACAGATTTGCGATAGTCCAATAAACGTCCAATACCGGATGCAAAAGAATGATCAGTATAAAGAGGATGAATCCAATCTGAAAAAAGATAAGTATCACCAGTTATAATCACTGTTAACACTAAGAATAAGCATAATTATGAAACGGTTATAAAATGTAAGCAGTACACTTCTAACCATTAGTTATTGTAGATACCGCATGAAACTTGAACAACCATTTTTTTAAAGAAATTTCTGTTCAGGAAAGACACTGTATATTATATGCAAAGAGCAGTGTTTTTTTTAACTAGTTTATGAGACTAGTGCCCCCTTCAGATGGTTTACTTTCTTTAATTTCTTCTTTTTACTTCTGTAATGAACTAATTTACTTCCTAAAGTATGTGAATCCCCCCCCCTCTATCCCTTGAATTTTACTCTCATATGGACGAATTTTCAAAAAATATCAACTGGTGGTTTTAGAAGTTTACTCTGGGATACATAACCATTAATGTCATAAAAGTGGGGAATCTTTGTGTCTTGCACTGTAGTCATACTTCCTGCTGACATTTCTGCTACTGAACCCGTCATAAATCTGACAAATACTTGTTCAAGGTTGCCTTGCGACATTTTGTCCTTATACTTTAATGGGCATTTTTTGCTTAATTAACTGTATACAGTTAGGCATATTCTATATAGCCTATTTATTTGTGCAATCAACTGATATTGCTAGTTAAACATTATCATTTTGCTTCAAGATATTAGGCTGTAAGGTCGTTTGAAGTTAGCGTAACCCCAAGTAAATTAGTGGCGAACTTTTGGTCAAGATGATATGTACTGTTACGAACAGAAACTTGAACGCAAACAAGTAGTCGATTAATCTCGCCTGATCAAACATCGGAAATCTGCTCAGCATACAGCTTTGATGCTTATTTTCCAGGGAGGACATTAGCTCATAAGACTTTATGCTTGAGTCTCATGCTTTCGTAATCAGTAAACAAATGAGGCATTATTTTTAAATGAATCGACATTCTGTTTTTGTAGTAAGTGGTTGATATATAGCCAAATATATACCTGGGAAGTAACAAATACCAAGTTATTACGAAACAGTAGTGAATGTGATCAATGAAAATCCATGGTGGACAACTATTTCAGAAAAACCAAACTATTCAACCTGTTCTGCTAATGACAATAACATTTTCGCTGAAAACAAAGTTGACCCGTAATAATAAAATGTCAATGCTTACCATAATCCGTTAGATCCGAGACTTGGTCAGCACATGGTGTGCTTGAGGAAAATGGTTGCAAACAGTGTAGTAAAGACATAAGCAGATGTAAGCCTTCTCTAGATAGTTGATCGTTATTTTGAAAAGTCAGTTGACTTTGACTGCTATCAGTTCTTGTGGACGAATTTTGAGGCTTTGAACTCAGTAAACAATCCAAAACCAACTTGAACTCGTTTAGATTTAAAGCATTCTGACAGGACCACAACATAACACATTCAGATAAACCTTCGGATATATTTTTCAGCAGCATAAATACATCGTGACGATGCTTCGAATCCCCTAGAACTTGTAAATTTTCCAGTCGAGAAAATTCCGCATGTGCAGAAAACGCCTGCAATGCACCTAAAGCGAGTAAGAGAAGAAATTATACGCAAACATTCACTTAAAAAAATTAGTGTGAAATTTTTACACGGAACAATCTGATATTTCTTGAAATCTGATTCATCGATCCTTGTAGAAATGCTTATTTTAGTCAGTTAGACGAGCTGGGTTCAAGAAATAGCATCCTTCTGCTTCCCTGCGTTTAACAACTGTCCCAAGCTTTAAGACAACACATGACCAACGATGCTGCATTGCTGTCATTACACAATAGGTATTGTCAACTGAAATTCCAAAGCCTATAGTAACAAGAACACAACATGAAGGCAATATGAAGGCAAGGACTTATTGATGGGGTGGGCCACGACTAGAAAACACGTTCTTCTCTGATCCGTCAGGTGATAATTTCCTCTAAACAACAGTAGTTATTTGAAACAGTAACCCCCTATTACGAATTTAGACAGTGTAATTATAAGATGAAGTTTATCCGGACAACGCGATGTATTTGCGCAATAAGCAGACATAGGAGTAATTATTACTCATGCCAAGCGAATATAATTAAAAATAGAAACAAAGTAACAACAACAAATCTAAGCATTCAGTGCAAGAAATTTAATAGTGAGTGGTTCACGTGTCGCCTTATGTAATTGGCTATGAAACTGTTGATGTGGCTGACTTACAGACAGAATCAACGTGGAACCTCACACACACGTGCATCGACTCAAATTGTCACACTTTACAGTAGTACACAAAGAACAGGTGGATAGAAAAAGAGAAGAAGATGAAGTAGTGAGAAAATGAACAATTTAAAGATAAAGGTTAGTTCGAATATTCAACCTTCAGATGTCAAGAAGTGAATACATCTGAGCCAATGTGACCGACTTTCACCCTTGTCACCACTGATTACTGTTGTCTCACAGACTCCAACCAGGTAGTCTATATCTACCCACATGGCCCAGACCAACAGTAAGAGACTTCACCGACTGGTATCAGGTCTTGGTCTCGCCACCCTGAACCATCTTCCAACATAATTCAACTTCCCCTAGCATCGCACATCGAGGTACGGGGTAGCTTGGCCTGTGCGGCGTATGTCCAAGCCACTTCAGTTAATCAAGGTTCACAACCTCATTGACTGACTTACCTTCCTTGCCTAAAAATCTTCATCTGACCTCAGTACTGCTAACATGGTGATTTCACCATACGCAAGCAATGCTGAGAAGACACCTATGATCACAGAATTGTGCCCGCCTCATATTTTTTTTACTTTAAATGGTCATGTTTCACAGCCGTACAACAGGACAGAATGGACTGCAGTGCAGTCTACTCATTCTTTGATAGATAGTCAGATATCTTGCCAATCAGCGCCACAGATAGCAGAGGTTAGCAAAAGCGGAATGGGTCTTCTGCATCCGAGATAAGATTTCGTCAGCAATCAGCCCGTTCGGGCTGATGCAACTCCCCAAGTGAGTGAATTAGTCGACACATCCCACCACTTCACTCTCTCCCTATCATTAAACTCGGAGTACTTGCAGCAGAACAGTCCTGGAGCATCATCTTACATTTGATAGGTGCCAACGAAACGCATGCCAAACATATTCAGATTTCTGCCCAACGCATTCACAAGACCCTGCATGTTGTCAGCGTTTTCACTTAGTAGGACAATATTGTCTGGATACTGTCAGTCAACCAGATGACCTCCAGGGAGTAGGTCAATCCCTGTGACGTTGGACGTGCCCAAGGTTGTGTCCATTAGTACATCTCTGACGAAGTTAAATAGGAACAGTGGTAGTGGACATCCCTGGAGAACACCACTAGTTGTCTTCAGTTCATATGGGAACTCTCCATAAGCCGTTAGACGGCTATGACTTCGCATGCAGAGCTTTTATAAGCGTCATGTACCTGCTCGGTACTCACTTGACAGTCAGACACTGCCACGAAACCTCATGATCGAGAGAGTTAAACACCGCCTTCAGGTCAAGTGTCGACCACTGGTCGGTAGGTACACCTGTGTTTCAGAACCTGTTGAAGGGTGAGTGTTTGATTGATGCACCTGTCGTCCAGAGAGGTCTAAAACCTGTCTGGTTTTCTTGAGTCGACCGTTCTGGCGCTCCAGTTAGGCGTCGGATAACTACGCACCCTAGGATCTTGGACACAATATCAGTCAAGCTAATTCCCTTACGGTTGTCACAGAAAGGTTTCTCCCCCTTCTTGTAGACTGAGGTGATCAGTGAAGTAGACCAGTCGGACAGCACTACCTCTCATTCCAATACGCCAGCATATTACCGAGTACCCCGGTTACTTATTAATTCCCTACCTCTATTCTTGAAAGCTTCAGGTGGCAAACTGTCAGGTCTTGCTGGTTTGCATCGTTTAAGGTTAGAAGCAGCCTTCTCAACTTCAAGGAGTGTCGATAGATCGATATCTACATCCCATTCAGGTTCATGCTGGATGTTGGGCAACTGAAGCGTTACTGAGAATCAGTTGAACTGGACTTTAAAGTGTTTTACCCAACGTTCTAGTCGCCTGTTATGGGAGACTATCAGCGTCCCATGTTTTTCGGTGGTGGTTTCACTTACCATCGTCTTCTTATTGGCGGTGTCCTTAATCAACCAAAATAGTTGCCGATAGTTAACCATCGCGAATACCTTCATGAGAGGATGAGGTATCAACTATATTAGGATGGACAGAAAGCTGATTTGCCGATATCATAGTTGGGGTTGCCTGTCACAATGACCAAATGAAGCATACCAGCGGAATGCTTATTCTTTAGAGGTCATACGATACCAGGAAGTTCCTTCCCGATAGCTGTAAGTCAAAAAGGAGCAGCGTTCTTAGTTTAAATTGTTAAGCTATAACTATGGTGGGGGTTCGATGGAGATCTCACACTGTTGTTTAGATGGAGTGTGACAGCAGGACAGTTTTTCCAGCAAATGACCACAGTTTCATGCTGATCCTGCTGACTCGTTGGGAAACGGTGTTAGAAAGATCGGTGGTAAAAATAGCACCCTCCCTTTTGCCTCGCTTCATACCAGTGCCGGTGATTTGAGTTGAAATTCGAACTTGCACGAAAGAAACTAAACTATTAAACTTCTAAAAAGGTCGTGTGACCGGCCTACAGCAGGTACCCCATAGACTCAGCGGTTAGGCATTGTTAATACAAACCCTCCTTTCTCAATGTCAACCACCCTTGCAATTCTATCAGTACTACAGTCGCCTTAGACCACTGTGCACCTTCCATATCCTTAACTTCTAATCTTCCTTCACGTCTCTCAATCAATATTCCGACGTTATCTCTGGATTATTCCAGCTCCGCAGATCTTGACAACGACGAGTGCACGCAGCAACATCGCTGGTCTCCTGAAACCGCGCTCTAAACTATATGTTGGAGCTTCCAGTGTCTGTGCTCTCCGTCAAATCGACCAACCAGCTTTACTGGCCAAAAATTTAGCATCTCAGGCCATGGATGTACGCTGCGTTCGTGAGACATGCATACAAGACCTAAGTGTGGCTATTCACTTTACCTCAGCCAGTCAATATGGTGAACCCGAGACATCCACCCCTCGAGTTCTGGAGATTCGATGGTTAGTTCTCGTGCCGTTGCAAGTGTAGGTAGAGCAGAAAGTACATTTCTTGACTGGATCCCAGTTGACAGTCGCCTATGCACTGGTCGACTAGACAGTACAATGAGGGCTGAAAAGAAAAATAAAACTAGCCGTTGTCTCCTTGTAATCTTTGTTTGCGCACCCACCAACTGCAGCTTGCATGAAATGAGGCATGACTTTCACCGAAAACTGACTAGTCTCCTACTAAATGCTAAACGATCAGAAGTAGTTGCTGTTCCAAGTGACTTCAATCCACAAATGGGTTGACCAAGTCAGGCAAGAAGGCACTTTTGGAATCCCAGCTGAACGAACAGTTAACGGAGATTCCCTACTATAAATATACTCAAACTATTGAATCCTGGCCAACATGAACTTCAGACATCAAGAGAGACGTAGTCTGACGTAGCACCCACCGGCCTCAAATTAATGGTGAGCACAGACAGACCATGTTGTTATCAGTTATTGCTAGAAAGATCGGTGGAAGACTGTCGATGTTCTTACAGCATGTGCTCTGACAACAACTATGAGTTGGTCCTAGCACGTGTACAACAGATCAAAGGGATGTAGGTAGACTATAGCACAAAGATCGTTGTGAGTGTAGTTCCACAATGAGAGCACCAAAGTTACTTTCAGTGGGAAGCTGACTAGACAGTTATCGGCGAAGAACAAAATCACCGGTTCAGAAGAAGCCTGTTGCCACCTCTACTATACTGTAGAAACGGCGTAGAAGACAGTAGCCACCTTTAAGAGTCGTTAAAAGGGCCAATAGATCTTAGTAGCTTCTTCTGAATTAGTGGATGCACGCGAACGCATTCCTGCAGACTGAGTACAATGAGTAACGGAAGCGAATCAAATGTAAGCTGAAAAGAAGTATACCTTACGACTGCGAGCAGTGGTGGGCAGTGAAGGACAGAGGTAGAAAAGGTAGCAGTCATAGGTAACAGCAGACGGTTATTTGGACTTATCAAGGAAACTGGGGCAAATAGCCCAGTAGTTAGTGAGATTCCAGCGGAGAAGGATGGGTCTGATTGAATAGCAGGGGAAATGCCTGAAACGATAGACAGAACACTTCAAGAAATAAACTCAGGACTCCAGCCACCATTCCATTCCCAGCAATTTACTCGGATCCTGTAAGGAACATTGAGATAGGACCCTTACAGAATTCGAGAAAGCCGCAAGCAATCTGAAAAGAGGAAAACAGAAGGGTCAGAGTATCTAGTACCATAGGGATTTAAGGACGGTGGTAGAGAATTATTGGTCAAATTAGCTAAAGTGCTAACTAGTGTGTGGGAATCAAACATGGTCCCCACGGGCTGATCTCAGCCACTGATTGTCCGAGTCTCCAAGAAAGGTGAGAGATCCTCTTGTGAAAACTACAGGAGAACCAACCTGACGAACACAACGTATAAGACTCTAGATTCTATAATCATTGAACGCCTGACCGGAGGTCAAAACAGCAAACGCGAGAAAACCTAGCAGGTTTCAAACCTGGCCGTATATCGGTCAAATATCCCACCACACACACACACACCGACAAGTACTAGAATACGAAGTTGGTCTTATTTCTCAACCCGAAGGCGAGATTCAACCCTGTCGATCGAGAAGTCTTATGACAATGTCTTTTACTGACAAGGATGTACAGTAAATGCATAACTCTTTTGAAGGCTCTGTACTCAAACACGTGTCGACGTGATAAGACTTACAGTGTGGTGTCCGTCAAGAGACATCTCTTTTATCGTTTCACTTTACAGGGATTGATCAAACTAGAAGAGAATCCTTCGTAGACCTAAAGTAAGCAGATGACATAGTCCCCTTAGACGAAGATACAGAGCCTTTCGGAAACACTGGGTGGTAATTTAAGAATGTTTAGAAAGCTTCCCACTACCCAAATGCAAATCGTTACTCTAGGACTGATCTTCAGTGGTGCCCTGTTTAACAATAGGGAGTGAAATGGTTCAGTGTACTAACCAGTTCACACACCTGGGAAGTTGGATCAGCCCTGATGGCTCAGTGGTCAATGAAACTCCGACACAAATACCAAAGGCTCAATTGGCTTTCGCCAACTTAAGCTATATATGGCACCACCGTGATATCCTATTGTCTATTAAAAGCCAAGCGTACTGCGCTGTAGTTCATTGCGTCTTACCGTAAGGCTGCGAAACACTCGTTGATGTTAGAGGACACGAAAAGGCGTACATTGTTTGACCACCATAGCCTTTGTAGCATAGGCCATGTAGTGATGTCACTTCAGTGGTGCGGAATCTACTTTTATTTTTGGGGGCAGTAGAGGAAAATCAGTTGATGAAGTTGTGAACCTTCATTAGTTCAGGTGTCTAAGACATCTGTTATGCATACCTCGCCACCGTCTACCTCGTTGTGAAATGTTAACCGAAATGGGTTTACGCTGCGAAAAGGTTAGGAGTAGCCGAATTAAAACATGACATCAGCACAGAAAGTTTTTGACTGTTGGTATGGCCTATGTAGTGGGTTGTAGGATTTCCAATTGGGGTCCACGTGACAAAAAGCCAGTGGGCGAAAACCCTAGGCGACAAGGCGCAGATGCATCTATACATTATCCTTGCCTCAACCAGCTTGTTCCTACTATTTTTTCACTACTTCCTATTACTTTTGACTGATTCTTCTTCATTTCCTTGCTTGTCATAAAAATGCTTTCTCACTTGATGTGTTGATACGAGATTTGACAACTTGGACCGTTTGGCAGTTATACTTGGTCTTGATATGGCAAGCAAAACTCCTGCCTCTAAAAAGTGGGCGCGTTAATCAGAATGCCATGAAACTCAATTCGATTTATTGACACGAACATATGCGTGATTAGTGAGATAAACTGAATTCAAGTGATTTTGCTCGATATGCTGGTAATTTCCACTGCACATGCGCAACACGTTCCACGCGGATTTGTCTTCTGGACAGTCTAAAGTTTCGAGGAGTTATTAGTATTACGATTTATCTCGGAAGTGTTTTATAAGCTTTACTAGCTGTCCAACGAGCAGTGGTTACTACTTACTTTCTCCATCATTACTGCTTTGCTTACCACAACACCTAAAAACACGTAGGTTTGGGTCATCAGATATCGATTAACCGTCAAATTTCAATCGTACTAGAATATGCAATGACGAATAGAGCGACATAGTGACCATGCAAACCATTATGAGCCTACCAGAAACAGCGACCTGTCAGGACTACAGATAATACTTGATTGCCAGGGCCTCGGTGAATAGGATAGGACTCAAAATCACTACCCATTAAAGACTGATTAACTTAACTAAAAGACGAGTATTACAACCTCATGATTCTGATCTGAAAACCTATGTCTAAAAATTAGGATTTTCCTGTCCTGAATTTAATGTTATCTGTAAGGTGGAAAGTTGAAGATACAGCCAGCATTCTTACACATTGTTAGTTTCAACATTATTTCCTTATCTTAAAGTGCGGAAATGTAAGCTACTTTTCCTCCGCGAAAAGTGCAACCCTAACCTGTTTGTTTGTCTTTTAGAGACTAGCATAATCTGCCTTAGCCTCTCCATTCGGTTACTATGTGCATCACAGGAACTTGTTGTGAAAATTCTGACTGCACTATATTTTTTCGAAATAAATACAGAGGTGGTACAATATATGAAAGGCACTTCGCAAATCTGCTTCATACGCTGAAGATGAGACATGTCTTATCTACAGCATACAAAGCAAATTTAATACAAATGAGAACCTTACCTAAAATATTTTGCAGTAATCCACTTGCGAACAAATCATCTGTAATAGCATGAAGAGTCTGGCATATCTCAGCTGTTGTAGAAGATGGCCACATTCGGCCATCACGTGCAGCAATTAAGGTAGCCAAAGCATCAATAATGGACAGGTGGGATTCGTAATACAAAAGCACACCAACTAATCCTCGAGTAAGACGAGGGAAAAAGGAGAGCTGACTCTCAACTAAGAATAAACTAGTTTGCACATAGCAAATTTTTACCTGTTAGGCAGAGTTCTACAGCTAGAAGTTCGTTCAGCTTGAAGACCTCACTAAGAAAGAGTGACTCATGTACTACGTCTTCAGATAACTGAACTCTATGTGGAAAGTCAGGAAGCATGACCGCTGAACTGTGAGCGTTTTTAACAGATTCATAATCACTTTCACATTTTTCCTGTAGGAAATATTGAACAACAAAACGGAATTTACCGGAAACGTCAATGGGGATAAAAGCAACTGTCTGTGTTTCTTAAAAGAACTTTCCATCTCCAACAGGCGATCCGCTTTTCCATTACAGACCACATCGGATACAATGCATCTTAGTGACTTCGCAGACGACCACATGCTTTTACTTCTTAAGCAGGTTAAGTCAAGGTCACACACTTTCAATCCAATATCAAAATGTTCAAACGGTTCAATATCATAAAACATGCTACGAATCCAATCGGTTTCTTCGCACTAACTTCAAGCTGTTGGTAGATTGTGATGCAGTGGGTCTATCCACCCTTCTTCTGCAGCTTTGGTATACCCCTTTCGAGGTCGGGTGTTGATTAGATTTGTAGAGGTGTTGCATGATTTGTCTAAGAACTCCATTACAGACGAGTTCCTCAAATTTTGTATCATTAGAACGTCGTTTGAGGTGGTTATAAAAAGATCCAAAAAATGAAGAAATGTTCAGCGAAAAAGAAGGAGAGATAGTGCGAAGAAACAAGTTGCAAAGAGGCAGAACGAAAGGAATGGAGGAACCTAGGTAAGTTCAAGGAAGATGAGAAAAAGGACAGTGACAAGGGGAACTTTAGTAAATGGCATGAAATGTTACATCCGTGTGGGGGAAGGAGTAGGCGAGATCATAGTAAGGATGCTAGAGACAGGAATAGTAATGTTAGTGTGGTAAGGCAATTGGAAGTGGGAGTCTAACACGGGAGCATAAGGGTGAGACAAATTCCTGATGATGGTGTCAGTGCAAAGGTGTTAGTGTGGAGGTCTCTATTTTGTAATTCTGCGGAATCAGCAGGCCGTTCTGGCCTATTCTGTATCCCAGCTGGTTGAGTGCAGGCAGCGTGTCACTGCGTGACTGTCCAACCTCTTCTTCAAGATATTGACAGACGGAGCGGTAGTAATCTTGGCAGACAAAAAGTTCTGATCGCTGCAGACGCGGATACATTAAAATAGTAGATTCCCATGGTCCCCTGAGCTCTGATGGGTGGGGTTCCTGAGGGATAACTACAGTCACCGTTCGATAGAAATCCACTGTTCAGGTAACTTGGGTTACTGATTATTTTGTAAGCCTTCATCAAGTCACCACGTAGCCATCGTCAGCTAAGCAAACAGGAGCCTTGCTCCCTTGGTTAATTTTCACGGGTTGCATTCCTACAAAACCCTTCATCGCATGCTTCTGGAATTCCTCCAGCAGGTTCACGCCTGTTTTCAGTTGTAGTGGTGTGGTGATATTACAGACGTCTAGGTAAGGTACTATGTAGGTTGCGCTGAGTTGCGAAAAGAGTTTGGAAGTAGGGGCACATACGTTTACGCATCTGACGCGTAGTGCCATGTGCTGATTTCCCAGATGAACTTTACCAGCGTCCTGCCTGTGTCAGTATGCTTCCGAAGCTTTCTTCGTGATCGTGTCAGGAAAGAGGGTAACAGAGAGTGGGTAGGATATATTTCGTCCGACGGAAGTAAGGGAGAAGCATGGCTCTGCACTGATCGGGACTAAATGCTAGTCCGTAATTATCCACTTGACCTGAAGGCAGAGGTCGACGGAAAGAGCGCTTGCTACTGAATTCAACGTCGCAGCTCCGCGCATCAAAAAATCGACAGCGCTCCGCAGAGTAGAGCAGAATATGGAGAGCACGAGGAAACCCACAAACAGAAGGAACGAAATCGAAGAAAGATTCCACCATGAAATGAACTGCATTAAGATGATCCACAGATTGGGCGTGGCTTGATGAACCTCAGGAATGTGGAAAATGTTTATAAACTAGCAAGAAAAACTTGATCGGATCGTGTTCTGCCGGTTGAATCTATTGATCCTGAAGTTTTCATGCTCATACAAAAAAAGCTCATAGCCTCAGCATTCAGACAAAAGTGAACCGTGGGCCTCCCTCCACAAATGGCTCAGTAGATTGTCCTGATGACCCTGTGTGACTGATTGTTTCTGCCGTAGTGTTCTCATCTTCTCCATGTTTATTTCGATCGCTTGTTCTGTTGCCAAAAACTATGACCGTTTCATCGCTTCCTATTAGTTGATAGACTGGGTCAATGTCAATATGCCTGTTGATCGCTGACTGATCTGAACTCGAAGCCTTCCGAGATTCTCTCGCATTCTCTTTATTTCCTCCGTCCAGGACTTACACACTTTCCCCGTCAAATTCACATCGTTAGTTGTCCGTATGCGCTGACATGAGCGAAGACATATCACGTTGCTTCACTGCTAGTTGGTGTTCATGTAGATGGATAGGAAGAGGGCGACCACTCTGTCCGATACGGTGCCTTGCGTGGTTTCTGCATTTCATTTTGTAGATAATGTTTGATTTGTCTTCCTTCAGCATCGCATCTTCTGGCCTGCACAACACAAAGTGAAGCGGTCTTGTGAGCTACAGCGACTTTAAACAGCTTCAACAATCTAGTCATGATCTCGAAGACATTCTTCATGTAGGGTGAGACAATCTGTTTGTTGGTTTGCGAGGCTGACTTCTTAGTTAATGACGAGTTATGTAAACATCTTTTGATGAAGTTGCATGGACATTCGTTCTCCTGGAAAACAGTCATTAAGTAGATTTCCTCATTTCTCCAGAAGGTTGGTGTGCTACAGTCTGTCCTCGTTCGTTTGAACAGTGTTCGTATACGATTATAAACATTCAGACTATAGTGTTTACGAATGTCCTGGAGAAAGTGGGGCGCGGAATCTGGTTGAATCATAATAAGGATATATTTTAATATAAACCCAGCGTGCTTAGAAAATCAAGAATGAAGTTGTAATGACTAATCATCCAACCAATGACATAGGTCCACTAAATATTTGATGTATCATTTGACTACATATACTGGCGTTAATGAAATCCGTACATTCTTCTGAGGAAGCTGTTGGTTACACAGCGAAACGTTCAGAAATATCTTGTTTTGATTTTCTAAACACGCTGAGATTATACCAAAATATATTCTCATAGTGTCTACATACAAGTGGTTTTGTGTGCCGTTCGGTTATTGCTATTGAATGAAGATGAGTGATAAGTAGCGACAAAAAGGCAGCCAATAGAGAAATTATTTTCTGGTCATGCGCATGTGATATCATAAGGTAATTGGACAAATTCGACGTCACACAACCAATCGGATTGGTTTATTTGTGGCTTCATTTCCTGAATTTATATACATATATATGCACCATAAATATTTGTCCAGCAAAGTTGTTGGTGCTCCTGCAGTCTTCTGATTATCGCGCCTCAGTGTGGAGGAGAACAATCGCATTACTCGTATGCAGTCCAAGTATCTCGTTTCATAATTATTTCATTTGCGGATTATTAGAACCCATATCATACCCCAACTCAGTGACAACAAGGAGAATTTGATTTGTGTGACTTGGCTCTCTGTATACTTCAGTTTCCCATTTTTCCGAACCCTCTCTAGTGACCAGGACATTCGAAAATGCAAGTTTGTGATTTGACTCCTCTTCAACTGTGAATTTGATGTCATCGGAAATGTTGCTGATTAATTTGTAGGCGATTCCCAACTCGTTTATTTTAATGATCACAAACGTATCATCTACATATCGTACCCGAAATTTCGGTCTCATCAACGGCAACACCACAGTTCCCAGTTTTCCCATTGCTGCTTCTGCATCTGACCCTGATGTAAATAATTTCATTGGTGTTCCTTGTGACGGTTTGTATAGTTTCCCATTCAACTGACAACATGCTGTAACGCATAGATCAATAACTTTCACAAAACTTGGACACTGCAATCGTGTGTGTTCCGAGAGGTGTGTCACCGTTGGTGTGGAGAATAGACATTGTATCCTTAACCGGCTTCGGCTCACTTGAGGTGTATAGAGCTGCGACGTCGAGAGACACCATCTATTTGTCGCTGTCAATATGAATATGCTTCATAGTTTTCGAAAATTGTGTCAAAGTGTTGATCGAGTGGTCGTATGATTCTACTAGATGTTGCAGTTTTCTGCAGAGGAAGCTTTGCCTAACTGGCTTCCGCGTCCACAATCCGTCTATCACTACTTCTTGTGGTTGTTGATTTGTATACAGGTAAACAATGAGGAAGAAGCGACGTTTAAATATGAATGTTCAGTTATTTCTGGGCTAATCCCAGGCACGCGTCAAGTAAGTACCGAGTCAGAGCCTAAAGGATTCTAACTAGGTAGCCTGGATAACATCTGCGGGAAAGCTTTACGGGGATTAACAGTTTTTAGGGGACAGAACTTTTGCCTGATTTCTAGCCTGCCACGTTGCAGGCTCAGTTTCCGTATGTGACCTCTAGAATTAGTGCCACAGCTAAGATCTACTAAGTGACGAGGTGGGTGTCCAGGAGCACTCGAAATGTTGTGAGTCATTATCAAGTCCCCTCTTAGCCTTTTCAATTCCAGAGAATACAGACTCAGCGCAACCAGTTATCCCCCGTGTGTTTTAGACCTAAGTGTTCGAACACGTTTTGTCGAGCGACTTTGGGCGTGTTCTGAACTTATTTTGTTTTTCTGGAGAAAAGAGGGAATACGACGGTCCCTTACTTCAGAACAGGCAGTACGAAGCTGTTGGAAACTTCATGGAAGCATCTACGTTCGAATTGTCCAAAAATTCGCCTGAGTTACTAACGTGAAGTTTCCAAGCGATGCTTTTCTGCCACGGTTGCCGTAGGAATCCAAAACTACCGAACCTTTCTCCGTGGGTGACGCTTCAAGCCTCGTGCCGTTGAGGCAATATACGTGATATGCATCGCGTTTTACGTTGATCACCATGCATCTTTTAGACAGTCGAAAACCAGTCCTACAAAAGTAAGCATGGCAGGCATATCAATGCGTTAAATTCTACCTTGTAACAGGAATATTCATTCTATGCCTGACAGATTCACATCCTTCATGGCTCCATTAAAACTGAAAGGCAACACAATGATGTTATTAAGTCTTTGAGATTAATAGTTAAATAGCTTCATCTGAATGAATTCTCGAACCTTAAGAGTCCAACTTAACTGAATATTGGTGCAAAATAACTTCTCCCTAGGGTTTTTTGGCTAGAACATCATTAATTTTGTAGCAACTGAAATATTTTTCATGATCTACTAAAATTGTAGTGCAAAAATGGCTGCAGCGTATGATGAAACGTTTTGTTGTTGTGGTTCTTAAAAGCCCAAAGACATGTTCAGTCCTTTGAAGAACCACTTTTTATTTACATATATAACAGTTATATCATTATGAACTATTATCTATTAACTCACTGTGCAGTATAAACTACTTAACCTACAACCTCTTGGTGTAGTGGTTTCAAATTCCAATCCATTAAATGAGGTATACACGGTCAGACGGTATCACTTTGTGCTGCCAAACAGGTGTGATCCGCACTCGAGTATACAACGTCACTAGGTTACATAATTTTAAGATTCATGGTGTATATATGTAGCTGATGAACGTGAAACTAGCTGTTTTTCAACCCTTTAATTTTTTCCTTCAAGAATTTCATTTCCTTAGTCATAAATCATATTAAGTTCTTTCCATTATATGTTGATGAGTCTAAATGAATTGGATTCATTGCTTATAACTAGCTTAGGTTTCCTAATCGGAGAAAAATGTTTATTTCGCAGGAGGTGACCTGGTGTTCTTTTGTTTAGTAATTCAGAGCCTATAATTGTGGCAAAGCATTCTGTCTGGCTTACTACAACGTGCAAATGTATTCACAATATAATGAAAAAAACATTTACATATCACGTGAAGTAATGGAATGAAACGTTTATCGTTTGTCAATTTCTCTCAGCTATTGTGTGTTATCTGAAATTATTAAACAGACGTTTAGTCATAAGACCATGTAAAATAACCTTGGTTTAACAAACTAGTGGTGAGGGATGGTGATGGCTGTATTTGATGAAGAACCTAACCACCGGTCCGAGTCTGAACACAAATCAAATTTCCTTATAATATATTTTCCAATGTCTTTTTATTCATTCACATAAAAATTAAAATATATCACTAAGTTAACCTTCTTTTACACTTATAATAGATGTGAATAAGTTTATCTGGATGGTTCGAATAGCTGGTAGTACAGAGAAAGGACGTCATGTAAATGAACGTGACTACTATACACCACAGGGAGAAATGCGTGTAGATACTGAAGCTACTTCAACAATGAAGAACTGTTTACTGTATAAGCTAAGTTATTATCGTTTTTGGGAAATGAAAACTGCTAGAGGTAAGTGTTTGTAAATGAATTGAGCATAATGTAGAATATTTGTAGTTCATGAGGATAATTTTGATGGTGTTGTGTTCTCTGAGTTGGATGGTTTAATCCAAAAGCTTCCATTACCAATCTTGACAACGTCAATCAGCACAACCTTCAACTTGTTCAAACAATGTCTGACCGAATTCGAGGAACTTCTACGGAAAGAGCTAAATTACGATACAGGAGACGCTTCGGGACCAGAATTCTGCTCATCCCTTTAGTCATCACTGAAGACTTCAGGACTAAACTCTGAAACCCAACTGGAAATACGGCCAGTGTTCATGTCTCTGACCAGGCGAAGGTAAAACCGTACTCATCTAACTAGTAAAGAACAGACAGCTCTTTAAAAAAATGTATAATAGAAAGGACGTCGTTATAATCTCAGTTGAACAAGGGTGCACCACAGTAGTCATGAATAAAGACGACTACATCAAAAAGGCGGAAGACTTACTCATGGACCGTAATGTATATCAAGCAACTGAAATAAATCCGATTCAAAAGTTTAACTTCCACGTCGCCAAGACCTTGAACAAACTCATCAAAGGGGACAAATTACAAAACAAGACCAATTGAGAGTGAAATCCAATAGACCTGTTATCTTGAGTTTCTATGATAGACCAAAAATATGCGAATCGAACGTCCCACTATAACCAGAGTTTCACTTCCAGGAACCACTAGCATACAATCTTTCAAAAGAACTGCAGAAAACTGCAACATCTAGTAGAATCATACGACCACTCGATCAACACTTTGACACAATTTTCGAAAACTATGAAGCATATTCATATTGACAGCGACAAATAGATGGTGTCTCTCGACGTCGCAGCTCTATACACCTCAAGTGAGCCGAAGCCGGTTAAGGATACAATGTCTATTCTCCACACCAACGGTGACACACCTCTCGGAACACACACGATTGCAGTGTCCAAGTTTTGTGAAAGTTATTGATCTATGCGTTACAGCATGTTGTCAGTTGAATGGGAAACTATACAAACCGTCACAAGGAACACCAATGAAATTATTTACATCAGGGTCAGATGCAGAAGCAGCAATGGGAAAACTGGGAACTGTGGTGTTGCCGTTGATGAGACCGAAATTTCGGGTACGATATGTAGATGATACGTTTGTGATCATTAAAATAAACGAGTTGGGAATCGCCTACAAATTAATCAGCAACATTTCCGATGACATCAAATTCACAGTTGAAGAGGAGTCAAATCACAAACTTGCATTTTCGAATGTCCTGGTCACTAGAGAGGGTTCGGAAAAATGGGAAACTGAAGTATACAGAGAGCCAAGTCACACAAATCAAATTCTCCTTGTTGTCACTGAGTTGGGGTATGATATGGGTTCTAATAATCCGCAAATGAAATAATTATGAAACGAGATACTTGGACTGCATACGAGTAATGCGATTGTTCTCCTCCACACTGAGGCGCGATAATCAGAAGACTGCAGGAGCACCAACAACTTTGCTGGACAAATATTTATGGTGCATATATATGTATATAAATTCAGGAAATGAAGCCACAAATAAACCAATCCGATTGGTTGTGTGACGTCGAATTTGTCCAATTACCTTATGATATCACATGCGCATGACCAGAAAATAATTTCTCTATTGGCTGCCTTTTTGTCGCTACTTATCACTCATCTTCATTCAATAGCAATAACCGAACGGCACACAAAACCACTTGTATGTAGACACTATGAGAATATATTTTGGTATAATCTCAGCGTGTTTAGAAAATCAAAACAAGATATTTCTGAACGTTTCGCTGTGTAACCAACAGCTTCCTCAGAAGAATGTACGGATTTCATTAACGCCAGTATATGTAGTCAAATGATACATCAAATATTTAGTGGACCTATGTCATTGGTTGGATGATTAGTCATTACAACTTCATTCTTGATTTTCTAAGCACGCTGGGTTTATATTAAAATATATCCTTATTATGATTCAACCAGATTCCGCGCCCCACTTTCTCCAGGACATTCGTAAACACTATAGTCTGAATGTTTATAATCGTATACGAACACTGTTCAAACGAACGAGGACAGACTGTAGCACACCAACCTTCTGGAGAAATGAGGAAATCTACTTAATGACTGTTTTCCAGGAGAACGAATGTCCATGCAACTTCATCAAAAGATGTTTACATAACTCGTCATTAACTAAGAAGTCAGCCTCGCAAACCAACAAACAGATTGTCTCACCCTACATGAAGAATGTCTTCGAGATCATGACTAGATTGTTGAAGCTGTTTAAAGTCGCTGTAGCTCACAAGACCGCTTCACTTTGTGTTGTGCAGGCCAGAAGATGCGATGCTGAAGGAAGACAAATCAAACATTATCTACAAAATGAAATGCAGAAACCACGCAAGGCACCGTATCGGACAGAGTGGTCGCCCTCTTCCTATCCATCTACATGAACACCAACTAGCAGTGAAGCAACGTGATATGTCTTCGCTCATGTCAGCGCATACGGACAACTAACGATGTGAATTTGACGGGGAAAGTGTGTAAGTCCTGGACGGAGGAAATAAAGAGAATGCGAGAGAATCTCGGAAGGCTTCGAGTTCAGATCAGTCAGCGATCAACAGGCATATTGACATTGACCCAGTCTATCAACTAATAGGAAGCGATGAAACGGTCATAGTTTTTGGCAACAGAACAAGCGATCGAAATAAACATGGAGAAGATGAGAACACTACGGCAGAAACAATCAGTCACACAGGGTCATCAGGACAATCTACTGAGCCATTTGTGGAGGGAGGCCCACGGTTCACTTTTGTCTGAATGCTGAGGCTATGAGCTTTTTTTGTATGAGCATGAAAACTTCAGGATCAATAGATTCAACCGGCAGAACACGATCCGATCAAGTTTTTCTTGCTAGTTTATAAACATTTTCCACATTCCTGAGGTTCATCAAGCCACGCCCAATCTGGGGATCATCTTAATGCAGTTCATTTCATGGTGGAGAAAACCCCATGGCTCACTTCTTTCAGAAGTTTGTGGTTATGATGTTGTCTACGATGACAATGAAACCTCCGTGATTAAACCATCCAACCCAGAGGACACAATTCCATCAGAGTTGAGCATAACTCTATTTCGAACTGTTTTACGCTCTGTGCATCTTTGTCAGGTCACTATATTTAACCTCAACCGAATGCGGCAATGTATAAGGGAGTCTAAAGTTGAAGACGGACTAAGAAATGAATGAGTATTGTCAAATTAAGATGTTACATTGAATACTTTCAGAGTGTAAGCTTCCAAGTGAAGGGTTTTGGAGCGTTCGCAATCGGTTGTGAAAGATATTTAGCTAAATAACATGGCTAGGTGAGACGTTTCAGCTGCACCTTCGATCTGTTTAAGTCGTCCTATGTTGACTCATCTCATTTTTATGAATGATATAAGTAGTCTTCTCTGAGGTATTGAGCAGTGCTAAGGACGTAGAACATTTAATAGAAGGATGTCAAGTTGTAGCACTTCACAACAGCGCAGAATATTATCAAAACGGGAAAGAAATACCAGGTGACTGATGAATCTGCATGGTTGGGGAGAAAAAACAACTGAGGCTGGTAATGTGAAAAGAGCTAACTACTGAACTTTAGCTGATACTACTGAAATTAGTGAGTGGTGATTTCTTACGGTTATACATGGCTAAAATGCAGCTGAACATCGTGGGAAGCACCTTGAACGACTCCTAGCATTGTCTCGACAGTTGGTGTAATTACTATCAACCCACTAATTACAGCACCACCTGGTTTAAACTTCATATTTCTTCACTTGTCTCATTAGTGTTGCACCTGGCATGTACTAGATTCAGTTTGTGGCGGAAAATACAGAGATAGGTTTTGCTCCGATGGTATTGTTTGTAGTGACAGTGTAAGCTTCATGACTAAGTTATCCAGTCCGTATAAGAAAACACTGTTAGAATTGTCTTGGTGAATCACAAATATTTTTCACTATTTTAAAATACTAGAAGACATTCTAATGGCCAGGTAAAGTGTGTAATCATCAAAAAGCTTCAGAGCAGGTTAGCATGGATAAATGGCTGGAATAACTGTCTGCTGACCTTGTCATTATCTTATAAAGTGTTTCTTTACACATAGTCAGTCACTGAATATCAAAATGGGACTTATTATTACTGCATAACAGTTCATGTTGCCACACCTCACTTTGGCACATTAAGGTGGATGGTACGAAAATGAGAAATAAAGAAATCAGGAATAAAGCCAGTCTTTAAACAAAATCAAGAATCAGTGAGACTTGGCATGACGATTAAAATAAAATGTGGCTACATCTGCGCCACTGAGCGAGCTGTAGTACCTAGAACTGGCATCCACCGGTTTCACTTATCAAGCGGACCCCGACTTGGAAGTCTGCTTTTCGTTACAAGACGCAGAACAAAAGTTGGAAACCTCATCGACTGGTGGCAAATCTTAGCTTGGCTGCCTCTATCCATTTTCCAGTATAAATCTACTTCAGTTAATGTTGAGTGACGTGGCATACGTCGGTCATTTCGCATCAATTTAAGTTAATGTCTACAACATCCCCAACTAAATTCCCCCTTCTTTTTGAGACTTTACTTCTGATTTCTACGTTGCTGATGTGATGTTGCCACGACCTATGTTACGAATGCGACGGTGGTCAAACACTTAAAGCGTTCTCATATCATCTACTTTTAGTGACCATATTCCACACTCATAGACAATAGACCGATAAAGTCTGAGTCGGCGAAAGCCGATCGAGCCTTTTGTATCAATGCCGAGATTCCTTCACTCACTGACCCACCATGGCCGATCCAACTACCCAGGTGTGTAGAGTGGTGGTCAATGCGCTCAACTACTTCACCCTCCACTGTTAGACAGGCCACGACTGAAGATCAGTTCTGGGGCATTAATTTGCATTTGGGTGGTCAGAAACATGTCCCAGACATTCTCAAATTGTTACTTAATGTGTTCAGAAGGTTGCATCCTTCAGCAAAATAAGAGTAAGACTTGAGCACAGTGGTAGAATGTAATTTCACTTTTTTATTGACTTACTCGATGTATCACACAGCAGAATAGTATTACTTACTGTATTACGTTTCGGATGTATAGAAAATCCTACTACCTATATCAAAAAGGAGACGAGAACTATATAAACCATGCCTCAAAGTTGTGAAGTCATCTTGATATCAGACGATAAGAAATTAGCATTCCATATTTTAAGTCGAATATGAACGAAGAATATTTTCAATAACTTCTCGTCAGATTCTACGATTATGGAATCAATTTGGTTGACACACCATTGATCGCCAAAATTTGGGGGAAATGCATTTTAGAGTGGGAACGGGGTTGTAACTAAAATCTGATTCCTAATCTTCAAGTTTATGTCAAGGACACTATATTGTTTCTTATCTGAGTACTGACTGGCAGCGGTAACATATGCATTTCTGCTTTTATGTGGTAAACTCCATCAGTATCTTCCCGCTAAAAATATCATCGGATTTCGTCTCTATTTCTTTATGCTCGATGAACCTGGACTAGAGACATAATTCATCCGTTTTATACGGAAGATTCAGTATGAGAGATGTGGGTTAGAAAAGTATGAAGTTAGGGAAAGGTTATTGAAAATGTTTGTGATTTACTACAACTGCTTAGTCTTTGGCCGCTAGTCTGAACCGTTTAGGGCAGTGTAGACTTCTAGGTTGGTTTCCGCATGGTAACAGGAACTCTTGGTTGGAGAATCGATCGCGCAAGTTTACCCAGACACCAACCTCATCTTAATCTTCCTAATAAATTTCTGTATTCTTCGAACCTTCTTTACCCTCTTTCAACCCCTTTTGATTGTTTGCTTTATCTTCCAACCTTACTGCATTCTCATGTGATGTGCTAATATGAAGTTTGACAACTTGAGGCGTTACGCTGCAATACCAGGTCCCACGTTGAGTGTATGCCTGTCTGAAATCGAAAGCCACTAGTATGCGCTACAATCTCTTAATGTAATCATCATCATTTCTCTACTGTCCGACTATCGTTGAATTGTTTTTCATTTACTTGAATTAGATCAACCAATGGGATTTGATCGAGTGCGTGGACAAGTCATTGGACATCGAAACTTTGAGCTACAAGGTTTAGAAGAGGCATTCACTTCAGCGAACTGGCTTGTACGAATATACCGAGTCAAACCATATGCCAACCGAGGGATGCATTAAATTTTGTAGCTTATTATTTTTTTGTTTATGAAAATAAATATGTACGTTTATAGACAATTTGGTTTTTTCCATACTTCACCCGTAGATACAAAATTTATTTTATCCTTCAGTATTTTTACAACCGAAGGATGCGACTCCCAATTAGAACAATTTGCTGACCTTGCTATTCAGTGCATATACACATTTGACTTTAAAAAGTGAACAACAAGCGAATATGGTATGAGGGTAGAACAAAGTGTTAAGCTGAGATATGAAGTAACGTCAATAGACGATAAGAATGTCAGCAGGTTTTATACTTGCACATGCAAGGTGAACACAACAAGAATCGGAACACAGCAACTGCAACAAGAACAACCACCGAGAGAAGTAGCCAGCCAGCAATACATGTATACATACTTGTTCCTTTTGATACCCAGTGAATGGGTGAGACGTTCATCTCTTTCACATACTTGCTGACACCACTAAAGTTTTAAATGAACATTGATTTTCTGATCTTATACATATCGAAAAATGCAAAACAGAAAAGGTGTACAAGCTGTGGAATTTAAAAATGAAGACCATGAAAGGTGGAAGAATGAGTGTTACTGCGACGCATATCGACTGATGGATGACATGAAATGGCAAACTAAGCCCGGACGCAATAAGTATGTGTGTGGTTTTGGGTGTGCACATGATTATAAACGCAATTTTACTTTTTTGTACTGGTCAATAGCTGCATACGGTATGCTGATAACGAAAGCTACGGTCACAGATGACAAGGCCCTACATGTATGCAGCGAAAACGTTTTAAAATGAAACCACCCTTTGCTCCAAACGACGATCGGCCATCCATTAGCTCTTGGGGTAGAGGACGTTACAACAACGCCTCTGCCACTGAATTCGTTGCCGGACACAACCGACAGCAGCTGACTCGAATGTCGTCAATTCCATGGCGAGGTGTACGACTATTTTGTAAAGCCGGACAGATGTTCATTGGGCCAGCCGTTATTTCATGACCAGGGTAAATATAAGGCCCACTACTTTGAATGTTCAGCCGAACAAATGTAAATTTTCTAATTTTGGGATGTGAATTGAAATGGTCTGAGGGCGTGCTACAGTTGTAATCCAGGGTAGACCGACATCTCACAGCCATATGTGGCAACAAAGGCCCATCATTATTAACAGAAATTGTATTCTTTAGTCTGGGTGGCTTGGGCCTCTGCCTGTATTGGTATGCTTCGTTTTTGCTCTCACACTCAAGGGGCTTAGCCATGTTTTGGTCAACTGAAACACCTGTTTTGCCCGATCCTGCGTGAGAACTGCTTTTGTACTTGTCTCTGTATGGAAACAACTTGGGAAAGATTCATGAGCTGGACAGCTTAAAAGGTGACAATGATATCTAGTTCTGGTTGGAAATGAGTTTGAAAAACCAGGTGGATAAGACAGAAAATTTATGTGAACTTTCTCAGGTCACATTCTCAGCTAAATAGACAAAGTAACCAAAGCAAAGAGTACTAAGCACGCAAAAGTACGTACAATCACCAATCATAGAGGATTGGTAGCGTTGCCAGTAACTGATACATTGCCCGTGAAACACAGACTAGCTCGCTTGAGTGCCGCTGCATTCAGTATCTTGTCCACAAGTGGGTACTGGAAACAAAAGATGGATGAGAACATCACGTTTGTACAGTCGAAAACGGCCAGTACAGTAAAATATTGATAATGATATACATTTCGAGTAATAAACTATGCCGACAGACGTTGCCTTTACAGGCGACGTCTAAAAGTTATTGCTCCCGGTATCCAGTAGTTAATTTTGTGGAAAACTTCTGGACTTTTCCGTCTAAATGTGACCGGATTATGCATTTTGAGTATGTAGCTCTCAATCTGGAAAAAAGCGAAACGATGGTGCTGTGTGCGTGTAAGTCAAAAGCATCAAAAGCTGTAAGCATCGATTAACTCTTGAGCAGGCCACCCAGCCAATATTCAGATATTTTGAGTATTTTCTTGTTAGAAGACAATTCTTTGATGCTAAGACGGGGCGTTACAGTGATATCCAGCCTGGTGTTGAACAATTCATCTCAAAATATCAATATGGTGAAAACAGAGTCAAAATACACTTCCGTGGCCGTTGTCCAGGCCAGACACAGCTTATAACACATCACATTTAGCCCGGGAAACGTGCTATCCGATCCACAAGATTTCACGTGGCTCATCTTCAGACGCACTATGTCTCACTGCCGATCATCAAAAGTGCCAGAATTTCGAATGTTCAAAGAACTGTCACTGGAAAACAATAGAGAGGTCAGCCTTTCACGTTTTCCTTAATGATTTCCGGACTGATAGTAGCTGCCCTATGCTAAACCATTTTCTCTGTTTTCTTAGTATTCTACTGACTGAGTTGATTGACCATCCAGGTTGCGGTTTTACTTGGGATGAGTCCCAAGAGTTAAGAGCTCAGCACAACAACTGGTCAAAAATCGAGGGTGACATAGGAACCAGGATGAAGTTCGCTCAGTAGTCAGTGAGCCACACGTTTTCTATGGAGCTAATAATGCCACCTATTTGTCGTAAGCTCACTAGGCTGTGCAGGCTTGAACACGTGACGCACTCGCTGAAAATTTGGGTGCCTGGACAAACGGGACTCAGTTGGAAATTCAGAACTGCATAACAAGAGTCGCCTTCGGACATAAATTCATATGGCCGCAACTTCTCCTTCACTCGGTCTTCAAGTGCAGTGACGATAATGTACCTACGCTTCGGAAAAACCTTAGGAGTTCGTTGACTGGGTTCAGTATATAACTAGCGCTTATCACCTCAGGTGTGCATTGAACTGTGTACAAAGGCGGGATTACGCACGGTACCAGTGAGACCTCTTTATCCTCCAAACTGATCCAAAAACGAGTTAGGAGCTGTGGTAAGCCGCCCTTTTCAAAACCGCAGCACGCCGTCTAATGGTCACAGTCCAGAGCCTTAGAACAGTCCCAATAACATGCAGAACTTGCCAGGTTGAGGGTGATATGTTCACGACCGCGCAAAAATCCTTGGATCTCTGCTAGAATGCAGTTCATAGGCTGGAAATCCCCATTTAGCAGGTGACATGGACCTCCTCGGGGGACCTCAGAGGACGACCATGGTCTCCACGAAGGCTGGCCTGACCTGCGAAGCACAATTACAGGAGCTGAGTCACTTTCATTTATTCTACCGCGGACATAGGGGGGTCGATCAACCTCTGCAGAATCGGAATAAGTGTCTCCCAAACTGACTAATCTTCGATTTTCCTTCCCATCAGTTCAGGGCACCTTAGCTGACGAGACAGTGAAACACGAAACCATAGGACAAATATTGTCTCTTTGGGGTGCTGACTTTCCTGTCGTGTGGTGAACTATTGAAACCGACTTTAAAAAGTGGTGGTGCCTGCGTCATCAAATATCTTATCGAAGAGACGATGGGACAGGCAAGGGGTCCACTGAAAAAGAGGTTATTATGCACTTATCGCCGTCTACCTTAAAACTGCGTGTCTTAGTTTGTAGAACCGAAGTCCAACGAATGTCGTAGCCACTACTGAAACATATAGTTCAGTTTTTTAATTTAACAATGAACTATATTTACGGCAGAAACAAAGACATTTAACTGTTTATTGCATTAACAACTTGAAAGGGCCTCTTTTGAGGTGGCGCTCCGGTTTTTAAAAATTGCCGGCTATGAACAACGTTTATATACAGCTTTTTAACCACACCTGCCATCCTGTCTCTAAAATATAAAGCCTGTAGACTGGAATTTAAAGCGTAAACAATATAAAGACTTCTGTTAACTCGCAACAAGAACTGCCAAAATTCGTTTGTTTTCATACTTCCACGTGTTGAGGTCATCGTGGGTCCATTACTTTTCTGATTTTTTTGACACAGAGACATCTCATGTTACCGGGAGCACTCCCAAGTGTCTCTACAGAAACGTGAGAGGACATCGAGGTTAAATGCCAGAGCTCCGATCCCTCCGTTCTAACCTTGTCCCAAAAATCTTAATCCTGACGGAAACATGGTTATCAACGGGCATTAGTGTTGAAGCGTCACCCACTTCTCCGAAATCAACAGCCTAGGGTTTGATGAGATTCAACATTGATGCTGGCCCTGATAACTTAACTGGACTCGCTAAGCTGAAAGCACACGGTCAACCATCCTCGACATTTATCGCGCTGTCGTGTTACGTTGCATCGCTCGTAATCGACCCTCCAACTAGTCAGTTGGTATGCATCGGTGTTTTGGCACAACTACCCAAATATACTATTCCATCCGACTATGCTGTTGCGTTCATCCCTGGTCTCGCATTCGTGGGTATATAGCAAGTTCAAATAATTAGTGATTGGCCTGTGCGTCTATGAAGTTCTCACCAGGACAATTCCAAAGTTGGTGAGCTCGACGTGATTGCAAACCCAGACGTGACAACATATCCTGATCAATAGCAAATCTTAAATTGGTGAGCCTGCCCCATTTTATACTCGCATATTGTTTTTAATTCGATAACCTTTGCGTATCCATATACAACTTTCTAATGTCCGACCATGCCCCTAACCTTATCCGTATTAAGCAGATGACGAATACTATCCAACTCGTGCAATACTGGCCAGACAATGCGGAAACATGGTTTCTGTATGCCGAGGCAGATTTTCGGCAACAGGGCGTCGCAGATCCTCATTCTCGATTTCTTGCCGTCACACGCTGACTACCGCGGGAATTTAATAGACAAATTACAGCGCATACGTTTAGTCCCGAGGTAAGTGATCCTTATGAACTTCTCAGAGCTGCACCCATGAAGAAAAGCCACCTCACAGATCGCCAGTGACTAGACGAATCGTTTCGTAACATCGAGCTATGCAGCAACTCAGCCACTGAAGTCCTCGCACGCATGCGAGAAGCTGTGCGCACATTAAAGTTCAATAATGGCTTCTTCCGAGAACTGTTTCTCTCGAAACTCTCACGACCGGTGCAAACCGTGTCGGTGACACTTCAGTCAGTTCCGCT